TATCATTCTTCTACATAACCTTTCTACAAACTATCCTGTCTTCTTTAGGTAGGCATCTTTTAAACTTATTGCCATTAAACAAGATGTATTCCCTTTATGATCTTGTTATTCTTAACCCTATTTAACAAGAGCGCTAAATAGATGCTGCACATCCTTTTCTAAATACTTTTTGTTTTCCATAATCTCCTATACAGGTCTTATATATTTTTGTCAGCACTACAAATTACTTGTAAGTTTATCCCAGCTTCCATGTGCAATTTAACTGGCTTCCACTTGTACCTTGTTTGTTTTTTAAAATGCTATAACGTTATTTGAAACAGCTCTCTCAGCAAGGCAATTCTGAGTTGAAAATTAAGATGTACTTTTGAAATAACTATGCAGTACACAAATTTGAGATTCACTCTTTAATGATGACATATCACCATCTTATCAGAAAGCTAGTAGGCTGTTTGAGAAATCACATCATCGTTGTGCTTTCCAGGATGAAGCATTGCTCATTGGTCTGTAAATGTTCTCCAGAGTAATGAACATGAGTGATTGCTTTAGTTATGCCCAAGTGGATTTCTCACGTTCAATTCCATCAAATATGGTTTGAATTAATACCCTATGGAATTGAAAGCCAGAGAAGCCTGGAGGAATCGTCCGATTCACACATGACCAACTTCACGTTGTCGTCCACATGCTTTTATCAAGTCGACAGATTCCAGTTAAAGATAAACTTGAGTTCTGGTAAAAAAAGAAAATGAATTCTCACAGAATCAAACGAAACTCACTGAATGTTCAAGATTACAAATAAATGTAATTTGCCAAACAATTTTGGTAGAAAATGTATACTGGCTGAGTAATGGGCATAGAAAGATAAGGAAATCAAGGTAAGTAACCCTGACACCATTTGTGTAGTCCCATACATCTTTCTGTGTACAGTGCTTGTTACTTTACCAAGACTGGGCCAAATTTATTATGATTTTGATGACTCCAGAACCTTGCAGTATACACCAATACTTACATGCTACATGATCAACTTTTTTTCTGATCCATTCCACACCTTTTCTTCCAAAATGCAATCGCATGACTAGAACTCAACTTTATCTTTAACCTACAAGAGATGTCTTACAAGCCTGGAGGAATGGTCCGATTCACACATGACCAACTTCTCGTTGTCATTCACACACTTTTATCAAGATTTCAGTTAAATTAACCTACAAGCTAATGAGCCTCTCTGAGTGACTCATCACCCCATCACCCCGCTTACCAATACCATCCCAAATATATCTAGGAGACGTTCTAATGACGCTCTGTAGATTCTCATCCTATTACCATTACTGTCATGAATGGTTGCCCCCGGTGACGATTGATGACATCATCACCTACATCCATTGGAATGCTCTATTTCTCATGAGATATATGGTGAGATGCCTCTTGGGACTCATAATTTAGATATTTATGAAATGTTATCAAATTATAGGAAGATGTCACCAATCCAATCTTCTCCTTTCGATCTTATCCTTTCTTGCAAAGCAAGTAGTAAAGTCTGATTTAAAGTTTGTTATTTTCTTTCATTTTCTTATTTTTGTACATTTGTCAATTTTGATACAAAAGTATCTGCCAATATGTATAGAAAGGATTGTCCATTTCTGATAAATGATTTATAATATATCTCACCGCCATGTCCAATCCTCTTTTCATTGTTTCATTTTCTTTTTTTCATTTTATCCCTATATTTTGTTCTTTTTTAGGGGAAGGGGGTCATATATGTTTCTTTTCCCTTCTCTTTTCCTTTCTCTTCCAACTCTGTCTTGCTCTCTCTCTCCCCTAAGCAAGTCAATCTTATCCATTTTTGTATCGACCCCTCTCCAACCACATCTTCTTGATGGGTTTTGAGTCTCGCAGAGAATCCATAAAATCCATAAAAATAATAATAATAAATAAATTTAATTTATATAGCGCTAAATACAAATGTCTCTAAGCGCTTTACAAATATATTATTACCCCGGTCATTGGATTCAGTGCTTACCCGCACACAATGTGTGCACAATCTCCACTCCCTGGGGAGCATTCCAGCCAGGCGTTACATGACGCTCAAAAACTGTTTGACCAACAATGACGGTCGCATCCTACCGGGTACCCATTTAACACCTGGGTGGAGAGTAGCAAGTGCAGGTTAATATCTTGCCAAAGGATATTAGTGCCGTGTCGGGATTCGAACCCTCGACCTTCGCATCTCCAAGTCAAGCGCCTTAAACCACTCGACCACGACACAAATGAGACTTTCTGAAATCATACGAAATTAATACGCCCTGAAAATTGCTGACTAGCACTTTCTTGATGTAGACATGACCCAATTATGGTTGCAAACGGACGCCTTTGTTTGGGTGTCATCATCGTTCGTCATCATGATATCACTAACAGGGGTGACAATCGATGACATCATCACTCCCATGAGTGAGATATATATTCGTGCCGAGGAATATTTAGGAGCTAACAAGGGGCTTTCTTGAGAAATATGAAATATGGGAAAGTAAGGATTTCCCTTGTGTATTTACTGAGAAGCTTTAAGCATTTTAACATGTTTGGAAGTGAAATTTAAATGTGTGTAGCCTGCAGTATTCTATATTGCATCTTTTTTAGATCACTAATTTGTGTGTCTTTGTATGTCACGTCACTACTATTTGTATTAACATGTTATTTGGAGCTAACAAGGTTCATGAGAAATATCAAATATAGAAAAGTAAGGATTTTTCCTGTGTCCTTAGTTCTATTTACAAAAGGAGCTTTAAGCATTTTGGCATTTTTAGGAGTGAAATTTAAATGTGTGTAACCCGCATCATTCTACAATGCACCTTTATTAGATACAAATTTGATACAAATTTGGTTTGTTTTGGTACATATCACAGCACTACTATTAATTTACATGGTATTTGATGTATGATGTACAAATGAACCAGACACACATTATTCCAATAGACCATTTATGTAATGTAACCAAATTTAATGCATAAGTCTTTGTGAAGTGCCTCAATACAAATTATTTCATTCACCTGGTAAGAATAATAATATTTCAATAGACATAATCCAAACTGCATACAGTAGTTGTTGCCATGCAGGTTGGACAAACATTATGGCTTGACCTACCTAGCAACACTTCATATATGCAGTTTGCATTCTGACTATTGAATTACTATTATTCTTACTAGGTGAATGAAATAATTTGTATTGAGGGCTTTTGAGGCACTTCACAGAGACTTGTGCATTAAATTTGGTTACATTACGAAAATGGTCTATTGCATTATTTTTTTCTCACTTTGATGGAGTTAAAGGGACCCTAAGGTGGATGATAATGATGATTATGATGATAAAGATTATGGAGTTTATTTCACTGATATAGAATAATTTGCCAAGCCTTTAAACACCAACTCCCATAATAGAACTTAAAATGCAGCCTCTTATGGATTAGTACACACTCCCATAAATACTATTATCCAATGAGAATAACTACTATGGTAAATATTAGTTTTGCTAATGAGCTTATTGATTTAAGAGGCATTTACAGACTAATCCTCTTATGTTCTTATAATTCATTTAGACTATTTTCATCTGCAATAAATTTGTGTTACTTTATACACATAGTGATGTCTTGTCCTTCAAGCCTTCCCATATTTCAATTTGTTCATATATTTTTCTGGTTGAATTGGTTAGTTGATTAGTCATACCCAGGAGTGTGAAATGACACATCGATGTCCCTGGTGTATTAGTAGGACAGTATGTCTGTTCAATTGAGCATCTTCATCATCCAATTAGCAGCTCTCATAAGCCTTGTTCACACGTGACCCGGTCAACCTCCCAACTACAATGTACATGTACAACATTTTATGTGTAAATTAAAAGCAATTGGGGTGCAACTGCTGCAACAAAGGCCTCCTAAAAGCTCATTCAGATACAGCATGGTAAACTGCTGAAGAAAAAAAGATTACACTGATTTTTTTAAAGTGTAAATGAATGGGAATTGCGCGCAGCGAATGTCCTACAATGTATTCACTGAGGCCATTTATCATGTCCAGTGAGAATGGAGCTGAACAATCCAACTATGCCAGTCCAATTATACCAGTCCATTTACTACTCGTTCTGCTTGAATTATGCCGGCTTTGATAAAGGCACTGGAATGTATCATTAAAGGGATTACCATTCAAGAGAGGGGTATAAAGAGAGAGATGAGAAAGAGCCAAAAGTACAAGTGTTACATGTTATGGCCGTACAACATATGCTGCGTAGTCCATATCCTACACCTACACTAAACGAATTGTCAATGTAAACCCTGGACCAAACACGATATCTAGCTCTACATGTATAACCTGGTATCTTTAATAAAATAAAACTTAAGAGTAATTGTCACCACAGCATTCGGAAGGAGGGGGAGGGGGAGGGCAGGGGGGGGGGAGGGGGGGGAGGGCAGGGGGAGGGAGAGGGGGAGGGCAGGGGGAGGGAGAGGGGGAGGGCAGGGGGGAGGGAGAGGGGGAGGGCAGGGGGGAGGGCAGGGGGGAGAGGGCAGGCGGAGGGGGGGACTATAATGATGACCCAGATGTGACTCCTATGAGTATGAGTGAGAGGGGGTACAGGGATGGGGGTGGGAGAGGGGGTACAGGGATGGGGGAGTGAGAGGGGGTACAGGGATGGGGGTGGGAGAGGGGGTACAGGGATGGGGGAGTGAGAGGGGGTACAGGGATGGAGGTGGGAGATGGGTGGGGACAAATATAAGGGTATGGTATCATTATGAGAGTGTGTAAATAATAAGTTGTCCGATATATTGCAATGTCTCCTCTGCTTCAAGAAAGAATATAGAATGAAGGGAGTAGAGAAGAGGAAAAGTTGAAAGGGTCTGGAACCAAGAAGTAAGACTAAATTGGATTGGATATATCATATATATGAAATATGGAGGCCCTTTTCAAAGTATATTCATGACATCCCTCCTCATACAATGTAGTACATCACTGTCACATACCTACCTTTTTTTAGACCTGCTGAAATATACAATTAAATAACAAGATTTTGTTTTTAATATGTATAAATATTCATGCATTAAACATATATTTCAGGATTATGCCAGAACCAAGTACACAAACATATTCATGAAATCGTGAATAAGAAATGTGTCGTGAAATGTTTGTGAATGCCAATTTTTCACAACAGACACAGGAACTAAAAAAGTAAACCATATAAAGACACAAACATGAACAGAACTTCGCAAGTATTGATATGCATTTGAAGATTAAGATAAAATGATAAATGGAATTTCATTAAAATGCAAATGAATTAGTACAAATTTTCAGGAAGCAGTGTGGTTATGCTCTTTATATAACTGTGCATAGCTACCTGTATAACTTAACATGCAGAAGCTTGAATACACGCAAGGAAATATGGAAGCTATTAATGCAATGTTAGGAAAGCATAAGGCAAGCAAACTATATGAAAACAAAAGTTATGATAAATACTGATAGATAGAACGAACTATTGTTATTTATTAGTGGAAATAAATATTGTTAACATACAGTAAAAGTTCTATGTGATCTGTTGAAAACTAGCTATTGCTCTTTTGACTCTAAAGAAATAATGTGAACAGAATGTTAATTTTTCACCTTTTACTCAAATCAAATAATATATGAAATGAATATTAAGATACCTGCCAACATTTAAAAATAAGAAATCTGTACCCTTAGAGGGAGTCTGGGTTCAATACACACAAACATGTATGTATTGAACAGGTAATACGTGGTAAATCTGTACACAAAAACTGATAGTGCAGCCATTTAACACACAAAATATGCGAGCTTTCAATTTGCTGCACATGGTAAAACAAGCCAAAGTTGGCTTTAAAAAAAATATTTAAAAAAATGGTCATTCTGAATTTGGACAAATCTGAATATTCTGACTAATCAGAACAGTTGGCAGGTATGAATAGTTGGATCGAATGCACTTAACGCAGGTACATGTACTTCTCATTCATTAATACACTGCTATTCTAAAAACTGAAGCTTGAAAGCACTGTACATAACCTGAAAACAACATACCGGTACTAAAAAATGTATGCAACATGAATGTTTATGACTTTTTAAAATACAGGTACTAAAGAAAAAATGACAAATGACAAATAGAAAGGAAAGTACAGTTATCTATCCTAGGCTACATCAACATCTTCAAAACAACTCAACTCAAGTCTTAGATTTCGGACATGAAAAAAGTGTGTATATGTATTTAACATGTAAATTGAATAAATACAGACAAAATTGCCTGATTTCCAACCAAAAGAAAAAAGGAAAAACTTTTTTTAAAATCAAAATAAATAATTTCTGTCCTTTGAACAATCAGCGTTATCAGTCTTCAGTCAACACTATCTTTTCGTTCTACATAATGTTTAGGATACATTTATTTAGACAATAAACTAATCAAATAAACCTGAGAGAAAGGCTACAACATAGAGTTTTCTACGAACATCTAACAAATATAAACAGATAACATAATTGTGTACACAATAACTAAAAGACGAATGAGAGTTGTATTAGTTGAACCAACACATATACAGGTACAGTACATATGTAATGTAGATAGAGAAAACCTTTTCTATAAGAAAACAAATAAATAAATGTGAAAAAGGGAGAGTTTAGAGTGTAATGTATTTCAGAAAAATCTATTAACACTCTAAAAAGAAACATGAAAAATGAAGCAAAAATTAGCCCACAGAATACAGATTTCAGCAAAAACCAATGAACACCGGTTTAGTATATTATATAAGACATAGAAAGCGTTAATTGAAAGCGCGCACTACCTCTAGCATTGCTGAGCTCGTGGTGGCGCTGTGATGTTTTAGGTGGCGGCATAGGCGGAGGCCCTATTGAAGGGTCAAAAGGTCATCAAGCCAAATACCCAGTTAAGGCAGATGCAGGAAAAAGATAATAGAAATTGAAAAAACAACATTTTTTTAATAAAGTAGATATATAGAGAAACTTTGGACTCCCTAAGTCGTAAACTGCAAATCACACAGAAGAATTCAGTGCATACATATACAATGTACATGTACATCATTATGTGCTTCATAGGTTCACAGTTCACCTTCTACATAAATTTTTAACATAATGTTTACATTAATATTCCTAATAGCCTAGGATGTATGCCATCAAAATCCAAAGAAGGATATAACTTAACTTTAAATATTTTTTAACTGATGTGGCATGAGTTTCACAAGAACCTTATACATTTTTCTATGAACTATGATAGCTTAATCTACATACATGTATCATATGAAGAGACTGAACACAATACTTGTTTTCTTTTCAATGAACTAAAAACACAAATTCTTCTAAATCAATATACTGTAAGATGTATTAGTCCGCAAGCAAGCTATAGAAAAACGAAACATCAGTTGTGCATGAAACTAAAAAATACATATAGCCATCACGGAGAGACAAACAGAAAAGACATTCTAAGCAAGCTTGAGAACAAGTTAGTGAAATATTATTATCGTTTGAGTCAACATGCCATCCTAGTAATGTATTCAATGTGCACACATTCATAAGAGCATACGGAAGACAGGGTTGATTTATGCAAAAAGATGCTAGACTTATTATTACCCAGTGCAAAAGTTTTATTTGTTACCTAGTCAATTAATATCCTTTTCTTCTTTTTTGGCCACGATAAAATTCTTTTAATACAAAATAATTGCGATGATAATTAGAATGACAACGCTTGCTCATTCTAAATACCGGTACCAATAAAACTCAAACAATACATTTCTGCATGAAATATTATCCCAATTTTAACAGCCATTTGATGGGAAGAATGAAAAAGCTTCTCAATCAATTTCTGTACATGTGCTTGAAAAGAACTCAATTATGACCTTTTTCTTCTGCTCTTTGTGTTGGGAGAGTACATTCTAATGTTTACTCATCACAAATATCAGAGCCAAATGCAAATTTATAGCAGCCCGGTGTGATAATACGCTTTGGATACAGCACAACGGAAGGTTCTTTTCAACGAAATTGAAAATGCAAATTCAAACATTTGTCCCCACAATGCAAACCTAATCTAGTTTTTAATTTGGTTTCTAATGCTGTACAGCGTGTCATCATCTATTTCCCCTGAATAAAAGCAATTCCACGATGCTTGCTTCATCTTTAGGATTTGTAGGATATTTCACTTGATTGATTTGAGAATTTTTCTTTGTATTTTCTAATTCTTTGGAAAATAGGTATGCATGCAGCATTTTAACAATAATGATGATTGCCTTATATATTTTCAACATAAATTATATACAAAATTATTAACATTGCGCACTTTACAATGATTACAGCTTTTCTTTTCAGCTCTTTTAAAAATATTTTTTGTTCTCAATGTTAGGCTGATTTTATATATTTAAAGCAATACATGAGCTATTCAAAATGAATCGGGATGCAATTGAAAATACATATTTTCTGTACAGCTGATTGGTCTATACTGGTCATGTGACTCACCTTTAGCAGCAGCTGTTGGTTTGTAATAACCTGAAGGTTTAGGCAACGTTGGGGGTGGTGCACCTATGTGACGAGCGGGTCGGTGAAGGGATATATTAGTAGAGAAGGGAGCACGCAGACAGGGAATGCACAACAGGAAAAACAGAGAAACAAAGAAAACATTTCATTGGTTAAAATACTAAATCTACATGAACTTCTACATCTCTAAGTAAAGTCTCATTTCTAGTTTGATTTTGGCATTTCAATTGAAATCAGCGAATGTGATGCCAATATTTAGATTGGCAAAGATTCACACAAGAAATGAGACCCTTCAATCGATCTTTACTAGTGCAAGGACAAAATGCAAACAATTCTAGTGCACAGATAACAATAAAACAAAACTTGCACAAGAAATATAAGACATTACGTTGACTGGTGAATATTTGTTCCTCATATTTTGTCCTCACTATCTCGAGATAACCAAATATCCAGCTATTTGAACTATCCCGATCGCAAACTATTCAGCTAATTTGCGTCTTCATCAGACCGAAGTAGCAATTAGCAGGATATTTGGTCGGGATTGTCATCCCAAGATATCTTGGGATAGTTTGCAAAATATTCCACTATTTGGCAAAATATCCAGCTATTTGTCCTGTGCGTTTTCACCAGACCCAAGACTCGCACTATGCGCTAACGCTGAGCAAAATATCTCGAGCTAATTTCTCAAGGTTGAGTTTCAATTTTCGAGGTTGAATCTCGAGCTGATGAAGACGCGATTTGTAACTTCGGGATCATTTCCCAAATCAGAAATAGCGGGCTATTTGGCAATCTCGAGTTGATGAAGACGCGCCTCCTGAGAACTACTTAATGTACAGATGTAGGTTCAATGCAGAATGCAACTTTGTACAGTGTAAATGTGGTTTACCTATGTAAGTGAGGCATTTTAATAGAAAAATGCTAACTACACTGTAAATACATGTACATCTGCGTACACGTACATGTAGGACTGATTACTTATGAAATGGAAAACCAGACAGTATGCCTGAATATAATCTAGGTACCGGTACACAAAAGAAGACGGCTGAGAACCAGATTTGGGTTCATAAAGGGCAATCAAGTCACATCTCCCAACCATCATTTCGTCACCGTCATCATTCAGTTGAAATAATAGTATGGTGAAATGTGATGAAGAAATATTCTGTCAAGGCGTAGGAAAGGCAAGCGATAATTCAAAGAAAAGAAAAACGTTCTTGGTTTATTGACAGTACCGGGTACATTTGGATGAAAGATCTTTCCAAAAATCTGCTCTTACAAATTGGTAATCATACTCACGTTTATTCCTCATTTTATCTCAAATTCAAAGCTGAATTGTGCAAAGGAAGAAAGGAATATGAAGCATGTACAGTACATCCAAATATCCTATTCAGCTCAATACTTCTTCCAATCTAAACAAGAATATCCAGAAAGCAGACAAACACTGGAAGACTTCTCAACCAGACCCAGTATCTTCAAAACCTTGATGCAAAGTGGTTCCAACCTAGAACTCGACTTCAAAACAACTCAATTTCGTGCTAAAAATGCTCACATCTGACATTCCATTTATATCCGATTCCACTCTTTAGGGCTTCCAAGCAATCCCAGATGATATAACTTTCCATGTTTGAGGCAACCAGCCAACCAGATGTGGGTGATTTATTAGATATCAAAGAACAATTTTTGATGAACTAATTTGACCTCAGGTCTACCTTGTATGGTTGGTAGTCTGAAGGGACAGACTCTACGAGTAATTTGATACTTAAACACAATTCCAAAAAAGTCAGGAGGTGAGCCTAAGACCCCGTTCTCACTCACTTCGTTGGAGCGCTCTGGAGCGCTCTAACTAAGACCCGCTCCTCAGGAGCGGTTCTTAGGTGAGTGAGAACGCTCAAAGTGGTCCAGGAAGCGGACTTCTGGACCGCTCCAGAAGTCCACCTTCCGAGGTGGTCTTGAGGAGCGGGTCTTATTAAGAGCGCTCCAGAGCGCTCTAACGTGCAATGTGAACGGAAAGCGTACTTTGAACGGAAGTGACGTTCCGCGCGATGAGCGATCGGGCAGGCACTACACATATACATGTATACGTGACGCGTCGCGAACGGGACATCAGGTGACATAGGGTTTGGATTCCGCGCGCAAAAAAATTGACCCGCCTACCTGAGCTGCCATAGCAACAAGACCACTTTGACTCGTGGAGCGGTTTGAGCCATAAAAACTGCTCGGAGTGTGAACGCTCGCAAACCGTTCCTCAAGACCCGTTCCTCTGGAGCACTCTGGAGCGGTCTAACTAAGACCACTTTCAAAGTGAGTGAGAACAGGGTCTATCTCTGTCAGTCTCTAGCTGTGTCAGGAGCAGCTAAAGTACAAAGCCTATGGTGTGCACTACACTGAGTGATTTCAAGTTGGGTGTTAGTGTTAGTGTTGAGAGCAGTCAAGAGCTCTTAAATCGAGCGAAAAATTTGCTGGTGAAATTAAGAGCCCGATACCGATATCAAAAATCGATAGCTTAACACCAGCTGTGACTTGATTTCACGACGATGATTTAAAAATAGTACATAAAAACTAAAGATATCATGAAAAGTACAGAACAAATATAGACCTATTTCTCTGGTCTTATAAAATAACTCATTTTACACAAAAGAATACATGAATTACCTGTTTTTTTTTTTATTGTCAGACAATAAATTGGCGTCGTTCGTGCGATGACTGTTGTGCGGTACAACACTAACACCGAAGTGGAAATCAACATTACTTAATCCCTAGGGGCTAGTGTTAGTGCATAGGACATTTGTACGTAAAATATTAACACCAGCCACAAAGGTCGGTTCAGCAGACGACAAATTTGCAAAATCGATAACACTAGCTACCGGAAGTTGACGATATTCAGAGGTCAAAGCCTTAACACCAGCTGATTTCCATTTCGGTGTTTAGGCTGGTGTTAGTGTTTATTAAACACTAACACCAGCCTTAAACACCCAACTTGAAATCACTCATTGTGCAGTCTACATAGTCTCGCAGTTCAGACATTGTGCCATACACATTGACTGATAAGGGTTGGTGACTGCAAACTGCATGGTTGGTATAGCTGAGTGATAGGAATCTAGCATACCAGACATACCAGGCCAAAATGTTGTCAAAATACACTTTGACAGGTTGTCATACGGGGAGAAAATTATGGAAAGAATTATGTTACCCTTTCAGTTTAAAATTGTGTTTCCTTACCAAAGTAAATGTATTTGTGCTAAAACTTCTTTTTTTTTCCAAAACGATATACAGGAAAACCAGAATAAAATGGAATTCTCTTGTACAATTCCACACAAATCGAATTATCAATGTAAAGTACCTGAATGTACAACATTCAATATGCTGAAACGATAGAACTCACTCTTAAAATATTTTGCATTCGGGCCACAGATTCAAAGCAATTACCATGAGTTCATTTTGATTAAAAATGGGGATCACAGGGTGACCTCTTTGAGCTCTCTCCATTAACGATCTGGCATTTACATAGATAAAAATGCTCTTCCATCTCATTAAAGGGATCGTTTAACAATGTTAAATCTGAGATACACGGCCCTACGTGTTATCAGTGTCTGTGATATGGTGTAATATTGAAGCCCTAAAACCAATGCGCTTCAAAATGATCAAGAAGTGCCTCAAAAAAGTAAAAATCTTCGAGTGACCGGTTTTACCATACTCGTTTTTCCCAATAGACTGTAGTGTTATGAAAACTGCCAGGCGAACGGTTTTCAAAATTTGTAATTCCAATCATAAATATCTTGATAATCAGACAGGCGATCGGCTTGCAAAAGTCATGGGGTTCCTGACTGACCTAAAGGTTTATAATTATCATTGCATCATGAGCTAAATCCAGAATTTGGTTTCAGAATCTGAGACAAAGTTACCTGATCCCTTTAATATTCTCTGAGGCATGTTACTACCATTACAGTCTGTTACCATAACTGCTACAAACAAAATAGACTGAACGAAATAAAGAAACATACAGTATATCCATTCTTCCTAGATTGACAAAATGTGTGATTTGTTTCTTGACAGTGTTTACCATGGGAAGTCAGCTTTCAGGTATGTGTAAATGTACTGAATGCCCATTGTGATCAATTCAACACAAAGCATTCATCTTATCTGCCTCTCAAAAGGAAGAAAAATATGTTATTTGTTCAAAATACATGTAGATGGTTAAGTTTCTTTTGAAAATGAGAATCCCTTTATTTTCATTGTGAAAAGGGGGAGTGCTAGGCCTAACAAGTATGAATACCAAATATTTATCTGATATATGTAAGTACATTGAACTGTACTATAGTCTACAGTGTATACACATATGGATCAAAGAGCTGCAAAAGCAGCATTCAGAATGAGAGTTTATGGAAAACCCCAGTGAGATGAGGTAATAATCCAAAGATAAGTCTGAATTCTGAAATGGTTTGATAAGCAAAAATAACATACAATTAAATCTCCAGCTAAAAAAAATCTGATATGATAAGAATGAGAGAACTTTGTGTTGCTACAATGTACATGTACGCTTTAGAACATTATGATACCACTGTCATGTGGAATGAAAAAAGGAAAACTTGAGACTATTCTAAATACATTATAGCCTAGGCCATGTGTGGATTTAGGGGGGGGGGGGTCACAACTGGCCCCTTTTTAAACATTACATCAGTTTTATGGCATATACATGTACTATGATTTTTAAAAAAAATTTGTTTGGCTTTTTCACAGAATTATCGGCATTGTCCCCCTTCCCCCTTCCCCCTCCTTTATAGAATCCTGGATCTGTCCCTAATATAGACTACCGGTAGACAATATTGCTACTTGCTAGGCGTTACAATGATATATTATTAAAGCAGTGTGAACATACTGAAGATGTTTTTTGCTGGTATCAGCTCCTCCTAACATCCGGGATGTGGGTCAACCGTGCCTATCGCATGAGGATCTATGACTTCCCATATCAGATCACATGACGTTCTATGGCTTCCTCACACCAGGCATGAAACAGTGGACCTTATCAGACTAAATCTGGGTCACGAAATTGAAATGTGCAGACATCCATATCATCCAAATATTAAAAACAAGAATCGTTTAATGATCTATTATCATATGTTGTTATGATTGATAACCTGTGAAATGTGAATGACAACACATGGGTTTGGACTCCATGGAGTTGATATTATGATCAGCTTGAATGAAATGCAGTACTGCATTGAATTCAGGTATCTTCTACAGTGATATAACTGATCACCTTCCTATCTTTTTGATAAAATGTATTGTAATTGGTAGGCTTATTTGTAATTTTTGTTTAATATACATGTATATTGTTTGTCATTGTATTTTATATAGCTCGCTTAGAGACTTTGGTGGAAAGAGCTTTATAAGCACTGTTTTATCATTATCATTATTATTATATTATATGCCTGCACATGCAGCTTTTTACATGTACAGTGTACAATTCTTTTCAGTTAAAGAAGACCAAAGCTCCCTCCATGTTGGAAGCAAGCATACTGAGCAGGGAACACCAGCTATTGGCAAACACCAAACCAATTTGACCTTCTAAAAACCATGAGGGTTTGCTAGAACAGATATCACTCCATATAAGGAGTGTTTGAATTCCAGAACAATGACGGTACATACATGCCAAATGTTTATCATTGGAAGGGACTGGTTTCTACAGTATGTTGTATCCAAATTTACAGAATAAGTGCTTCAGAAGTTCAGTTATTGGGATTACAACTTTCTTTCTTTTTTAAATTTCAGACAGAATTTCACAAGTTTTAAGACAAGTTTTAAAAGATATCAGATACATGTACATTACTACATGTATATTGTATTAATTTATTTGTAAGCCTCCAATTAAGTTTTGTAGGCTTACATTTTATTAATTTCTTTCTTTTTCCATCCATGAAATTGCACTTGACTTTCCTTTTAAGGGTAAGCCTACACATTTTTCATTTTCTTTACACCCTTCAATGAGCTCAATGGGAATATAATGTTTGTATTCTATTTGATTGTTGTTCTGATTAACTTGTACATACACATACATGTATAGCATATGTACACTGTACTTTTGACTGAAATTAAGAAAAAATATAAATAGAAAAGGATATGTACGTATTCTTATTTTTGTTTAAATAAGTTAGGTTTATCCATGAGCTTTATGAGCTCAGGGAGCAGACCTACACTGTACATGTAGTGTAGCTGTTGAATGGATCTCTACTTGGCATCATCATAGGCAATTCCCGGTAATTAAATGCATGTCATTGCAACCGACTGAATGTAATTTCAATTCATCGAGTAACCAGAGTTTATAGAATATCAAATCCCAACCAGAATAATCAAATTTCAAGAAGTGAAGCATTTTGGGAGCAGACAGTTTGTTACCCTTGAATTTTATACCACAGGGACAACCATACAAGTTTAGACAGTGGAAGGGGTCAAAGGTCATGTTGCTCACGTCAACAGTGACTGCCAAAAGCAATACCAATGTCTGCTTCATGAAGGGAACAGAATGTGCTGCCACCAAGACCAAGTTCACTGACTCATGTTCCAGACCAAATCTCTTTACATGGAAGTTCGATCATGCTTAAAGGGAATGATCACACTGGGACCTGTCTATAATGTGCATCCATGACAAGCTCACAGACTCTTGTACCAGATCTACTCTCACTTGGAGGAAGCTCATGTTTAAATGAAGTGATCACACTTGGACCTGCTAAAAGAAGAGAACACTGTCACATGAAGTTCACTGACTGCTGAACCAGATTAACACTGACTGGAAGAAAGCTCATTTTTAAAGGGATTAATCACACTGGAACCTGTATCATAAATGAAACATATTAAGATGTTCTACCACAAAGTTCATTGACTCATATACAGTCCGGTGTACAGTACCAAATCAACTTTGAGGGAAGAAAAGCTCATGTTTAAAGGGACTGATTACATCTATCTCTCAAATGGGCCCAAGTTCAATTGCCCCAGTATCAGACCAACTCTAACTGAACATACATGCAAATGCACATGTACATTTAAACTTGTGTTTAAAGGGAATAATTGCTCTAAAGCCTGACTGGCTACATGAAGAGATGTGAATGTGACATCAAGTTCAATGACTCACATACCATATCAACTCTCGGCTATGAAAGCCCATGGTCTGATCATGTTGATGTTTACCTCATAACTTCTTCTTATGAAAGCTCATTCTTTGTCCAATTCGTCTACTTTTGATGTTTATCTCATGATCATATTAACATACAATTACAATGTACAAAGAAACTAGAAAATTATGAACAATACAAAAGGAACAACCAAAGTACCGTACATGTACATGCATTAGAAGTCATGCATTTATGAAATTACATTGAAAACCAGACAGTGTACATACATTCCACCCCTCTAAACAGACTCTTGGTCACTCACTCAAACAGGCCAAAACTAGTTATTTATCGAAGCAGGAATGCTGAGAACAGTGGAATAACTGAATTGATCAAACCTTCACTAATCAATATCATTCCAAGACACATGCAGTTAATTAAAACCAGTTGCGAAGAATATACCAACTTCATTGCTTGCCTCAGGCCCAATATGTCATCTTATTCAATTAACTCATCCCGTTTTGAATCGACCGGTAAATGAAGAGTATCTAAGCAAAATAATGAGCTTTTTTTCCATCTCCAAAACCTACACCTGTAACTATCTTCCGCTGCCACCAAACCTATTCGATAATTTAATATTCATCATCAGTTAAAAGTCCTATTAATAGTTTTTGAGACTCGGGTACCAAAATGGCTCAGAAATTGCGACAACAAAGGTGCTTGGTGCAAATATTCAGTGAAAAACACTAAAAATCTTCTTCTCTATTTTTGTAAACATTTTTGTAATTACATGTAAGCTCGCTGTAATCCATTACTATTCCCTGTTGTAATGTTCTCCTTTTTGAAAATTTAACTGATTCTTTAGTTCCTCCTAGACTTAAATCCTAAACAACAACAATATCAGAATGACAATTAGTTCCTGATTGATCTTTCCTTGATTTGAAGGCTAAGTATTCATGATATGATAAAACCCTTTGACAAGTGTCTAGTGTCTAAACTGTTGGATATGGAGACAAGCAAGACATTGGGTTGAGTTAGAGAGATGCAGTGCAAACTGTTCAATAGAGTACCGAAGCTGTGACGTCATACAAATCTATTTTTAGAATTTCTCAATTTTTCCTTCATATTCCGAAAGAACATCAAAAATAATGTCCAAATGTCGAAAAACCAAGTGAATATGTTAGGCATTGGCTGAGATATGACAATCTGAATAAATATACTCCCCATAGGAACTCAGTGTTATATGCTCTGGCTCCTAATGGTTAGGAGCCAGAGCATATAACACTGAGTTCCCATAGGACATATATTCATTCAGATGGTCATATCTCAGCCAATACTAAACATATTCAATTGTTTTTCAACATTTGGACATTATTTTTGATGTTCTTTCAGAATATGAAAAAAAAATTGTGAAATTCTAAAAATAAATTTTTCATGACGTCACACTTCACCACTCTATGCAACAACTTGTGACAGACACTATCTAGTATTTCATGAGTGGACAGTTGGATTGAGCACATCCATAAAACATGCAAGCTCAGTTGGTCTGAAAAATAAATTCACAAGAAGTTTACAACTGAAAGTAAATATTTCATCTTGTTAATTTTGAAAAATAAAATCTCTTGAATGTCTCAACAACTCTGGCTTGAGGACTTGAGCAATAAATAAAGGCTAACTGTGAAGTTTTACTGTATAATAAATGATGTGAAATATAGTTTCTTACAGATCAAAGTCCTGACATGATGTCATTACCTCACCTAATCAATATTTCCTTAAAGATATGTTTTCAGACCAACTTCAGCTCGCTCATGTCAAAGCAGGAAAGGGGACGTTAGGTGGTTGTGCCTACCACTGAAGGAGGAGTAGGCAATATATAATGTACTTCTGTACATGGAGGTCTACAAAACACCAGGGACCAGTTTCACAAAGCATTTTTTCAATGACAAATGACAAAAATCAGTGACAAATCTGCTGATAACCAATCAGAAGCAAGGATTTCAGTAGCTTATAACAAAAACTGTCATTTGTCACTGATTACAAGTTTTATGAAACACCCCCCAGTTCTACCTAATGAGGATCGAGGACTCACCTTTAGATCCCGATGGGGGCAGGGCATTCTGACTGCGGGGCTTTGGGCCCACCACAGGGGCAAACTTCTTTGGTTGGGAGCCATAGAACGTCTGAGTGGTGGTGATGTTCTGCGTGTAGATGGTTCCTGGCTGCAGTTGTCCGTTCTGGGACAGCTGTCCACCTGGCCGAAGACTGTCCAACTGGTCAAGATCCTGGTTTAACCTCTGCATGGTCGTCATGGTTACGGGTCAAGGATTATCCCTCTGTTGCACAGGTCAAGCTGGAAAGATATATGCAAGGCATGCAAGGATTAGAGGTGTATATTACAGATGGAATTAGCTTGGATAACAACATTGACTTTGTCTTATACCCTTTTTGTATTCACTGCTGAAGTGGGAAAGTCAGATTTCAATGGATGGGAACGAAAGAATGGCATGTACGTGTACGCCCACACAAGTATTTGTGAGCTGATTTCATACAATTATTTTTAACATTTGATATTCTAGGCCAATGACACACCCATCAAGTATGATACACCTGTCCCTATCACCTGGACTCTGCATGGAGTGGATGCATGAAGGGCCTTTGGAGAGAATCACATGGTGTGGTTGTGAGCTGGTATAGTCATTAGGATGATCAGGCTCCATCACATTTCCCCTCATAAGACAGGAGCATGAATGGAGAGTCCTGCAGGGATGGCTCCTGATCTTACTTGTACTGTACATGATGAAGGCCTTATGTACTTGTAGCGGGCAGTGCAAACCTTTCTTATACCAATCTAGATAGTAGATTCTATCATGCACCTTACCAAGATAATCAATTCTAGTAGCAGTACCGTATTCTATGATATTGTGCAATCACATTCACAAGAGGCGCATCTTCATCATCTCGAGATTGCCAAATATCTTGAGATAGCCAAATAGCCCGCTATTTGGGAAATAATCCCGAAATAACAAATCGCGTCTTTACTATCTCGAGATTCAACCTCTAAACTTGAAACTCGACCTTGAGAAATTAGCTTGAGATATTTTGCTCAGCGTTAGCGCGTATTGCGAACCTTCGGTCTAGTGAAGACGCACGGGACAAATAGCCGGATATTTTGACAAATAGTGGGATATTTTGCAAACTATCCCAAGATATCTCAGGATGACAATCCTGACCAAATATCCTTCTTATTGCTACTTCGGTCTGATGAAGACGCAAATTAGCTGGATAGTTTGCGATCGGGATAGTTCAAATAGCTGGATATTTGGCAATCTCGAGATAGTGAAGACAGGCATAAGGGCTATAGTACTGTAACTGTATTTGTGGGCCTAGATGAAGTTACAACTACTGTTGTTGCTTTGGCTATCACACCATACATACATTTGTCTTGTCACACATACATGTACATGTAAAGCATATTTACAACAACAGGAAACTGAAAAACAAAATTCCATAAAGCATATTATATGCCTTGCCTACTGGGTACACTGTGTCAGTTCAGGAATTCTGCTATAATTATAAAATATCATACAGTACATTTCTGGTAGGTCTATGGTTTATGACTGATGATATTTGGGTTTGTTCCTGCCATGGTTCAGAGATGGAGAGAGACAGGGGAGCACTGTCCTGTAACAGAACTCAAGGTTGGGCATCCTGAAGGTCATGTGACATGGTGCTATCCTTGCTGCTGAAGACATCTATCCTAAGATAAATGTTAACAGCTGAGCTCTTCTAAAATGAGAGTAACTCAATACAGTCACAGGGATGGTGTGTACATCAATACAGTCACAGGGATGGTGTGTACATCAGAGCAGTTCAGATATGTTTACCATTCCACAAATTTTCTGGGCTCTGTAAAACCAGTGCACATCAAGGCTGTGACGGGTAGTCAAATGCTCGAGTGCCCGCACGGTTGACAACTACTCGGGTACGATTTCTCATACCCGAATATTCGGCCGCAAAAACAAAAAATAATAAAAAACAAAAAATTGTCCAGGCCGATGCTTAGCCGTGCCAGGGAGAGAGGCGGCCGCTGGCATGGTACCGTCGGTAAAAATGTTCCCAAACTCAAGCACAGTCAAACTCACTACTCAGAAACTGGAACCAAATGTCCAGATTTCTGTTTGGACTTGGAAGAAAATGGATTATTCTGCTATCTTTGGTTTTTAAAACAGCATTGTTTACTGGTATTATTATTATAAAATCAGCACCTTCAACTAAACTCAAAGTAAAATTGCATGCGTTTTCGGCGACAGACCTGGAATACTGATCCATTGGTATGGTGGTGGCAACAACAAAAAAAAAAAAAAAAAAAAGTTCAAAAATTCAAAAAAATTCAAAAAAATTCAAAAAAATTTATAAAAAAACATGGCGTCCAAATATTCAAGTATTCGCTTGTAAGCCTGGGAGTGTACTCGGTTACCTTAAAGGTAAAGACCAGTTATGGTCAAGCGATTGCATTGTGAAAGAAACGTTGTGGAATCGATCAGGAAAGGTTGATCATCTAGCATCTAGCATCTGCAAGGTTCTGGAATCATCAAAATGATAAGAAATTTGGCCCATTCTTCGTAAAGTTATAAGCACTATACACAGAAAGATGTATATGGGACTACCCTATATCTCTCACAAACCATGAGAGAAACAAATTTACCAAATATATGAATTAGTAGGCGGTTTCCCGGCAAATTTGTTATCATCATGTATTAGTCAAAACATATTCTTTTACATGATTGGTTATGAGAGCTTCCATTTCATTTTTTGAAATTGGGGCGTTTCCAATACTCGTCTTTACCTTTAATTACACTGTTGTGCATAGCCTTAGTGCACATACAGTGTACATGATGCAGTAGACTATGGCCCTTTACCAAAGAGATTTTTTTGGGTTTTTTTGGTGGGGGGGGGGGTTACATGTTAGTACAGTGTACATCAGTAGGGTGAGAACAAAAATTCATCTGTGCAAACATTAACCTTTAAAGACTCTCCACCACAAACAACATTTCTTTAAATATCATGTTTTAGGATATGGTAGCTGAATTTGTTCAGTATTGTAAATAACTAAATATTAATGTTTAAGATAGGCTACAGAAAATAATAATTGATAGAAAATGTTTCACTTGTTACCCATTGAGATTTACATCTAGTTGAGCTAGTGAAAACCATTTTAATCTTGAAAAAGTCAATTTACATTGTCGTTCTGACAATCACTTCAAAGGATAAATGTGTACTGGCATGCTATAATAGGATTACCGGTATTCCTCCCTTTGTGCCTTGGGCGCCCAAATCTCTTTTTGGCATGCCGACAGGCAGACCTTCTCAGGCTGCCTAGTACGCTGTTTGTGAGTATGTACACGTACGTGTAAACGTAGTAGTCACTAGATGAGTCGAATGGTTAAAGACTTTGAATGCTTCTCAATCTGAATGTTTTTAATCTACAAGAGATGATTACGTTTTTCCTTTCTGAAGGGTTTGTTTAGTTTCAGAATAATATAATAACAATATGCTCGTTTACCCAGGGTAGCCTCATCAGTATTAAAAGTCGTTCTCCCTGAGCCTAAATGCCCTCCAATCATACTGTACATGTATATTACCGGTACCCCAGCTTTACCATAAAAAGGCGCTCAAGCATTCAAGGAATCGCTTTCTATCTACAAAATGTAGTACCCATTTACACTGGATGTTACACTGGTTGCTTACTTACAAGCATTTATGCTTTCTTAGCAGTCAGGTAAAATAACCAGCCCCCCCCCCCCCCCAAACATACAAGCCTGGGAGGAGTGTGGCAAATGTATACAATATGCAAATCTTTTCTCGCAATAGCAGTCAGGTGAAAACAAATCATGAACCATCAAACTACATGTACTGTACATGGTAAAAACATACTACATGTACTGTACATGTAAAAGAGAAATATTACTCCAGGCCTCAGAACGAGGCTACAAATATCTCTGTATTTACCAAATGCCAAAAGTTCAATTTTGCCGCTACATCTTTGCAGGCCAGTAGAGTCAGCCTTTACAAGACACAGCCTATGCACTGTACACGTACTGAACACCATGTTTACAAATTGATTCTCTACACTAAAGCCTAAACCAATGAAATGGACAATGCAATAGGATGGTCAATAAACATGTACTGTATGTACCGGTACTCCCAGACCAAGGGGGATGATATTGGAAGTGAAACCTGGAAGATATGCATTGAATACCAATGAAGCTTTGTGAATTAACAAGAGTGGAAATGTACCAAATTTATACCCAGTACTGTAGAACAATGGACCATTTTATTCAGAACGTTGTCTATTTAAAAATAAAAGCCTTTTACTCAACCTACAATAAATAAGAGTAGGATACTGTATTCATTTTAATATTGATGTACGTGTTGACTAGTGGAGACTTTCCGTACATGTACATGTACAATGTGAACAGAATGTGTTTATAAATATATTGACTATATTAGTAAGCCACTGAAAATTATCACTAAGGCATCCAATTAAACCTGGGCAATATAAACTTACAACCTTTATGCAATAACACATTTTTCTCTATACCGGTAGGCCTTAAAGATTTTGACTTTGTTTTAATTTATGCAAGACATTGCTACTTTTACTACTCGCTACACGTACAGTAGTTCTTCTTCTTCCCAGCAGTTCTGCTTGGACCACATTGAGAGTGATGAGTTATAAGGTGTGGTACAGACATTAGGTGATTAACAGATAACCTCAGGGATTAATGATATCCATGGGGTGACCAGATGTACCTTAATTAATTGTCCATGCAGGGTCCCTAGATAGGAACAGTAATTATGTGTCATTGTCTTACATGTACAGTATGTTAATAGAAAACAGGTTCTATAAGCGCGCCCTATGACTAGTTGACTACATGTAGTTGACTACATTGAATGTTATAGGGAAAAAATAAATATTTATTTTTCGAGGGCTACTTTTCAACCTTGCCTGCATGAAAATAACATTCTAAAAAAAATTGCATTGAACTCTTTATGTAAACTTAAGGGGACTCTTTTCTGATTTTCGGGGGCTCTTTTGGGCATTTCGGGAGGCTATTTCGCCTGAGCTCCGTGTATTTTTTTCACTTGAATGTTACAACCTACAGATAATGCATTACTGGTACCACACATTGGCCTATATTGTAGTGTATTTCGTACACCAATACTACATGTCTATTTACTTTCAGATTTTACATTCAATACACAATGTACTTTCTTGACAAAGAAACATGACCTAAATACATGTACTGTAGGTAGACATGCTTGTAGACTGTTTGTTTGTATGGCTTGTTGGTTTGTGTTGGTTTCATTTTGTTTTGTACATTTACATGTAGTAAGTCCAACATACACTTTTGTTTTATAGTCCAGATCAGATATACTGTACATGTACCTGTACATATACCTGCAACTGTAGAACCTAATTAATAACTTAGCAATACCTTAATGGCCAACAGATTTAGAATGTCAAAAGATTCACAGGAACTACTGTAGTAATATTGTGTCATACTTGCATTACACCTGCATGAATGAAACAGTTGCTACAGTATACTGGTATCATGAAATTCAAACTAAATATCTGCCCTTGAATAAAAATGTACAAAACCCAATCTTTAATATCCCTAAAAAACATTCTTTTATAGAAACACTCCAATAAAATGTAAAGTCCTTGGCACTAACCCTATTTTGATTGCCAGGCAATACAAGCTAATGAAAATCCTTGAGCAGAAACCTATTAAAATCAGCAGACTTGTAAGACTGTTCACCCAACCAACAATCTACAGACAATTAGGCATTATACAGTGTAGCAGTTGTTAACTTTAATACATGTAGTCCCAATGGGAAGGGATCTTGAAAGATGTGATTCACAACTGTTGAACAGATTTAGCTCTTGAAGTTCCTATTTCATGCACCCTGTTATGTTTACAATACAAGAGGCCTGCTTAACAATAATACTACTACAAGGTCGAGCATACATTACTGTACCTGTACTTTATTTACCTTTTTCAGTCCTTTTTTTGTTTATCACTTGGGAGCAGGGGAAAAAAATACTTGGGGCTACTTTTCAAGCTTTCTTGCATGAAAATAACACTCTTTAATTTGTTTTGCATTGAACTCTATGCACATTTTTGGGGGCTCTTTTATAACTTTTGGGGCTCTTTTTAGCATTTTGGGGGCTAATTCCCCCAAGCCCCTGTGTATTTTTTCCACTGCTTGGGAGCTCTCCTTAAAAGTTCCTTACAATGGCAACCATGTACAAATAATTTAATACACTGTGCAGTGTGCACATTTACTTTTTACTGAATCTATGACGTAAAGATCACAATTATGTTTTCACAATCAAACCAGATTCACTTATTTCCGAACCATCCTGTATTTCACACCGCAGTGTCACAAGAGATTATAGCCCTTCTGAAGGACAGGAAACGAAGGTGTCGTTTTCCTGCTACTGTGACATGTTCCCATAATCTGAAAGCCTATACAGGAAGCATGCGCTACTTTCCATCCTGGTTTCAAGTTATCGCGTCATGAACAGATACGGTATTACTTAATATCAGTTGTCATGGTTTTTTAATTCTATAGTCTGATACCATTGAACATGAAATGTGTAGATTTAGTTTAAATGTTACTTCTTCTTCTTCTAGTAATCTTAGGGCTACTGTGTACTGTACATGTAATTTACATGTGTGTGTTCCCAACATGTATCATGTCAGATGAAATATGTTCTTCAAGACATAAATCAAGTAAGGATATCGTTATCAACACTATCATGTACAGTTAGTAAGTTACTGAGTTTTGATGGGTAAAGCTGTCACATCAAGAATTATTAAATAGTAAAATTACTTTTTCAAATAATGAATACAGAAATATTACAGTTAAAGAGCTAGCTGTGGAGTAAAATTGTTTACTTTAGATTTTTCTCTCAGTATATGAAAATCTTCTCTTTTTTTTTTCGTTTTTTGGAATGGTTTGCCAAACCCATTGCCCAAAATGGGGCCAAAGCAAAAGAGATTCTTCACCAAAAAATCCAACTTCTAAATTATCTAATTCAACAATTAAAAAGTTGGTTCATTCACCATCAAGATTTACACATCTTTAGAGTTTAAAACATTCAACAACATTTCAAAATCAAGCAAAATTCAACCCAGTTGACCGACAAACAAGAACTCTTCACCTTGAAAAAAATCAGTCTGATCTGTCGGTAAGTGCATTGACTAGCACTAGCGGTACACGCCTATACCATCACACGCAACTGGTAGTGGTATAATTGGTAGCGAATCGCTCACCCAACTCCACGCCGCGGTACCCCATTGATTACAAACAGCTTCGCGCACTACTTTCCCCAACAACACTGCTACCAACAAAAATTCCTTTACCAGCCCGAGATAACACAGACAAATACCCTTTAAATTGCGTCTAATCTTACCGTTAACTTCTTTGTTCAGTTGAAGTAGGAGTTGATGATTCCAGAAAATAATTCAACTAGTCAAAGAAATTCTTACAAGATTTTGAAATTCCGTATTTTCGTAGACTCTCCCCAAATGTGTGTTACTTCAGTTCCGTTTTTCGTACGCGTAATCTGCATCTAGCTGGAGAAATGTGAGAGATCGAGATAAAAAGAGCAATCAACGCGCACACACCCTCCGATCATATCGTCGAGAACGTACGCCGCTATTTTGGGGAAAGCAATAGGTTCACTCCGCATAACATTTGACTGACTCAATTCCTATTGTTGACTATTGTAAACGAAGGCTGAATGGGAAGGGAAAACGAAACAAAAAAGTTCCTTTGCGGTCTGTTTGTTTGTTAAGAATCCCAGCAAAGGCTTCTCCGTTATATCCGACGTTGTGTAAACATTACAGAAACAAGCATTTTGCATAGCGGAAAGTATTAAATTGAAGTTTTGAATGTTGTAGGACCTTTTGTGCAGTTGTAACCAAACATCTTCGATTGTTTACCGAGGAAATACTCGATATCGTTTGGAAATTAATAAAGAACCTAAATGTTACCCCAAAAACCTGGGATACCAGACCGTGACATCGATCTAAGAGAAGGGGCTGGTCTCTGTTGCGTCCACGTCCCCCCCCCCCCCCCCCCGACCCCGGCTCCCCTATACGTTCCAGCTTGGTTCGTGTACCATCAAAGTAACAATCTATCTTTCTCACATCAGAATTTACAACGAAACGATGAGAATGATCTAAATACTGTGATAATAGGCCTTTGTCACTTGTAGTAGATTAAGGAAGATTAGGAAAGGAAGATGAAAAGGCCACATTAAAAAAAAATGAATTAGAAGCACGAAGAAAAAAAGGCAATAAGGAATTTTGTAATCATCGGAATCTTACAGTTGGCGAATGTGTTAATCTAAACATCAGCACAATAAACAACTTTTCGTTTTCTTTTAAGCACAAACATTCGCGGGGCAATATTATAGCGGGCCTACTAGTTTGTTTGTAATGAATAGAATATTGTTAGGGCTATATTTCTCAAAAGTAATCCTAAAATGGCCCTTTTTGTGTTGGAATAAATGGAAGAGCTGTCCATCACTGACTAATTATTCCAAATGTAATATGTATCATGTTTTCAGAATTGACTTTTTTTAATCCGATTTCGATAAGTACTTTCACCCACTTGGCGTATCGTTTTGGGGTGTCCAAACCCCCCCCCCCCCCCCCCTTGGCAAACAGGGGGTGTTTTAGAATTTTAAAGACACCCTTTATTGTCTTATCTATGCCCCCCCCCCCTTCCCCTGACAGGGGGGTAGATGTTAAGGGAAAAAACGGAGTGTTCAAAAAATTAGTTTCCCCCCCCCCCCCCTGGATCCGCCAATGGATGCAGGCGGAGTGGGGGGGGGGGGTGGGCATACGGGGCAGAGCATGAGTCTGACATCAATTAGTGTGATGAAACCGTTTACCCCAACTCTTCGTTTTCAGAAACTCGACAAGATGGGTAGTTGAAGTTTATCATGGCTTCAGATTTTAGACATTTTAAAGTAGACCTTTTCTTTTTTCAAAGAATTAACCTACAGGCTATACTTGATGATAAAAGACTGCATGACAGGAATAAAATGCTTTCCATGGAAATTACGGCAATTCTTTGAGTTAAAGAGAGGGAAAAAATAGAACAAGAAAAAATCCTATATGAGAAAGAAACGGGTAGAAGGAATATTGATAATAATGAGACCCCCCCCCCCCCCCAAAAAAAAAAAAAAAATAATAATAATAAAATCGTATATATAAGTATAAAATACAAAGTTATACGTGATGCTATATCATAGCTGTTCTATCATGCACCATCCTTCCGATTATTATCTTTATTATTATTATTATTATTCTAATTATTTCGAGTGTTTTCAAATTAAAACATTTTACTCTTTTTACTTATGTGACATTAAACTCAGTTACCAATAAATTCAGGGAGGGGAAAAACTCCGCGAAGCGCGGAAGCTTACGTTTCATTAAATTATTAGAGAAAGAAGACGATTCGTTGTACCGCTCTCGAAAATAATCCTCGTCTGAATTTAGTTTCCTCACCGCCCCCTGGTTACTCGCCTGCGGACAGATGAACGTACATTTATTGAGTAACTATGTCGACAATTAACGTAAAAATTATATCACCAGAAATGATATTAGGTAATAATTTGTCAATTGTTATTGATAACGTGCATTATCTTTTTGTTTTTGTTATGTTTGATTATTCAATATGAATGTCAGCATTTCACATTCTCTCTCTCCTCCCCCACCCCCCCCCCCCCCCCCCCCTCCTCTCTTCTATTTTTCTTTTTTTTACACCAAATACCATTTTCCCTATATCATATAACTTTCTTCTTTCTCTGTTTTTCTCTGTTTTGTTGTTTTTCTCGTTCCAGTTTGCTTTTTCCCTCTCGATTCCTTTGTATATATTTCATCCTCTCCTTTACAAAATGTCAAGCTATCCCTTTTGTAAATATTCCCCCCATATTTAATCATGTGTAGTTTTGATAACTTTGAAACATTTTTTAAAAGTGAAACATTGATGGATTATTTTATATGGGGACCTTGCTCTTACAAGCCCAGCTTTTCTAAGGTCTCCACTTTCTTTCATTTGGATTATATATCGACTTAAAATTGTACTTAAATTGTTTTTTCTTATGCTGTTTTTTTGTTCTATTATTATATGTAAAAATGTCGTGAAAGAAAGAAATAAAATGAACCTTGAACCTTGAACCTTGAACGTATGTTGATACCTTGTCCGCCCCGGAAGCTCAGGGGTTTAAGGCAATAATTTACGGTCAGATTAGCATTCAGCGGTCCGCCTTATAGGCCCTAGGCGGGATCCAGGGGGCAGAGCCCCGGAAGTTCAGGGGTTTTAGGCATTTAAATACGGTCAGATGAGCATTATTTTGATACCTAATTGTGACACTGGCAGGTCACTAATTGCCGTGGGGTTCATGGGGCGGAGCCCCCGGAAGCTCAAGGTTTTAGGCATTAAATTACCGTCAGATGAACACCTAAGGGCCCACGTGAGGGCCCTAGGGGTTTTAGGCATTTAATCATGGTCTGATGAGCATAATTATCATGTTAGGCATCTCAAGAAGCATTTTCTTGTCTGGCTGTAAATTTAGGAATTTATCATTTTTTCAACAAACGCATATAAAAAAAGTATAATTTGCTAAAAGTGAGGAAAAATCTCGGAAAATTATGTCATTTCAGCATTATTTGTAAACGACCGTTATGGAATAAGAAATAACCTACGTTTGAATTTTATTTCCCCAAAGCTCCCCCCCCCCCGCTTCCCTCCCCTATCAGTATGCCAGTGCCCCCCCCCCCCCCGATCTACACCTTGTTGGCAGGAAAATTGCAACTTATATCCCTTACCTTTCTTCATTCTCTCTTTTTTTCTTTCCCTTTCTCTCCTCTTTCCCTTTTTCTTCCCTTCTTTCTCTCTCTTTTAGGTTTGCTGGGGGGGGGGGGGGAGGTCAATTTAGCCCCCACCCCGCTCCACACATTGTTGGCAGGATTGACCGCAACTCGGATCTCCCCTTCTTTCTTTCTTCCTCTTTTTTGTTCCCTTTTAGCTCTCCTCTTTTCCTTTTCCTTCCTTCTCTCTTTTCTTTTAGCGGGGACGGGGGGGGGGGGGGGCGGGGGGGGGGGGGGGGAGCAAGGGCCTTTTGCCCCCCCCCGATCAACAACTTGTTGGCGGGAAAATTGCAACTGATATCCCCCTTCTTTTATTTTCTTCTTCCTCTTTTTTCCTTCCCTTTATCTCCTCTTTTCCTTTTTTCTTTCCCTTTCCTTCCTTCTCTTTTAATTTTTGATGGGGGGGGGGGGGAGGCAACAGCCTGGGAGGTAAGTCCTTTTGCCCCCTCCCCCCCTCCCCCGATCTCCTTCTTCACTCTTTTCTTCAGTCTTCTTCCTCTTCTTTTTTCCCCTTTCTCTCCTCTTTCCCTTTCCCTTTCCCTTCTTTACCTTCTCTCTCTCTCTCTCTTTTTTTTTTTTTGGCGGGGGGGGGGGGGGGGGGGGGGTGGGGGTGGGGCAAGGCCCGCTCGCCCCCCCCCCCCCTGGATCCTCGCCTGTCCGTCTGCCCGATCTCCGTCGCTGCATGCCTATATTCCGCCAATATCGCCTTTTATATCTGGGGCATGGACCAATGATCTGAGAGTCCCTCAATAGGTGTCTAAAATATTTTGTTGTTGTTTAATGGCCTTTGCAATTTATTTCCGTAACTATATCTTATTTATAACTTTTTTAAATCTGAAAATGAGGTCTGCATCGAAAATAATAGGGCAGGCGTGAGAAGGGGGGGGGGGTCGACCCGCACTTTCTGAAGTATTATGTTCAAACCATTCATTCATTCATCAAACAGAGATCGATACTTTATATGATTCGAACAAGAAAGAAGAAGAAGAAGAAGAAGAAAAAGAAGAAAAAAAAGGAGAAAAAAAAGAAGAAAACGATGATTAAGTATAAATAAGAAGAGAAGAAGAAAGAAAAAGAAGAAAGAAAAAGAAGAAAAAGAAAAGAGAGCGGAAAAGGAAGAAAAAGAAGAACATAAAGAAGAAGAAGAAGAAGTAGAAAAAGAAGAAGGCTGAACAAGAAGAAGGACAGTGACAACAACAACAACAACAACAGTAACAAGGACAACAACAACAACAACAACCATCACCACCACCACCACCACCACGGCACTCAGGGAAAACCAAAGTAAAAGCTGAGCTGCGGTTGTGAGATCGATAGATGGCGCTAAGCCTATCTAGAGAAAAAAAGAATTCAAAATGGCAGCGCCCACTGAAGATTTAGAGCAATCATCGTCTGATGATTATTATGCGATTCTCAACGTCAGGAGAGAGGTGAGTCACTTAAAGTCTCATGTATATAAAAAGTGAATCTTTGAGTGTGAAAGATGTTCAAAGATTAGTGGAGTAATTAGCTACTAAGAGAGTTGAAAAGAGTCCAACTTGACGAGTGACGTGAGTGAGCTGAGATCAGTCTGCAGTCGCGACCACGACGGACACCAACGTGCTGCCGCCCAAGCCGGGGCCTCCTAGCCTAGTAGCATCATCGCATGGACTGCCCTATGCGGTACACGTACATGCGCTGCATGCCTTGCTGCATGCCGTGGCATCCATGTTTGCGTTCATTGCTAGCTCTATTATTCTACATTTTTTCTGGCGATAAAGTGATGTAATTTTTATGTGACATAGGATTACGAGACCACCATTTACTCTGCATAGTCATAGTGAGCAAAGAAGCACTTCTTTTGTCACAAAGACACAAGCCATTTTTGATTTTGTGTGTGCAAATGAATGGGTACCCTGCCATTTTACCTGGATTCCATTTTCCTGAATGATTGATCATTGACAATTTCATTGATGATGATGATGATGATGATGGTGAATTTATGATGATGATGATGATAATGAATTGATGATGATGATGATGATGATGATGATGAAGATGAAGATGATGATGATGAATTTTTTAAATTTAGACTATTTACATTTTCAACTTGTCAAATGCTCTGACTGAGAGCCTCTGTAGATTTGTATCATGTGTTATTAACAGAATAGAGTTTAGGTGAGTTTTAAAGGTATTGAGAGATTGCTGGTTTCAGAGAATTTTGGGTAGTTAACTCCACCAAATTCCAAAAGAAAAATTTACCTTAATAAACTCATGGTAATATGATGGTAGGTAATTTAATTTAGAAGAATCATTCCTTTGGCATTGCGAGGAGGTTCACATACCGAAAGATCAAAATGCTAAGTTTGCATAAATTCTAAGATGACCTATTACATGTATTGATAATTTCCATTGTTCCCGATAATGCAGGCTGACCAAGATGAGCTAAAGTCTGCTTATAGACGTATGTGTATGCTGTATCATCCCGATAAACATGGGCTGGATGAAGACAAGCAAGCAGCAGAGGACATCTTTAATAATATTCAACAGGCTTATACAGGTAGATATTAAAGGCCCACTGTACTACTTGTAGCTACTTGCTCCCTTTATTATAGAAAGCAATGCCTAACCGGTGACCATTGGTCCTGATGATCCTCTTTTTCTTACGTTAATTGAGAGCTGAGTTGATGAGATAGCCACCTGTCAGTGACCTTCCTGGATGGTCTAACCCCTCCTAGCCAAACTAGTACAGACGGCCTTTAAGTGAGGCGGAAAGAGATGGCCTAGTTTTTGTGAATCCTTAGCAAAGTAGACAGAAGGTGGTTATTGAGAATGACAAGTTAGTCTCTTTGACCATCTGTCTTGCTGACATTATGAAGACATTTAGGGACCTCATGAATCATGTGCTGTTGGTCTTGTAAGACATCAATCAAGTTCACCGTAGCCTTTGGAGCTAGAAGCCTTCATGACAAAACATCCCAACAGATCAACACCCACAGAAAAGGTTTGTAAAGGTCTATGAGATCAGCATGCCAGTCACATTGGTTATCAGTATGGCGTACTGTGGTCATGCACACACAAATGAAAAATCCAAGTACTAGAACTCAATATTATATGCAAATGTATTTCTTATTCAATTATGCAAAGCTTCACCATATATGTAGATTTTAAGAAATAAGTGGATATGTAAATGAATAGAGATGACCAAGTAAGTAAAGAAAAAAGAAATCAGAAGAAGCAAAAACTTGTTTATAGATAGCCAGTTCAGGAATGTGTAATACAAACTCGCTGTTCTCTCCTTCTGTAGTTCTGAACGACCCTACCAAGAGGGCCGTCTATGATGTGTATGGTAAGAAGGGACTGGATGCAGACTGGGACCTGGTCCCGAGAACCAGGACCCCTCAAGAGATCCGAGATGAGTTTGAGAGGCTTGAAAGACAGAGAGAAGAGAGGAGGCTACAGCAGAGCACTAATCCAAGAGTAAGTAGGAATCTTGTCAGGACCAATGTACAAATTATGTGATCAAAGATAATGTTGCTAAATATATTACTCATTGCGGATGTAGTATCGAAAATAATATCGCTAGTGATATTCGTTTGTCTCGCAATGTGGTCAATAAGATAATGATAATGTTGTTGGTTTGTACTTTATCACAATGATTTATAGATCCAAATATAAAGATTAATAGTATTAGTCATATATTAAGATTAATCTATTGAAATAATAAATGAAAACAATTGATAGTGAGGAAAGAGTAGTAAACTACATGTAGACGATTTCAATTTCTATTCAATTTTATTTCACCACAGCAATTGAAAAATAACTTAAATACATATGATTATACATTGTTACATTAAACAAATAGAATACATACATTGTACATTGGAACAATAATGTAAAAGTTGCTTGGTAGGTAGTAGACAGAAAGGAAGTGACCCTAATACATGGCTAACCTAAAGAAGGTGTGAAATTAAAAGATAAATATTATTCCCAGATTCATGATTACCAGATTCATGACAAAAACAACATTACCACCAAAAATAATTGAAAGGACATCCCATTGGCTTGTCTCATCAATGGTCCTATGTTAATACACAGTGCTAAGGTACAGGGTTAGTGTTACCCAGACGCCATCCCATGTACCCCTGACTGTTAACCCAATCGCCTTCATAAACCAGGTAGCTCATGTGTTAAGCCTATGGGAATGGAAGCGTTCAGGAGTCAACAGGTTAACTACATGTATGTTTGCATTAGGACCATTTCGGGTAATCTCAGACTGTTATATGTTTTGTTTCAGGGAATGATCTTGGTTGGAATTGATGCTACTGATGTCTTTGATCGTTATGAAGGATATGAAGATGACCACAGGTGAGTTACACATCTTATTATCTCTTGTTTTTCTCCTCCTCCTCCTCCTCCTCCTCTGCCTCTTTCTCACCATCACTATCATCATCATCATCATGATAATTACTTTGCAACCAATTGTTGGGTAGAGCCAGATAATAAATTGTTGTGTTGAATTTTTTTTTAAATTTTATTTTATTTCATTTCCAGGAACATAAAGGAGTATAACAAAAATAAACAACACAAGAAAACGAATGTGTTGGATTAATGAAGTATTTGCTATTCCCAAATAATGAGCTTACTTATCAATAATTGAATGCCATAATGAATTATTTATTCTTCCTCTCTCTCTCTCTCTCTCTCTCTCTCTCTCTCTGTCTTTGTTCTCCCTCTCTGTTCTTCTCCTCCACCTTTCTCTCACATCCTCTCTGTCTGTCTGCATCTATCTCCTCTTTCTCTCTCTCTCTCTCTCTCTCTCTCACCCCTTCTCCTTTCCCCTTCTTCTATTCTCATATTAAACCCTTCAGTGGTGTACCTGTCATAGAGATCAAGAGTATGTCCATTAACCAGTCTCTGGACGCTCCATTGAATACCTCGGACACGGCTAGCTTCTCTGGTAACCTTGTCACTCAGAACGGCAACGGTCAGGGCAGTATCTCCATGTCTATGAGAAGAGTTACATCACCACAGTCATGGGGAGAGGTAATATACAAATAATACACAGCAGTGAGGACATTAGTAAGAATTACCCACACAAGGTACCTTTGGAACAGTCTAACACGCCTGAGGCAATAGCCGAGGGTGTTTGGACTGTTTCAAAGGTACCGAGTGTGGGTAATTTTATCAATGCCCGAACAAAATGATGTGTATTATTTGTTTTATAAGATGATGTTTTGTGTTATATAAAATGATTTTACTAATTACCGCTCATTAGTAATATTACATGTTAGGAAAAATAAATGCCTGGTCACGTGTACGCTTTCAACCAATCATTTGATTAGGATCCTTTTCGTCATCTTATAATACTCTATAAAAAGAATCATTGTGGCCTGACATGTTTAGATTTAGGATTTGAAATGAAGGGGGTTGTCCTTCCCTCCTGTGCAAATTGCTAAAGGTTTGTAAATTATTAAAAACTTTATTGTGGTGCCATGGTCTAGTGGATATTTCACCTGACTTTGGATCACATGGTTCGGGGATCAAGTCCCGCTAAGGTACTAATGTCCTTTGGCAAGACATTAATCTACATTTACCACACTCCACCCAGGTGAGATAAATGGGTTCCCAGCAGGAATTTATTCCTTGAAAGGCTAGAGCGCCGTATGGCAGCCGTGCTAAAGCCAGGGTAATAATTGTGAAGCGCCAAAAGTGTCCAATTTAACAGACATGAGCGCTATTCAAAAACTCACTATTATTATTATTAGTGTTTGACATGATCACTTTTTGTTGTAGTAATGATAGCGATAGGAGCAGCAGTTGCAGTCATAGGATTATGTGATGTAAGATGTAGTTGTATATATTAGTAATATTAAAATGGTAGTAGTGGGAGTAGTATGACAGTGTCCTTATTATTTGAAGGAATCGTCTGCAAGAATCTTCAAAGCCGAAGGAGGCAGATGTAAACTGAAGAAGACAAATAAAAGTTATTTTATTAATGTTGTGATTACTTCTCATTTCACAGTTGCAGGTATCCGGTGGTTCAGGTCCGTCCTTTGCTTTGAAATACTTCAAGCATATATCAAAGAGAAGGTAGGTTTATCATACATTGATCCGATTATAATGAGACTAGTTAGCCAGGGTTGGAAAGAAATTCAGATCAATAAAACAAACTCAAGGTAAAACAAAACAAACATACCGTAATTAACCGTGTATAAACCGCACTTAATTTTTTTTTTTAAAATTCAAATTTTCGATTTATACCCCTCCACCTGGCGCTATGCCTGGCAATGTCTCCCAGCTCAGTAATCGGTGTGTTGACTCACCACTCGGAAACTAGAACAACACTCAAATTTGTCTGTCATCTTGGTTTGAAAGTAATCTTTCTGATAGATCTCAATGTGTAGTTTATAATAATAATTCCTCCAATTTTTCTTCTATTACATGGCGTACCTCAAGGTTCTATCCTAGGTCCTCTACTATTTTTTAATTTACATTAATGATCTTACACATTCAGCTGCACCTCGCAGTTTAAATAAAAGGCCTTCCCGCATGGGTTTTTTAACACGGACCTGGCTTGCAGCGACAGAAAAGAGTCGGCAAAAAAAAAAAAATTAGGGCGAAAAACAGGGGTGTGGTTAATACATGAGGGCGGTTTATACAACGTTAATTACGGTAGGTCCACAAAACACTGTAAAATTACCGCAGTTAGATCATTTAGTGCTTCCAATTTTTGAAATTACACAGAAGATGGTATGTTCTTTCAGGAAATGGTCAAATCTCAAATGTGGCCATTCTGACCAAAACACCTTTATAGAACTCCAGCTGTAAATCACACCATGTGACGTTTTGGGTGGTTTTGTCATGCCCGGTCAATTTATAGTTTGTGTTGAATGAAGGGAAAAACAACAATTAGGTTACTGATTTTAGGTCTCTGCTCAAAGAGGCTTTATTCATAGTGTAACTGAATTCCAGACACCAAAGGAAAAATTTACCCTTGTCAGGGTATCATAATTCTTAATTCTCATGTGACAATGTCAACCCCAGTCTATTTCAATATGTGTACCTGTCGTACCTTATTTGTGTATCTGCTGTTTACCCATCTGTTTTAATTTGTCTTTATTATTTTACTGATTTGATTTCCAGCTTTGTAACCTGCTCAGGTTTATTCCAAGTCACTCCTAGAGGATCTGTGGCTCCAGGGCTTGTGTTGGGTAAGTAGTCGATGTGTATTAAACACAAACACAGTATGTGATTTAGAGAAGCAGAGAGGGAGGGATACAGGAAGGAGCGATGGAGAGAGAGGGGGAGGGAGAGGAGAGGGAGGGAGGGAGGGTGGGCGGGGGAGAGAGAGAGGGAGGGAGGGAGGATGCCAACCAGTACGATTAAATCATATTTAGTACGATAATAAGAGTGAAATACGATTTTTCATCTTTCCAAAAAAACAAACAAACCCGGAATCGCATAGAAACATGTACAAGGAAACCCCCGCAACCCCAACAAAAACTTTGCTTTACAATTTCCACATTTTATTTTTTATGAAAGAGCAAACATTTTACTTGCTGCTTACATTAACATAAATGGTCTGTATTCTACTGATAACGATGATGATGATGATGATGATGATGATGATGATGATGATGATGATGATGATAGTGATGATGATGATGATGATGATGATGATGATGATGATGATGATGATGATGATGATGATGATGGTGATGGTGGTGATGATGAGGATGAGGATGAAGATGACGTTGATGATGATGATGTCTATGTATCTGTTTTGAAATCGCAGTTGGTGCTCGTCAGTTAGATCGTCACACCATGGGCTATCTCACATGGAAGGCAGGTCTTCAATCCTCAATGAATTCAATGGTAGTAAGAGACACCAAAGATAGCAACATCTCTTGTCAACTTCAGGTAACTTCTAGCTCTTCATTTTATCACGTTTCCAGCAGTTCACCTTATCTCACAAAGCTGTCATATTCAATAGCTGCCAACATGTCCTATTTTTGGCCTTCAAGCTATTGTTTTGAACCTCGGCATCTCTCTTTTTCTGAAATATTCTGTGTGAAAGGTATACAAAATAGACTGATTGACAAAAAATTTACGTTGAGAGGTTTCTAATTTTTGCTGTGAAAGGTATATCTAATACAGACCATGTGACTCTTGCCAAGACAGAAAGAGAGAAAAGGTAGAAACCTATAATAGTTCTGTTTTGAAAACTGAGAAGTACAATGCATTTGTGATGCACTTCATAATAGATAGAATAGTTACTAATTTAGTTAGAATGATAATTAACCTATTTTATTATATACTTCAAAGTTGTCTGATGTATCATTGGGCAGGTCCCCCCCCCCCCAATACTTCAACATTGAAATTGTCATTGACAAGATAGTTTTCTTTTTCAGAGTGTTGCCAAATCTCTTTACTTTATTGTTACTGTTGATGATGGGACTAATAAGATTGGGCATAGACAGATAAGAGTGTTAACCTTTTTTGTTTTACATTGTTTGATTTTAGTTTAACAAACATTTTTACACAGCCTCCCACCTATATGATCTTGGGTAATGTCAGAAAGGGTTGTATGCTATTTGGTCTTGCAAAAATTGCCAGGTTCGATTTCTACTCTAACTAAATTCTGCACTTCCACCTTAGACCCAATAATAATAATAATAATAATCATAACCCTAGCCTAATTATTCAACTCGACCGCTAACTCTAACCCTAACCATAAACCTAAACCTAACCCAATACTAAATAGCAACCCTAACCCTAAAGCTAACCTAATACTACATAGCAACGGAAGCCCTTACCAAACCAATACCTTTGATAAATATAGCCCAGAGCTATTGTTGCAGGAACACACTAATGATCACTTTCAGAATTTTGAAGGACACCAGAATGACTCTATTCTCTATTTCTTCCATTAGCTTGGTATTCCTAACACCTTTGCCAGTGCCTCGTACAGTAAGAAGTTTCCTGATCATGAAGGCAGAATGACTGCTTCTATCAAGTAAGTCAAAATACTCAAATATGATTCCTCTCTTTTTGATTCTAACTGAAAAGTTTGTGTTTTCATGGTTCTATGGTTTGTATTTTATTTATTTATTTATTTATTTATTAAAACATCTTTTAACAGGATAACATTCATCAGCTCGCAGGCTGTTTTACATAATGGTCCTGCATAAGGATGGAAAATACAAGTTCAAACTGACAATAAGAGTAGTTACAAACAAAATAGCAGTTTTATACACATGGTAAAAAACGAAAACACAAATATAAAATTATAATTATAAAAGATAAATATCAAATTTACGACGCATTAATGCAATATGACATTTACATTATGACATTTTATATTAGAATTATATATAACAATGAAGTTAATAAACATTTCATGTCGAGATTAAGTCCAATGAATTGTGAATATGGTTTATATTGCATAATTATAAAAAATAAATATCAAATTTAGAACGCAATGTAGGTATTTGAAATTTCTAGGTAATTGGGTTAGCAATCATTTTAGTTATTGCATATAATGTTGTAGTAGTGAGGAGAAACGGCAGTGAACAAATTGTTATCCATTAAAGGAATATTTTTTATATTGATATTTAAAACTCTCTACTGAATTGGCATTTTGGATATCATTGGGAAGCTTATTCCAATTAACAGCTCCAGCATACTTAAAAGATTGTTTGAATAAGGTTACGTTGGGTTTTGGCAATACTACATTAAGGGAGTTTGCATTTCTTGTGTTTAGGCCATGGCGGTCGAAATACATTTCTATTTCATTTGATAAACGAGGTGGAGCAATGCCCCTTATACATTTATACATAAGCATAGCCAGAAAATAATCACGGCGCTGATCAATAGTTTGCCAGGACAGTTTTTGTATCAATGTGTTGCCGCTTGCAACTTCATAGTCAAAAATACCAGTTACATATCTAGCAGCTCTTTTCTGTAATCTCTGAAGGGGCAGCTTGTAGCTGGCTGGGCAATTCCCCCATACAGATATTGCATAGTCTATACAGGGTTGGATTACACACTTATAAAGGGTGTTCAATAGTTCTGGGATTACGAATTTACTCAGCTTTCCTAGAGAATAGATTTTATAGGCAATAGATTTACATAAGTCTCTTAAATATACATTCCACTTCAAATTTTCATCAATCTCTATACCTAAATATCTTATAGATTTTACCTGTTCGATCAGTTCATCTTTTATGTATATATTTAATACTTCAGAGGATCTTAATTTTATTAACATTGTTTTGGTTTTACTTGTGTTAATGCGTAATCGATTTTGTGTATACCAATTATTAAGAGCATTAATATCTTTTTGTAATTTCTTTGTAACATCATCTAGCTTACTATCTGCAACAGTGACTACAACATCATCAGCAAATATGTTGCAGACGCCTTCAGTTATACTTTCAGATATATCATTTATGAATAAAAGAAACAAAATGGGGGCCAGGACACTGCCCTGTGGTACTCCGATAGAAAGCTCTCTTGTACCAGATAACTTTCCTTTGGAGTATACCACTTGCTTCCTATTACTTAAGTAGTTTTTGAACCATATGAGCCTGTTTTCAGTTATTCCATATTTTTCAAGTTTGAATAGAAGAAGCTCGTGATCAACACAATCGAAACATTTAGAGATGTCTAGAAAGCATGCACCAACCATTTCTTTCGTATTTAAGGCTTTGTAGAAGTCGTCTATGACACGATGTAAGCATGTTACAGTTGAATGGTTTGGAAGAAAGGCGTATTGATCGACATTAATCATATCATGTTTTTGAAGGTAGGAAAGTAACTGTAATTGTACTTCCTTTTCTATAATTTTGGGAATATGACTAGCAACCGAAATTGGTCGATAATTTGTTTTTTCATTTTTTGAGCCTTTTCCTTTGAAAATCGGTGTGGTACGTGCAATCTTCCAATCATCAGGTACTATTCCCGTATTCTGACTTGCATTAAAGATGACACATAGGGATTGAGCAATATATGGTGCAGCTAATTTGAGTAATTTAGTGTCAAAGTCTAAGACATCTAAATTGCTATTTGAAGCCAAGTTAGTTAAATGTTTTAGAATCTTGGAACTAACAATTGGTTGAAAATAAAATTTATAAATACAATGTGGATGATTCCATTTCGGTTTTTCTTTAACAAATGATCTAGAGATATTGTTACCTGTATTAATAAAAAAATCGTTCATTTCATTACATTCAATATTACAGCTCTGGTCCTTAGACTTTGTCACTCCAGAAATCTTATTCAATTCTGTCCATAATTTCTTCGAATTATTCTTATGTTTATTATGTACATCCCGAAAATATTCCTGTTTTTGTTTTCGTATGACACAGATAATATGGTTTTTTAGTTTTTTATACTTTTTATCAAAATCATTTCGAATTTCTTGTTCAGGAGAAGACACGGACTTTCTTTTAAGAAAATCTCTGGTGTACATAAGTTTTACAATTTCTGGAGTCATCCAAGGACAAAATCTGTCTTTTACCCTAGTTGTCTTGATAGGTGCATGTTCGTTACTTATTTTCAAAAATGTTTCTTTCCAAGTTGTCCATGTTACTTCGATTGGAACATCGTTAGTTAATTGAAATATTTCAGCTGATTTTATAGAAGCAATAAATCGATTTTCATCAAATGATTTATAATCACGAAAGCGACAAGTTTTATGTCGCTTCCTTTCCATGATAGTGTTAATACAAGTATAAATCATATAATGGTCACTCATGGAAATTTTTGCAACATCACATATAATGTGCTTCTGGGGAATTGAACTTAACAAATGGTCTATACAAGTTGATGATGAAGTAGTTACTCTTGTTGGTTTACTTATCATTTGCGTTAGAAGGAAAAGATTTTCTATGAGATTAATTTGGTTTTCATGGAGTGATTCGTCCATTTTATAATCAATATTAAAGTCCCCTAGTATCAGTAGATCAGATGGTTCATCACTTGCTTTTTCAAATACATCTAGCATCTTATTAAAGTACTCAATATTCAAGTCAGGTGGTCTGTATAGGCAACATAATAATAGTTTCTCAGATGAGGGTAACATTAACTCAATCCATATTGCCTCCAATGAGGTATCACTGAGATCATAACGTTCAATACATGATAATGTGTTTTTTGCATAAATACAAACACCGCCTCCACGGCGACCATCTACTCTATCCCGCCGGAATAGTGTATACCCGTCTATTGAGATCAGATTATCACTTGTAGTTTGAGATAGCCATGTTTCTGAAATACACAGTATGTCAAGGTTAATTTTCATCAAAAGAAATCGCAATTCATCCAATTTTCTATACATACTACAAACATTTAAGTGAGCTAATTTTAGGCCGTTGCATTTTTTAAGTTTTTTAACACAAATATCATATTCGTTGTTGTCGGATATTGAGGTATTGTTTGAGTCCGAGCTAGCTGTTTCATCGTCATCAGTGAATTCATTTATTGGAGTTGTGGATGGTTCATTTCCCTTATCCTGCTCAATGTCACTGGATCGATTGAAGTCATCAATGTCTTCATGACTATTGTCTAATTTCTGTGATTGTTGAGGAGTCTCCGGGCTGTTTGTAGACAATCTAGCCAGTCTCGTGGGAAAACACGGTCGGACGCTTTCTTGCGGAATTTCGCTTTGCTCGTCATCTGAAAAGACGGAGCATCAGGATATTGAGATTGGAGCCAAGGATGTTTGTTATCCAAACTAGTCGGATCAGAAACAGAAACAGTGGCTGATGGAAACTGGTCACGATGAAACGCAGGGCGGGATCCTCGAAGATATGCGATGATATTCTGTGCCAATACACGTACTCCGTAGCCGTTTAAGTGTACGCCATCAGCGGCGAGATGTGTGTCAGGAGTGATGTTTTCATTGTCCACGACTCCCCAGCTGCGGCGATTGGCTAGAAGTTTTAACATTTCATTTACACTGCGCACTTTCTCGAAATCGCTTGCTGATTCTCCGCGACGATGGATTATTGTCGAGACACTTATTTTCTTGGCTGGTGTCAGTTTGACAATTTGTTCTGCCAGGGATTCAAGTTTTGCAACAATTTCATCTGCGTCGTGTGAAGTGACATCATTCGAACCTAGATGAAGGATTACTTCTTTAGCAGTTTGCTGAATAGCTTGCTCACAAAAAATGTCGCAAACATCTCCAATACGAGCGCCTCTGAATGTTTTGCACTTAACGGGTCTTCTTGATAGCCTCGAAGGGTTGATGTCCTTTACCATGGAATCACCAACAATCAAAACATCGGTTGAATGGGCATTCTGAGTGACCATTGATGCTCTCAGGAGCTGATGTCTTGCTTTGTAGTCTCGTAATTGATCATCTATTGTAAGGCTATTAGGTTCATTACAATGCTGATCTTTCTCTGTGCTTGCGTCGGAAACGATTTGAGCTTCATCTGTTGTCGTCTGATTAGCTGATTTGGAGCCTTTTGTTGACGAGATGATGCCATTGACGGTTTCATTCAAAGCCTGGAGTTGGTTTTGAAGAGATTCCAAGGTAGTTGTGATTGTTTCACAGGTCTTGCAATTGTTTTCATTCTGATTATCTTCAATCCTCCCTTCTTCTGTTTGAGTAGATTTGTTTGGGACGCCTTGGCAGGAAACTTGGGGGTTATCCGCGCCATCTTGGGCATGTGTATCACTTGGTACCGGGTATTCATATATGGTAACAAAATGCTCACAGATAAACTTGTCAAGATGAGGTAAAATATGACACAATAAGTCTGTAACATAGTCTATACGGTTTTCTCCACCGTGTTTTCCATAGCGTTCGTATGAAATGTGAAGATGTTGTATAGCTATACGTAGACCAGCAGTAGTTATATATTTCGGAAGTTTGTAACGAAAACTCTCAGCTCCTGGATTTCCAGAGTGGGTATTCGACTTTGATAGTGTCATTTCGTCCTACAGTGTTGATATACTAGTACATATAAGTCTCTCAATGAAAGTCTTTTAAGAAAATACAGTGATCACAATGTACATGCATATAAGCTCACCCCATCATAAAATGTCACAGGTGGGACCAAGACTCTAGTCCGGCATCAAACTGTCTATATGCACCAGGTTCACAACATCACAAATTGCACAAGAAAACACAAAATAACAGTAGTAAATCTGCATCCAAGTTAATTTGGCGTTTCCACAGCGATATATCACTTTGCGAAACAATATAACAGTATATAAATAGACGGAATATAGCAGAATATAGCAGGTATATAACAGACGTGCGTGCGTGAGGAGGGGACGCGAGGTCCCCTCTTGCTATTAAGGAAGCATGCTTGTCAGTAAGCATCCAGGGGACTGACAGCTTTAAGTTCTCTCTGAAAGACTTATGCCTTACCAAAGCACACCAACTTAGTTTTGTTTGTTTGTTTTTATTTCCGTACAAAATCATCACAACATACAAATACATACATAAATGAGATATACGGTGGATAGCCCATTTCAGGTGTATTAACAAAATACGCCTGTTCTTCCATGGGGTCCGGTTTGAACCCTGAACCTCCCGGTAACAAAACCACTGCTCTACTACTGAGTCATTGTGCCTCCTGCCACCTCCTCAGACCTCTATATTTTTGTATGATTTGAACTCTAAATACTATACGTCTGAGTAACTTTTATAGCATAGGCTTGTATCTGTTTGATGTATGCAAGCATGAATTCCACCTTCAAAACTTATGTCATCAACTTTGAAATGGCGACATTAACAACTGAAGAAACATAAGCTATTCTGTCAGTGACGGTTTTCAGTTCAATTCTTTTTGCACTTTTTGAGTGAAATAGCTTTGCAGCAACTCCAGAGGGAATGATTCGGGGAGACTTAAATTTGTTAACGAGTCTAGTAGGACTGCTACCCCCCCCCCCCCCCCCACCCCAGATTTTTCCTCATAGAATCAATTGTCCAAGGAATATCTTCCCTAAGTACAGTCAGTATGGATGCTTTATTTCACTTTATCTCAGACAAGACTTTTCTAATCTGGAAACATTTCTCTTCTGATAATAATAATAATGATGATGATAATAATAATAATAATGATAATATTGATAATAATAATAATGAACATTTTTAATGTGTCATGTCTGTCAAAATTGACACTCGTGCTGCAGTGGTGAGAAGGTGATATCCATTTCGTTGTGGGCATACATCTAAAAAGCAATTTATGAAAACAAAGCAAAATGAACATAATTTTAACATACTTTAGGACATAATTTGCAATAATAGAATTAAGACATTATTTTCAACATAAGTGCAAGGTTAAATCAGCTTGATATACAGGTTTGAATTGAAACATGTAGAATATACAGTTAATAGTAAATACAAGGTACATATTAATTACAATTATTGCTTGATAAATTTCTGTGATCTCCTGATTCCTACGTTCAGAGCTGGAGCATTTGGTGTTGTGGTAGAGTACGGAGGAGAGAAGAAGGTTTCTAAACACAACCGTCTAGGAGCTAAGATGAGTATAGGTTACCCCACCGGCGTCTTTCTTCGCTTACGGTAAGTCCTTTAATCATTTTGGATTGACTAAAATCAATCAATCTTGTAAGATTTGCTCTTCTGACTTTAGCAGTTAGATAATTTGATTATCCATAGTATTCAAGTCCTGGCAGTGTCATAGTGTGAGAAGAGAATATGTACAGTTAACAACTTAATTATTCATACTCCTTGTAAATTTGATGTTTTTTGTAACTCAAGAAAGAAAGATGGACTGGTTGAAGTAGGGCCTTGGAATACTTTCAGATGTTAGCTTTGATTTGTCACATTCTGAAGAAACGTACATCGGGGCAAATAGATTTCCTACATACTTAAGAAATGACAAAACTTGGCAAGGGTATGAATAATTTGGTTGTGAACTGTATGTTGATTTACTCAAAGGAGGTCTTCTATACCAAGCTTATATCACAAGTGACAAGGCATATAACACATTTTCCGATGAAATACGCAATCATTGACAACTTTCCTGAAGCAAAGTGCAGTATGTTATTAGACGAAAGTCTCACAAGATAAACTAAGTATTAATGAAATGATCACAATTTGTTTCTAACCGCATCTACCAATGAAACATAGGTGCCAACCATTCCTGTTTTTGGAGGAACTTGTTTGCCCTAAAGCTTTTGTTGTGAACCCTAGATTCCTCGCTTGTTCTGAAAAATGCTGTGTTAAAAATATTTATAGAATGGTTTGAAGAATGTAGCCAATGAGAAGCGTCAAAATGGATCACGGGTGCATGCATTAATTTTAACAATACGCATTTTGGTGATATCAGCCGTGCAAAAAGTGTGCAACAGAAAAGCATAACACACGGCTGTGTGTAAATCAATGGATGTTTACCATGCATTGCACAGTTTGTTTACGAGGTCACTGCTCTCGCGCGAGGTACTAATCTAGCTAGCTGTGTGTGCGCACAAATACGCGCCCCTGCCCACTGCATAACATTTTGTGCGATGACAATGACCGAGCAACGAGTGACCCTGTTGCAGGATGGCAGCCTCTAAGAAGCCAAACTTTCAACTGCTTTCTAAAGAGATTTGATAGTAGACCCATTTTATAAAACAAATAATACACAGGTTTTTTGTTTGTGACGTTATGGCGATGCAGTGCTATTCAGGTATTCATAATGGCACAAAATTCACTCGACTACGCCTCATGAATTTTATTGCACCATAGTGAATACCCTGATGCGCTGCATCGACCGTAACGCACTCACACCTGTGTATTATTTGTATAACATAATACAGTAGACTTTATTCCTAATTTTTGCTGTGAAAGGTTGCCTTGGTAGGTAAGATGAATTGTACCTATCACATCTGATAAGATGCTGACATGTTGTTTAGTAATTTCAAAACCATCACTCTGTCTCCTGAGCTATGGTACAAAAATCCAAAGGTATAGTATGCTAACAGTGCCATCTATTGTTATGTCACAGAATTCTTAAACATAAAAAATAAATTCTCACAGAATCCAACGAAACTTACACTAAGTGTTCAAGATTACAAATAAATGATATATGCCAGACAATTTTGGTAGAAAATTTATAATGGCTGAGTAATGAGCATAGAAAGATAAGGAAATCCAGTAAGTAGGCCCGACACCATGTGCTTAACACAGCTCACTACGTGCAAATGGGAGTGTGGTTTTTATCGAAGATGATGCCCAGTAAGTATTTCTGTGTTTGTTTTTATATCACTGGATCAAACAACCAATCTACTGCAGGATAAACAATCCAGAATAAACTATAGCAATTTTCTCTCGGAACACGGTTCCCATACCAGAGCTAAAGATTAGCTTTATTAGTATTGTCTTTGTGACAATGACTCCTACAAATCACGTTTATTGCTTCTTCTCCTTATTTCAGAGCAAGCAGAGCAAACCAGACCATCGTCTTCCCAATCCATCTATCTCAAGACATCAGCCCTCAAGCAATATTCTACGGCACGGTGGCACCCCTAGCTATCTACTGGATCATTAAGGTCCTGGTGGTCAACCCGTATCTACAGAAACAGAAGGAAAAGTATGTCATACCAAGAAGGACTAAATCATTGTAATATCAAGTTCCTTTAAGATACATGATTTGAGAGAGTGAGTGAGTGAGTGAGTGAGTGTGAGAGAGTGAGAGTGTGTGAGAGAGAGAGACGCTTTTCTTTGAAGTGGATCATTAAAGTCCTTCATAGCCATCAACCCTTATCTACAGAATCAGAAGGAAAAGTATGTAATACTAAGAAGCACATGAGTGGCTGTTATGCAATATTAATTGAAGAACGAAGGATGAAATCATGGTAATGTCAAGTTCCTTTAAGATACTTGATTTGAGGGAGGGAGGGAGGGAGAGAGGGGGAGGGGGAGAGATAGAAGCTGATTGACATTACTCTTTGAACTGGACATCCAGGACGTTCATAGTCATCAACCCTAATATTTACAGAAAAAGAAGAAGTATATCATACCAAGGGTGATATGAATCTACCAATTTGTATCTTTGGAACCAGAAGGGAAATAGATCATAGAATATAATGCACACCCTTCTAGCTCCAAATAGACACGTAGTTCAGACAGAAATTAAAGGGATTGTTTAACAATGTTAAATCTGAGATGCACGGCCCTACGTGTTATTAGTGTCTGCGATATGGTGTAATATTGAAGCCCTAACAAAATCGCGCTTCAAAATGATCAAAAAGTGCCTCAAAAGAGTAAAAATCTTTGAATGACCGGTTTTACCATGCTCGTTTTCCCCAATAGACTGTAGTGTAAAATTTGTGATTTCATTCATAAATATCTTGATAATCAGACGGGCGATCGGCTTGTAAAAGTCATGGGGTTCCTGAATGACCTAAAGGTTTATAATTATCATTGCAGCATGAGCTAAATCCAGGATTTTGTTTTAGATTCTGAGACAAAGTTACCGGATCCCTTTAATACAATATTTGTTTTAAGGGTAAGATGGTAAATCATTGTCGTAAGTACATTCAAGACATTCTGTCATTTCAAAGATAAGAGATTGACAAAGATATCTCATTGAACAGGATCATCATGGTCTTAGTTGTCAACCATTATCTACACAAACAAATTGTGGAAAAGTATGTCATACCAAGAAGCACATGAATAAGAATGGATGTAGAATCTACAAATAATTTAGACAGAAACATGAGCAATATTTATTGAATGGGAAGGGGAGAATCCCTATCTTCTCATTTGATGAGTTCATTCAGGATATTTTATATATGAAAGATGATTCAACAAGAAAGTCTGAAATGTTTTGATGTAGCGTTATTCAACTCAGAGTGGGTACTGGAAGCGCTTTACCGACAAACAAACAAACATAATGTACTCATTAAAACAGAGAGCAGATATTTTAATGTGGAGCTAATTGCAACTGCACTGACTTTTTTTTTTGATAGAGGAATTAATTAATTTCTTATAAATTGAACTAACAAAAACTTTTGAAATGATTTGAAAGATCAATGAATTATTTTTCATAAAGGTGTATGTAAATCAATTTTAAGCTCAAAGAGTAGTTTCATGTGGCAATGACACATATCCAAGCACATTTTAGTTCAATATAATATAATTTGACCAATTCTCTTGTTCTTTTATTTCGCATTTCTCAGTGATATAGATGATGAGAGGGCCAGGAATAAGGAGATAATTGAACTGAAGAAGAGAGAAGCACAAGCTGCTGTAAGTACAAGGACTCCTGTAATACTAATCAATGTGCTTGGTGAAGAGTTTAAACCTCAAAATGTTAACAATTTATTGAAAACAATTTAAATGTTACCAGTATTTTAGTACTAGTTTGTGTTTTAAATACTTTCAAATATTATTCTGTTGTCATGAGAAGAAAAATCCCTCATGAATCTAATTATTTGGATTAGGTTACATCATTTTATAGGAGGAGGAGAGGTTTGCTCTCAAACATATTGCAAAGTTTTGTATAAAAATGTATTCTACATATCAATTAAATTTGCGAAATTTGCGGTGAGACGGATCATGGAGTTTGAGACAAATTTTCAAGTCCTCATGAATCTAATTATGTGGATAACGGCACATCATTTTATAGGAGGAAAGGATTACTCAAACAAATTGCACAGTTTCATCCTCAAATCAGTTGAATTCTTGAATCTTTTAATAAGACTGCTTTGTGTTTGTAGTTCATGCTGATGGAAGAGATGGTGAGACGGATCATAGAGTTTGAGACGATTCATCAAGTCCTCATGAATCTAATTATTTGGATTAGGGCAGATCATTTTATAGGACGAGGAGATGTTTTGCTCTCAAACATATTGCAAAGTTTTGTCTGAAAATGTATTCTACATATTATCAGTTGAAACCTTAGATAATAATAATATGATTGCAGGGCCCTCAGGGAGAACAGTATGAATACTGATGAGGCTACCCTGGGTAAACAAGACATATTAATATTATTATTATTATTATTATTATTATTATAATACTGCTTTTTGTTTGTAGGTGAGGCTGATGGAAGAGATGGTAAGACGGATCATCGAGTTTGAGACGAACCGTCAAGGTATGATCATCGTAGAAGCCTGGTACGGCAAGCTGATCACCACAAATAACTCTGCCGATGATCAGCAGGCGAATGGTTTCGTGATCGATGTCAAGGTACCTCTACAATGCCAGGTCAAGGATTCAAAACTCATCCTGACAGATGCTGCCAAGGTAGGAATGTTGATATAGTCATCATCGTCAAAGTCAATTTTCTATCTTTTAGGGGGAAAATGACACTATCCTCTCAAAAATCAAGTTACTGCATTGTTGTTACTTGATGCTCATAAATTGCCTCTAAGCACTTAAAAATCTATTCTTTATTATTCTTTTGTCAAAGCTCATTATTAATGCACAAATAATAATGGGTTCTTCTTGACACTCATTTCTATCAGACAGAACACTCCTTGTGCTCCAGTAATGCAAAGTAGTTGAGTGAATGAAAGTGAAATTTTGTGCAAAAAATGATGCAAAATGTATTTTGATGTCATCATATGTAGGTGAATGAATGTAGGACTCCAAAAGCATACCATGGGACTGTGTATTTTGGAAACTCATCAAAGTTTATCTCATTTTCCCAAAATAATTCTAGACAATCCACTTTTCTTCTCGTCTTGTCTTGTAGGCCAGTCTTCCAGGTTTCTATGACCCATGCCCAGGAGAGGAGAAGCAGCTCAAGGTCCGCTATGAATTCCGTCAAACCCTCCATGAATGCACCATCGGTGATACAGAACAGCTTAGGATACCAAGGCAATGTAAGTAACTATTCTAAGGACGCATTGCTGAATATGTTTCTTGTTGGGGTGATCCGATATTTGCTCTATCTGAAGGGTTAGGGTTCCAATTAAGTTTAGGTTTGGGTTAAGGTTAGGTAATATGTTGGGTCTAGGAATTTGGTAAATGTAGGATATTGATTGCAGAGCAACTATCCTAGGATCATGAGCAGTACATTCCTTGAGTGCCTTTGATTCTATCAGTTTGTTGTTGTGTCAGAACTTTGTATGGACAACTAGTCTCAAAACACTAATACAGTGAAACCTGTCTATAAAGACCACCCAAGGGAGCCACAAAAAGTGGACTATATAGGTAGGTGCCTAGTATCGTGGATGTTTCTATGAGAAACCATTTTCAAGGGAAACAAAAAATGTGGTCTTTATGGACAGGTGGTTGTTGTAGACGGGTGGTCACTAAAGCAGGTTTGACTGTATCATCTATTGAAAATATTTTGATGAATGAAAGATAATTCATGAAATATTCCATTTGTATGCTCACATAGCAATGTTAAAAAGTCCAGATTATAGTTTATAATTTCATATCTTCTGCTGAGAGCCAGAAGGGTTTTAACTTTTGTCCAACCTGACTATAGTGACCGCCCAAGGAAACACAAAAAGTGGTATTTGTAGATGAGTGATGAGTTATTCCATTAACCTGTTACTACAATACTTGGAATCCATTCTGCATACATAACTTGTTGCAAACCTCTGGAAAACTTTCATGTTTTCAAGAACGACCTTTGTTTAAAAAGAATGCATAGCATTTGAATGTGTTAGAAAACCGGTCTATTGTAAGGAAGGGACATCTTTGAGAAATAAAATTTCTTATCTGTAACGTTTTCTGTCTTTACAGCACACAAAGTGGAACCAAGCTGAGAACACATGTTTATGAACTGAATTGATACCATGGAAAGAGGCATTTTACATTTATACAAATCCTTCATGGGCTTTAATTCAACTTCATCCTTTTCATGTGTGCAACCTTCTGTCTACAATGTACCCTGCCACGATGTGAAACTTTCCCAAATTGGAAAGGACGGCCATTTTCTTGACAAGAAACTAATTTAGTGCTGTGTCAGTTGTGATTCAGTCATTTTGCATGAAACTTCTGCACATCTGACCTGCTCAAAAATTCAACAAACATTTCATGAATTTGACATTTCTTGTTGTACAGTACTTGCTGCATCATACATGAACAATATTACATCCATAGGCAGATTGTCAAGAAATTTAGTTTTGATTGATAGACTTTAAAAAAGAGAGCAACACGGCTATCTCCGCCAAATTTCAACATCTGGACGTTGCTTTGTTAATTATTGTTTTGTTGATGTAAAATCTATCAACTTCTAAATGATAAATCCCCTTTTTAGTGGAAGTTTCTTATCCTGCTGTAATCTGTTTAAAGACAGTATTTTATCAAACTGTTTTATTTTTTAGAGGAAGCAGGTTAGGGCATAATTAATGGACATTTCAGTGTGACATAGATGTAAGAATTATTTTATTGCTTTTATGACAGAAAGGAATACAATTGCCGATTGTGCTTCAACATTTTTCTTTTTTATGTACGTTTTTACTTTCCTTGTAATGTTTGACTACCATATGTGCATGGACAAAAGAAAGCTATTCTTCCCCATATGCTGTTAACCACATCCAAGATTTTAGTATATCATTATCAGGGCCCCATTTCACAAAACTTGTCATCAGTGACAAATGATAGTTTTTGTCATAAGCTAGTGAAATCCTTGCTTCTGATTGATTATCAGCAGATCTGTCACTGATTTTTGTCATTTGTCATTGAAAAAAGGCTTTGTGAAACGGGTCCCTGATGACTGTATCAAGATGATAACCCTAATAAAAGTTGAATCAGGAAAAAATCAGATAAATTATTATTTTTATGTAAATTTATGTTCACAATTCCCTAATACTTCGTAACATATGTTACATGGAAATCTTGGACTTACTTGTATACGGTACCCTTGCTTAAAAAAATAGATCTTAATTCTTCCATACAAGTCCTTCATTATTATCATAGTCATTGTCAACCCCATGACAGTATTGCCTGGGAAGAAAGGTTAAGATTCATATTTTTTGTTTCAAGCACAGCATTACTTTTGGAAGTGCACCTATTCCCGAAAAAGGTGTTCAACTTTTAAATATCATACCCCAGGTGGTAGCATTTAGAAACCAAAGAGTTTGGACATCAAATTGCTAACGCCTTTGAAAGGCATTGTTTCAATGAAATGTAATTGGAAAGGCTGATGCCTTTCTTTAGATAAGTATTCTCACTATGCAACATGGGACCAAGTCTGAATAATGAAGTAATATCTTGAAAGGAGTATTCTGCTTTCATGGTATGAGTTCATGTGCTTCAAATGAACACTAGTAAATGTTTTATTTTTACAAGACTTGCCTGTATTTGCTGTGAAAGAAATTGTCCCAAATATCTTTAAATTATATTATGGTATGCAAGATAAAAAGAGATATACCGTTAGTGTGGATACTCATGTGTTTTCTATTCAAACTGAGGCATGATAAATATAGAGATCACCGTGCCCTGAAAATAGATAATTATGTGTGTCTTCACCATTGCAAGAGAGTGCTAGATGTTGGTTGTTTAATCTGCTCTGGTTCCTGTGAATGACTTGAAATCAACTTCCTTTCATGCTCTTATTAAAGTTGTATATCATTCGTTCATAGACAAAGACCTACTTGAGAATTTATAAGAGCTTTATTGTTCATTGAATACTGAATATTATGTTGATATATTCAAATGATATGAAATAATACATTTTATTGAAATTCTTGATTCTGTTTCTGTTATTATCCTGTGACGAGTATGTATGACATCTACCGTAACTACGTGAAGTAAGAAAGAATACAGAAAAGAGCGTGAGAAAATACATGTATTGCAAAACATTTGACCAAAAGTGAGATAAATGGTTGGATACATGTAGATAAGCATAGATCGATGAGTGACAGTAATATATTGGAAGGGCGACATTTATGATTAGAGAGCAGAAAAAGAGTGGTGAGAGAGGGAAAAGAGTGATAGAGGGAGAGGGAGAAGGAAATGTAGAGTGGGAGAGAGGAAGGAGGAGAGAAAAGGAAATAAAGAAACTGGGAAAGAGAGGGCGAGATGAAAGTAAGAGAGACATATTAAGCGAGAAAAAAATGGAAATGGAATAGAGACGGACTGGAGCATAAATAGAGATTGATTGGAATAGGGTGATAGATGGCCAACTGATGTGAGAGTAAAAACAATGTACAGAAAATGAGAAAAATACAAGATCAGAAGACTGGCATAGACAAATTAAAGTAGAGAATAAGATATGAAGCCCCCCAAAAAAGGAACTATACTGCTCTCTAGTTTTTTAAATGAATATAAAATTCAAATAGTTTTTTATTACCATGTAAATAATGTAAATTCCTGGAGAATATTACAATGACATGAAATTATTAATAATGAAAAAAGAGGCAATACATGAAATACAAACACTTAAAAAAAAAGATAGAAATCAAATTCAAAATATGCCTGAAGTTATAAGATTTACCATTTATTGCATTAATTCTCAGTGCAGTATACAGATGTACCGACCAGTATTAATCATTTGTTGTTATCTTGTTTCAGAGAGTCATTTCCATGTTGAAACAATGGATGTAAATACCGGCACATTTACATTAAAATGATTAAAGATCATGTTCAGTAGATGAGATTATAAAAGTGTTTACTTCTTCAAATTTTAGCAGTTACATGTAAGCACCAAACCCGTGGGACAGTGTTTTAAAACAACTTGAAATGTGGGTATTTTTACAATTTTCATCTGCAAGTAACAAGCAAGTTGCATAAGATTTGTGTTGTAGTGAAGTTATGACTATCATTTGTGAATGATGGCAAAAGGCATTCTGTTGAAGAAGGTGGGCTCATTCCCCAAATCTGTTTTTTTACCAATCAATCTGCTATTCTTACATATCTCCAATCTCCATTTGCTCAAGCTTGTCATAATGTCTCTATCATATCAATATTGATCAGCATTTAATCAGCGGTCCCCATAGTAGGCCCACTTGCCCTTGTTCCTGTTCATAAATTTAAAGAGATAACTGATCCTCTTGTTCATGTTATGTCTGGTTTCCGGTCCCATCTGATATCCGACCATCTTCCTCTTCCTGATCATCATCTGAAGTTCATTGCCCTTCCATCCACGCATCCACCATGGTCCCACCTTAACGTTCTTACGCAGGGAGTACGTGCCGTCCCCTAAGATGTCCTTGTAGTCGTTCTCGCCAAAGAGTGCTCTTTTCTCAGACCAGTAATCCTTCTCAGATTTCTTTGGAGCGGGAAGCTTCTTCCAACTGATGAGAGATTCATTTGATGGTCGCTCTTTGTAGAACTTGCAGAGAGCAGCACCTGTAGTTTGTTGGAAGATAAGAGATATGTATCAATAAGAATATAGATTCATATCAATGTCATAAACGAGCCCCTGTAGCTCCTCCTGCACCACCTAAACTCATGCCCTGCTCCATCTCCATTCCTTCCTCTTCGTCGCGTCTCCTTCTCAATTCTCTGCCTCCTTCTTACTTTACTTTACTTTACTTTACTTTAAAACACGATGTTGTAGGTCTAAGCCTGTTCATCGATCCAGGATTCTTCCGTGATTACTCCTCCCCTACTTTTTGGCTTAATTTTAGAATACCCCACCATTAGGGTTTATGTACATGAACATGAATGTACATAAATTTAAATTCATTGTGAAGCGTTGGTTATGACCCATGTGCATAGGATCCAGTGAGATTACCTACACTAAATCGGACGGTTGGGACCACAACAAAATTATGCACGTTTTAAGAGACAGAATATTTGTTCAAATTCTAAATTACTCACCTGAATGAATCATTCTCGTGCCATTAAATCCTGTCCTCTGATAAAGGCTGTTGAAATGGACAAGTCTTACAAAATAAGACGACATTTTACGCCTTACAAATTTGATTTGACACAATATTGAAAGGAAATGATGGAAACCCACACAGTTTCAAATTGACGGTTCGTCAAATGTCGATTACGAAGTGTTTGTTTTAATTGATTGCAATTGTATAGATAGTCATGAACTTCTCAGAGTTATTCAAACAAAGTGGCCATCTTTCGAAATTTTCACCGGATGGACAATGCTTGGTAAGTTATAATTTTCCCGGAAACATTGATGATAAGTCTCTGAAATCTTAATGTGTTGTCCCATGTGCTGAAATTCATGTTTGTACTTCTACTAGTTGTAGATGCAAACGTTTTTTTAGAGCCAACCATCAGTGTATAGACCTATCCCCAATTTGTGCAAAAAATCTAAATCTATGAGATCTGAATTTTAAAACGTTTGTCCATTCAGCTGTTGAAATGATGAGCTCTTTGACTTGTGATGGTGCTATTGTCGTAGATCTAGGTCTATTGAGTTTTTGTTTGTTTTGTTTTGTGTTTAAATCTTAAATTTACTTTTTTGTTTTGTTCTTTAAGTTGAATATACCGGTACCTTGAATACCAAAGCTTCTGGAGGAAAGCCGTCTCCAGCTGCCAAGCTTCCAGGTCTAACTTCAAAGGGGGGGGGGGGGGGTGCCGGCGCATTTAATGAGCATAAGAAACGGAGAAGTTAGCTTTTTTTTAACAGTCCTATCCTTAAAATTTTGGTAATATTCCAGTCTTCATCACAATGAACATGAATTATGAACATGCTGTTGAAATGATGGAAAATTCTGAAAAAGATGATTTTGATGTAGGCCTACTAAGTAAAAGGATTTTTTGTTGTTGTATCAAACTTCATTGGTGCACTAACGTCACAACAGAGATGCCCATAATTGCCAGTGACAATATCTACATAGACTTATTTTGTTTTTATTTGGATCAGCATCATCTTATTTCAGCATTTGTTGGCTGGTAATCTTGCAATTTATAGGGCATTTAATTGCTGACAATTTATAGGTTTTATAGGTTATAGGTACAACAACAAAGTTTTTCCTGTACCTATACATTTTTTAGTAATATATTATGTATTTGTTCTTTAATCCATTACAGGCCAGTTGTGTCCAATACCGACTGATTGTACGAGACGTTCACACACTTCAGATCCTTCAGCTTTATACATGTCTGGATGCAATCCAATGTTTGGAGGTTAGTATCTTGGGTTGGTTTACACATGTCTGGATGCAATCCAATGTTTGGAGGTTAGTATCTTGGGTTGGTTTACACATGTCTAGATGCAATCCAATGTTTGGAGGTTAGTATCTTGGGTTGGTTTACACATGTCTGGATGCAATCCAATGTTTGGAGGTTAGTATCTTGGGTTGGTTTACACATGTCTGGATGCAATCCAATGTTTGGAGGTTAGTATCTTGGGTTGGTTTACACATGTCTAGATGCAATCCAATGTTTGGAGGTTAGTATCTTGGGTTGGTTTACACATGTCTGGATGCAATCCAATGTTTGGAGGTTAGTATCTTGGGTTGGTTTACACATGTCTGGATGCAAGCCAATGTTTGGAGGTTAGTATCTTGGGTTGGTTTACACATGTCTGGATGCAATCCAATGTTTGGAGGTTAGTATCTTGGGTTGGTTTACACATGTCTGGATGCAATCCAATGTTTGGAGGTTAGTATCTTGGGTTGGTTTACACATGTCTGGATGCAATCCAATGTTTGGAGGTTAGTATCTTGGGTTGGTTTACACATGTCTGGATGCAATCCAATGTTTGGAGGTTAGTATCTTGGGTTGGTTTACACATGTCTGGATGCAATCCAATGTTTGGAGGTTAGTATCTTGGGTTGGTTTACACATGTCTGGATGCAATCCAATGTTTGGAGGTTAGTATCTTGGGTTGGTTTACACATGTCTAGATGCAATCCAATGTTTGGAGGTTAGTATCTTGGGTTGGTTTACACATGTCTGGATGCAATCCAATGTTTGGAGGTTAGTATCTTGGGTTGGTTTACACATGTCTGGATGCAATCCAATGTTTGGAGGTGAGTATCTTGGGTTGGTTTACACATGTCTGGATGCAATCCAATGTTTGGAGGTGAGTATCTTGGGTTGGTTTACACATGTCTGGATGCAATCCAATGTTTGGAGGTTAGTATCTTGGGTTGGTTTACACATGTCTGGATGCAATCCAATGTTTGGAGGTGAGTATCTTGGGTTGGTTTACACATGTCTGGATGCAATCCAATGTTTGGAGGTTAGTATCTTGGGTTGGTTTACACATGTCTGGATGCAATCCAATGTTTGGAGGTGAGTATCTTGGGTTGGTTTACACATGTCTGGATGCAATCCAATGTTTGGAGGTGAGTATCTTGGGTTGGTTACAGGAATGTCTTTTCATTTGATAAGAATATCAAGAGTGAAAAACATTCGCATATTGATGGCTGGCTTAAAACGTTAATGCAAGGTCTTGAATATACCTTGAATACCAAAGCTTCTGGAGAAAGCCGTCTCCAGCTGACAAGCTTCCAGGTCTAACTTCAGGGGGGGGGTGTCCCAGCTTCCGGGTCTTGCACCATAGTCATTTTACATCTGTATCTTGCTTGCTGGGTCATATCTGGATTGTCATAATTGGAGTGTCTACTGGGAGAAGGGTGGATTGTATTGCTCCTTCTGTGTAGACAATGCAGAGTGTCTAAATTTGACCATCTTCAGGATGATGGAATATTGACTAATGCTCATTAGGTGGTCTGTTATCAACAGACCACCTATTGATTTCGTCAGAATTTTCTTTATTTATTTATTTATTATTATTATTTATTTTTATTTCTTCCCGTTTTTTGTGCCCAGGATAACTCACAGTTTGGTTTGGTCAATTTGATTCAATTTTAGCACAGTCATAGGTCATTGTCATGACCTATGACCTTGAAGATTTTCAAGGTCATCAAGTCATCGTGACGTCATCCAGGCGCCATTTTGTGAAATCACATTATCCATCATATCTTCATGATGCATAAGCAAAGGTCATTCATATTTATATCACATATACTTCAGGTCAAGGGTCAACAGGTCATGTCATCAAAGGTCACATAAAGGTCATGACGCGCACGTATGTGCGCGTCAAAATTTGAAATTGCTCAAAATCACTTAACTATTAAACGAGAGTACGAATCAGGTCATTTGAAGCATTTCAACATTTTCCGTCCGTACTTGTCCCCGCGCGCGGTGCGCGCGCTTACAACGCGCTGAAAAGGTCAAATTCAATTTCTTACATGATTTAGATTCCTCTTACCGTAAATGATAATTTACATTAATTTCAGTCACTCTTGACCTTTCATTAGGCCGTGAGCGCGCGTCAAAGTTCAAATTCCGCGCGTGCTGCTATGGGCAATATAATGTAAATTTGATCAAAAACATTCTTCTTTAAAAATCGAAATAGCTCTTCAGATAGTCCGTCAACCCCCAATTTTTATATCATGGTTGGAAAGAGCATGAGTTGGAGATATGATTTCATACCACCCTGACTCGTACAAAGTGAAACAAAATCTTCATATTTGCATCTAAACTAAAGAAAATGTATTTTGTTGATGACGTCATTTTAGTCTTTGTTTAATTGAGATTATCTCGCTTATCAGTGATTGATTTTCTCCCAGATTTCGATATGTTGTAGCTGAGATAATTTTCTATCAGAAATATGCCATTTATTTACATTTCGATGACGTCATCATAGTTAAATATTCGATTAAAGGCGACAATGCATAATTTGTCATATTTGCGTGTAATGTCTATGGGAGGTCACTTTTTTCAAAACATGAATCTGCATGACAAGGTGTTTTGACCAGTATCTCGGTTGTTATTCAATAGTTTTCTCACAAATTTTAGTATGTTGTAGCTGAGACTATTTGCTATCTAATATTTCCTCATTTTTTTAAATCAGTTGTCAGGATTATGCTTATGCTCATCATCATCATTAACATTATCGTTTTTATCGTCATATAACATTATCATTATCATCATCATCACCTTTACTATCATGATCATCACCATGTTCATCATGATCATCATTGTTTACATGTCTATATAACTTCTCCCATTCTCAAATCTATCATAAGACATAGACAGACCACCTTATTCGTCTTCGTGACGAATTAAATTTCTAGTTTTCTTTCAAGTTGTGTTATTGTATACCACATTTAGTTTATTTTGAATAGTCTTTACATAAGTTTTTTTTCTATTTTTTTTTCTCCTCTGTGCCTGTTTACTACAAGATGTAGATTATTATTGTTGTATTCATGAATGTGCTTGTGGATTAAGAAAGAATAGCATTAGAATGCATTGAAAAAGATAACTATTCAGTGTAAAATGCTTAGAAACATACACCAAAGTATTATTGTTATCATAATTATTTATGTGTTGACACAGTATAAGACTGCCGGTATGCAATATTGATGATATAATGTGCAATGTGGAAAAGTTACAATTTTTCTCTGCCATAATTGTTTTTGACAGTGGTCATCAGACTCCAAGTTCATCTTATGTGGAATGTACAAGCGAGGGATAGTACAGGTAAGTGTGTCAAAGAAGAAAATAAAGAAAGAAAGATTATATTATTGTAATTCTATGATGCTAGCTTGAATGATGTACCTTTGAAGCCTTTTATTTTCCTTAGAAAGTCATTTCATTTCATGTTCTTTACTCGCTTAAAATTCAAAAGCTTATATATGATATAATTGAAGGTTACCAAATTGAAGTTAACATACAAAGTTAAGTTATATAGCACAGATGCAATACCATCAGGGAGAAAAGCATTAGGAACCAAACTTTTTTTATTATTTTTTATTTTGTATAATTTTTTACTTGACATTGTGTTTTCAGATAAAGTCATCTTCGACTTTTCTATCTTGCCAGTAAGTTCTTTAAGGTCAAATACTACAAGGGAATCTCAGACTTTAGCATTGAAAGTAGAAAAATACAGATATGTAAATTATACATGTATGCAGAGGCATGACTGCTGGACAAATTATGGAAGGTTTTGAGATATTATATCAGCCAGGATACATGGTTTCTCTCAAGGCTGCTTACTTGGTTAACATATATTCTTCCTCTGTAGGTATGGTCTTTGGAGCAGCCTGAATGGACATGCAAGATAGATGAAGGGTCAGCTGGACTGGTCAGTGTGAGATGGAGCGCTGATGGACGTCACATCTTGACCACAGCTGAGTTCAATCTGAGGATCACTGTATGGTCATTGGTCAATCGATCAGTCTCCTATATCAAGTATCCTAAAGAGGCCAAGCAAGGTGGGTTTTATTTCCATCTTAAAGCCCCACTGTACAACTTATAGCTACTTGCTCCCTCTACATAGCAAACAATGCCTAATCGGTGACCATTGGTCCCCCATGATCCCCTTTTTCTTATGTTACTTGAGAGCTTATTTGATGAGATAACCACCTGTTAGTGACCATGCAGGGTGGTCTTATCCCTCCTGGCTAAACTAGTGCAGTGGGGATTGAGATACTTATTGCAAGATCATGAAGTGTTGTGTTTCTTCATGCAATAGAGCTTAATGTGGTACATGTAAATATTTTTTCAGTGCTAACCAGCACATTTAAGATAATCAGTATTTTTATTGTTGCATTTACAGTTATGTCTAAAAGGAAATCATTATGTATTTCAGTGGTTTCCCCAATCATAATTTGTTATAGATAGACTAAAAGTTACATCCTAAGCAGGGTTTCTTAGAAGGGGGTCCAGATTGAACTTTTTAGAGTCTATGCAAAAGAGTAATATGCAACATTTCAATTTTTTATCCAGACTAAAATTTTGGGTAGCCATGTGTCTCGATGCATGCCAGTGTTGAGCCCTGATGCTAAGCTTCGAAATGAGCATAACTTTTCATGATTTCTTTTTACAATTGATGAATTTATAAATCATGCATTTTGTCTTCCTATTTTGTCTTGGTTATATTTTGAATTCAAAGCCTAAATTAATGTCATATGAACGTATACTTCCAGGAATGCATTTCACTAAAGATGGCAAGTACATGGCATTGGCTGAGAGGAGAGACTGTAAAGATTTCATCAGTGTCTTTGCTTGTAATACATGGCAACTTGTCAAAGTAAGTAGATATTAAAGTATCGGGAGTTATTTTTGTACTTCTTTGTGTTTCAAACAGAAAAGATTTATTGTTTATCTTCACGATAATGTTGAATTTAAAATTATTTTTAATAGTAGATGATGTACTCTGTATTAAACAGACTTGCACAATAATAATAATATTGGATTCTTTTATAGCGCACGTATCGACCTTGCAAGGTCCTCAAGGCGCTCCAACATTACCCGGCTATGCTAGGCTGCCGATTCGACGCTCACAGCATTTTAAGGAATGCAATGAACAATTGTAATTTTGTAAAACTTGTTAATGGGAACGAATAGGACCTATTTGAAGAAAAATGTGTATATAGTTCATATGTTTTTAAATCTCCTGGCTGTTTATCAAATTGGTGGACTACACTATTCAATAATGCCATTTAATCACTGTTTTTTCTCCATTTTTCTAGCATTTTGAGACGAATACTCGAGACCTAGCAGGGTTAGAGTGGTCTCCTGATGGCAGAGTGCTGTGTGTATGGGATTCATTATTAGAGGTAAGAAGCTTGTAATATATTGTATTTATACTCGAGACCTAGCAGGGTTAGAGTGGTCTCCTGATGGCAGAGTGCTGTGTGTATGGGATTCATTACTATAAGAAGCTTGCAATATATTGTATTTATACTCTGGACCTAGCAGGGTTAGAGTGGTCTCCTGATGGCAGAGTGCTGTGTGTTTGGGATTCATTACTAGAGGTAAGAAGCTTGGTAAAGATTAGGATAATTTATATTTATGTTAAATGAAATAAAGTAACAAAACATTGATGAATTTAAGCCAGGAAATGTTATTGTGTCATCTTTGAGTTTTCTTATTGTAGGCTCTCAGCAGACAATGTCTGGAAGTCCAATCCTTGTAATGATCTTGATGTTTCATATCGATATTGGGAATTCTAAATCATTTCTAGTACAGATAATAAAGGAAAAAAAGTAGGCAGTGAAGGAAAAGGAGAAGAGTATGAATTGATTCAGTTTTGAAAGTAAATCTTTCAACATTTGGGTAAACAGGATCTTCTTTATATACACTCAACATAACATTTTGAAAGTGAATATTTTGCTCTTTTTCATGCACCATTTTTATTAAATACCAATATACCATGGCTAGTTTTTGTTTCTTATTAATTGAATGCAATATTGGCTTAGTTCTCTAGATGTAGGTATGCAGTACAATTGTATCTATATAAGTAATACGCTAAGGCTCCGCGGGGGGCGCGACGTCTCCGCGAGCCTTTGTATTTTATTGTTTTTTAATGAGATCGCCGACCGAAGTTCGTGCGGCTATCTTCTCCTGAACCCTCCCCTCGGGGTACCCGTGCCCGGTGCCATCGTCCGCGGGAGAGTATACTCTGTGGAATTGGCTATACTCCGCCCGAGGTCCTCCTCCGTGTCGACGTCCAGGGCGAAAACAGACGCGACATGCATAATGCATGATATGCGTGACGACAGAGATACCTCATGGATATTCAACATTGTATCAAAGAGACACTCGACAGACGACGAACAACTTACATTATGTTGCGTATTAAATGCTCTATGCAGAGGGCGGGATTACCCACGAGTAAGCCATCGTGCTATAGGGTGTGCTTTGTACTAGCTGCAAAAGCCCGGGGCTAATTCCCGTCGACGTCCAAACTTAGAGACCTATTTCCATCATGATTGCCGCGATTTTGATATAGTTTTCGTGAATGGAGATATGAAATCAAAGCTTATTTTGTGATTATTACGGCCATGCATACTGAATTTTGATCATCATTTTCTAAAGGAAAGTTTTCACAAGAAAACCATTAGACTGACAGTTCAGTCGCAAGCTGCCTTCAGTCTACACACATACAGTACACACAGTGCAGCGTAACTCCGGGAAGCTCCAACACTGGCACCCAGCACCGCAGGCGTCCGACGCCTGCGGCACCGGTGTTCGAGCTTCCTGGAGTTACGCTGTAGTGTGTGTGAGTTCAGCTGAGCTGAGATCGAGTCGAAGAGATTTGACACTTTGAAATTGTTATCTGTTGGTTTGCATGATTATTGCCGCGATTTCAATATAGTTTCGTGAATAGATTTACGAAACCTGAGCTTAGAATTAGTAAAAGTATTACTAATGTCTACGTTTTTAAACGACTGTCTGATTTTCTTGTGAAAATTTTACTTTGAAAAATGATTATCGAAATTCATGGTCAAAAATAATCACAATCTAGGGTCTATTATGTTACAGTTCTTGCATCAAATCAATGCATGAAAACTTAGTTATTGAACTAGAAAAATGTTGTTTTTTTTTAAATAGGCAATTATGAAGTAGGAAGCCTGAAACCTTAGCCTACTAAACAAATCTCAACAAAGTGTAGGCCTACACTTTTATGAATTAATGAAAAAGTAGCCCCAGAAAAAAGAGCCCCCGAAAGTTGAAAAAGTAGCCCACGAAAATTTCCCAAAAATTTGAAATAGAGCCCCCGAAATGAAAAACTTAATTTTTTGCCTGCGCCCCCCTCTAGAATCTTGCGATTTCCGCGGGTCCTGAGTTGAGTGTATATATAATATAGGCGTGGGGTCCACGGGTTTCAAGGGGCCATAAACCCCCAAAAGCTCGGGGGTTACGTTCTTCAAAGTTGGGGGGGGGGGGAGAGAGATCAGATCGCAGCGAGTTGAGTGTATATATAATATAGGCGTGGGGTCCACAGGTTTCAAGGGGCCATAAACCCCCGAAAGCTCGGGGGGTTTAGGCGTTTAATTAGGGTCAGATGAGCATATTTTTAATACTTTATTTGTGACACTTGCGGGTCACTAATTGGCGTGGGGTCAATACGTAGAGTTGCGTAGTGTTGCGTACTAACTACGCTGGCCTACGTTACTATATGCTGAGGGACGGAAAGGGGTACGCAAGATGAACGAAAACAATTCGACATGTTTAATTTTTTTCGCGTACTTTCGGCGTAGAAACTCGACGCAGAAAGTACGCCTTTTTACGCAACACTACGCTACATGCCTACGCAACGGTATGCTACCCTACGCCAGATCGACAAAGCAGTAAAATCTTTCCACACAGTAAGCAACCATAAGCAAACCTGTACGCCAGCCTACGCATAACCTACGCAGGGACTATTTGCCATTAATACGCAGCCTAAGTTCTGCGTAGTCGGTACGCCACACTACGGAACTCTACGCAGTTCCAGTGGCTTAAAGAATAACTACCGGTACAGTTGGATCGTTTTTTAGTTTTTATATAAGGCCAAATTAAAAAAAAAACATGTTTAGCGTCCTGTTTTTTTCGAAAAATGGGAAGGAGGAGGCCCCTTTTTTTTTTCTTTCTTTCTTTCAAAATGGCCGCTCCGTACATTTTCCCTGACATTCGGGCTATTTTTCAAGATGGCGGCCGACAATTTTTTTTTTTTTCTTTTTTAAAATCAGAAATACATTTTAGCAGTGCTTTTCATGTTTTTTTTCTTTCAAAAAATAAAAAAAATTCAAAAAAAAAAAGGAGGCGGCCCCCGGCTAAACATGTATATTTTTTTAATGGCCTGAATGGCAAATAAAGTTCTTGGTGGTTTAAATTTAGACACTCTCTATTATCTATTTACACCCCTCGCCCCCCTCTAGAATCCCGCGGATTTCCGCGGGTCCTGCTAGTGCTTTAATCATTAGATAGTTTCTGGTGAGAAACATATGCACTGGATGTTTAGTCCCCGCCCCCCCTCCCCCACTCAGTGTTATTTAGGGTACGCATATGCATGTTCCCTCCTTTTAAAAATACCCCCCTAAGTCTGGTGTGTAAAGTCAATACGGGCCAGAGTTTTGTGTACTACGAGCCAGACTTTGGTGCATGAAAAGTACCCCTTTACCGGACATTTTGGGAACATGCATGATAATGGTATCCCTCCGTTCACGGAGTGGAGGGGCCGGGGTTTAGTCTCATTAATGTTCCCAGCACCCCCATACCAACTTGATCTAACTTGTGCTTGTATTTCTTTACAGTACAATCTTCTACTCTACTCAGTAGACGGACGGTGCATTGCGACATTCAAAGCTTACGAGTATGCACTGGGCATCAAGTCTGTTTGCTGGTCCCCTAGTAGTCAGTTTCTTGCTATTGGTAGCTATGATCAAAAGGTAAACAAAACAGGAGCAGCATACCATTCAGTTAATATATAATCTGTAATATAGAGGGAGCATGACTGTACCTACAGTGTTGAATTTGCCAAATCTGTCAATAAATATTGTGTTTCCTCAATGTTTGATGTAAAAATGAATCAATTTGATTTTTAGTTGCCTGTATGTTTCTTGTTATATCAAATGTAGATGAACTTTCCAAAAATCATGGAGATGATACCATATGGTTTAATGGTTAATCAGTTGAATACTAAGCCCAAGATAACAATAGTGGAGTCTTGTAAAGCACTCATGTTTGGCACATTGCCACTCCTGATGCTCCATTATTATAAGCTGAGTTTGAGTACATGGAAATGCATGTAATGTCAAAATCCAAATTGTGTCCAATGTGTTGTTGCAGAATGATGGGTTTATCCCTGTAGTTTGATTTAGTTTAGCTTTAAACTTAGTTGCTGCATACATGTTAACAAGTTAATTAAAAATATGCAGCAAAGGTTCACAAATCAACTTAATGAGTCAGAAATAACAATTCTTACAATTCTTACAATTGCAGTATTGACATAACTGAACTAAAAGAGGAAGTTGAATGTCTTCTTTGTGTGTATTTAAATGCTTTCTTTGTGTTTGTTTTTCATACACGTCTTGTTTTGTCCACAGGTGCGTGTGTTGAATCACATAACATGGAAGACAGTTGTAGAACACAGCCATCCTCCAACATTAGATACACAAACTGTGGTGAGTTTATCAAGTCTTACAGAAATAAAGAGTTACTGAAATACTTCATATACCGTAATTACCGTAACAGCTCAGTTATCGGTGTATTGACTCACCACTCGGAAACTAGAACAACACTCAAATTTGTCTGTCATCTTGGTTTGAAAGTTCTGATAGATCTGAATATGTAGTTTATAATAATAATTCCTCCAATTTTACTTCTATTACACACGGCGTACCACAAGGTTCTATCCTAGGTCCTCTACTGTTTTTTAATTTACATTAATGATCTTACACATTCAACTGCACTTTTTTTTTGAGGGCGAAAAGAGGGGTGCGGTTAATACACGAGGGCAGTTTATACAACGTTAAATACGGTACATTCAAGTAATTGCAAGTATAAACAGACTATCACTATCCTATTTTGGATATTATTTGTATAACAGTGTAATATTAGTTTGAAATCGACCAATACTGCCCGTCAACCTTGAAACTTAAGTGTATTTGAAATGTTCTCTTCATTTAAAATACCAACTTTCAGATATATTCATATAGATGAAATGGCAGATTTATTAACTGTGTTTTGCTTCCTTTTTGAGGTACCAGTATACATCTATTTTTTTCTTCTTCAAAAATACAACTCAATCATTTAGATGCATAGTAGTAGATTCTCAAGTTTCTAAAACTCTCTGACAGCAATCGCTCGGAAGATCAATATCCTACACTGACCAAACTTCGTAACTTCAACCCGAACCAAACACTATAAACCTTACCATAACATAATCCCTATTAAAATAATAATGATATGCAGGTCTTGTATAGCGCATATCACATTTTGATATAATGTCTCAATGCGTTTCCTAATGAATTTGGATATTATTTTCCCGGCTTTAGCTCTGGCAACCGCAGCGCTGAGTGCATTCAAGTAATGATTTTTACCATCTACCCACTTACTACACCTGGGTTGTGTTGCGAATGTAGATTAATGTCTTGCCAAAGGACATTGGTGCTGCAGTGGGACTCGAACCCTGTACCTTGTGGTTCAAAGTCCAGAGACGTATCCACTAGACCACGACACCTCCTCTGACAAAAATAAAGCCGGCCTAGGGCAATAGACCAGTTCACGGTCTGCACATGACTGCTATGACCCCAAATATCCACAGATCTTCAAAACATGAAGAGGTCCCACTTTGTACCTTTTGAAATAATCACTCCTACAGCGATGGAGGTGTTACATACATGTAAATAGCCTTTGTTTCCCCTTTTCAAAGAATACGTCCACCTGTGTATCATGGAGTGCACTGATTGTGCATGAATGAATAATGATTACAAAACTTTCATGAGCACGTACATTTCGTCTCCATGTATTTCACAATATGTTCTGCAATGACCTTTATCTGCTCATGCTCAGACTGCAATTGTGAACTGGCTTATCGTTGCTGGAACAAATGTTAGGCCACCTTCTATAAATGAACCAAGTTTATTTTTTTTTACAGGTTGTGTACAAGGAAGTAGAACAGCGCCCTCAGGTGTTAGATGCAGGAGCACAGAAATGGCCCTCGGATGGTGGAGGGATGTTCAGTGTACAAAGCAAATGTAAGAACATGGACTGATTATCTGTACGGTGAAACCTGTATATAAAGACCACTCAAGGGAAACATGAAACACATGGCTCCGTTGCACAAAACTTACCATTGATGGTAAGTTTGCCATCAATGGTAACTACCATGGAAACCTTGATTTTGATTGGCTGTCGAGCCCCGTTACCATGGTAGTTACCATTGATGGCAAAGTAACCATCAATGATAAGTTTTGTGCAACGGGCCATGGTCTTCATATAGGCAGGTTGTCTTTATGTACAGGTTCCTTTAGCACAGGTTTCAATTAGAAACCATATTCAAGGTTATTTTATTAATGTTACTGGTATTCTTTCTACTAGTTGTCTTCAATACATCACTTTCAGTTTTTAGTAACATATCCATGCCCCATAATAGAGTACTTATCTTTCATAAAATTCACTCATAGAATTCTTGTAAGCATGAACTAATACATGAACAAGAACCATGGGTTCTCAACTGCTCAAGTTTTTCTTTCCTCTGATTTTTTCTCGACAGATGAAGTTCAGCAAGGTTCAGTACCATTGCCAAGCATTAAGCCAGATCCAGATAAAGCTAATCCGAAGATTGGGATTAGTCTCTTATCCTTCAGCCCTGATAACAGGTTCATGCTATCTAAGAATGGTGAGTCCTGAATGGATTGACATGTTTTCCATTTACATGATTAGGTGCCAAATTTATAACAGTTTTTTTTCTTCTAAATATTATACCCCCCCCCCCTTATTTTTCCAGTAACATTAATTTCCCTCTAATAAATGTTGACGTACATGTACTTAGTACTTTGTAATTAACTATTCTCAGTTTATAGTGAAATTATTTCATAATACTGTGTCTGGTTTCTTCTTTTTTCAGATGAAACAATTTGTGTTGAGAAATTGGATAGGTGTCGTGGTCAATTTCGCTTACTCATACTTTTGTTTTTAATGCAAATAATTCATTAATTATAGGTACATGTATGTTGTTGAATTCACATGTTTCATAGATGATCTTGTGCTTGATTTCAGATAACATGCCTAATGCCCTGTGGATATGGGACGTTCAGAAGCTCTCTCAGGCCGCTATGCTGCTTCAAGTTGGAAGCGTAAGAGGTAAATCATTGGACTGATAAATCTTTGCCCGTATTAATATGCTGACAAGATCATGGTGGATTTCAGTCCAAAAAGATGCATAGGAGTAGGCTCTCATGGGGAATTCTACACCGTTCGGATGATTACCCAATAACAGGTGTTGTCAATCACCATGTCTAGCCTTCAGTTTTATGACCAACAAGGATTTTTCTTCCATTTATTCCCCCTTTTTGATAAAGTCATTATCTTACTTTTCCCTCACCCGAAGATGCTCTGTGAGACTAGGGGCTATTTAATGATAGGCCTATGGGTTTGCTGTGTACAGAATTGTGCACCCATTAATGGTATAGTTCCACCAAGTCTGGTGTCAGCAAATTATGACCTTCTGCACATGGAAACTGATGACCCTCTCCCTTTAATGCCTCAATCACCTAAACTGGCTGTCTAGTAGGTCAAGGATTGAATGTGAAATAGTTATTATCAATGGTTTAGCTATTTGTTACCTGGTCTCATTACCATGAGCAAGCGATGCCTGCTCTGTGTCTGCTCCTCACCATGCATTATGCTTAACCATTTGTCTCCTAAAATACTTTGCTGAATTTGGTGAACAAGCATTCTTTGCTCCCAAACTTGAATTGACTTTAACTTTTCCTCTGCAACCTGCAGTCTCTCAATGTATTCAAACAGTTACTCAAATCTCACATGATCTGTGTGATACCCCGGAATAGGGAATTGGAGCATGGGTCTGAACGATACACTAATATTAATAGAGAAATTTGCCTCTTATGCCTGTGTTTATTGTCCCATATATTGAGATTGATGTTTGTGATTCCTTCTATTTTGATCTCATGCAGCTGCCAAGTGGGATCCATGCAGAGCTCGTCTAGCGGTGTGTACAGGAAGCAATAAGCTTTATCTCTGGTCCCCTGATGGTTGTGTAGCAGTAGAGGTACCGGCTGAAGGTGAGATAAATGGATGATGGTGGGAGTGGTGGCGATGATAGGATTTTTATATATTGTTATATGGTGGTCATGATGATGAGTAGGGGAAGGGGGGATGAAGAGGAGAAGTAGGGAGGAGAATATAATGATGATGACGACGACGATGATGATTATGATAATGTTCATGATGATGATAGTGACAGTGATGATGGTGATGGTGTTGATGAAAATTATGATAGTGAAGACAGAAATAGTTGATTGTAGTGGTGATGGTGTAGATATTGATTATGATGTTGAAGATGATAATTTTGATGATGATGATGATTAGGATAATGTTGATGATGATAATTTTGATCATGATGATTATGATAATGTTGATGTCTGATGATGGTGATGCAAATGATGATGTTGGTCATCATCATTATGATGGTGTAAGTGATGGTGGGACTTTGATGTTGATGATAACTTTTTTTCCATTGACGGGCAGAGAGTTACAGTCCTAATATTTTGCTATGTACTCAAAGGAAGTGAATGACAATCAATAAGTATGAGTTCAGTTCATTTTTATTCATTTCTATCTACTCTCCTTGTTTCAAATTATCAGCATCTTTCCAGGTGACATCGTTGTCATGGCACCCTGAAGGTAAAGCCATTCTCCTCTCAGGGAAGGATCATATGTGTGTATGTTATCTAGCAGAGGAGGGGGAGGAAGAGGAGGAGGGAACATGATCCATCCATCGTTGTGGAGATTGGTGATGATGCAGAGTATTACTTCATTTCTCTCTATTTTATAATGGACACAATTCCATGGATACCTTTACCAGGAATGCCAGAAGTAAGAAGTTTTAGGTTCTGTCGCATCGCTGTTTCATGCTGTTATCAGGCTTCAACATGTGTGAGCCTGCTTTCAGGCTCATAAGGTAAAGCCACCTGGTATCTTTTAATTCTATGCTACATGTGCTTGTATGACATTACACGAAAGGTCAGTCTGCTTAAAGGAGTTTTTTAACATATTTTATCTTTTGAGGCTCTCCTGAAGGCAAGGGATTTTGTGAAGCCAGATGTTGTCTTAGCGGAATATATCTCATGTCCCATGTTCTAAATATTTCATAAAGTTAGCAACATGAAAATGATAGAAAAAGGACTCAAAATCTGCTGTTCATGTTGTCTTATCTGTTCACTTGGGTAAGAATTAGGCAGCTTAGCTGGAATAGTGAAATGTGGTGGAAAATAAATACACATTCAGAACACAAAAGGCATGATAATAGTTTGTGACATGATAACAGTTTGGAGAACTTACAAGTGTTACTTGATATAACTCATCGACAGTTTCTGTAATATTTAGCCTAATCAAGTTTATAAGTAGAGGTATGTGCTAGCTCTTTGTCCCAATGATATTATGGTTCTACCTCTATGCAATACAATTATTTTAACAATGATGCAATTTGCATTCTGAATGTATCGCTGTCTTTATGTATCATTATCTTCTGCTATTAAAGCTGCCTTATATTACCCAGCTTTAATGATAAAGTTGAGTTCTGGTCATGCGATTGCATTGTGAAAGAAACGGTGTTGAATCTACCAGAAAAGGTTGATCATCTAGCATATAAGAATGTGTGTGTATTACAAGGTTCTGAAATCATCAAAATGATAAGAAATTTGGCCAAGTCTTGGTAAAGTTACAAACACTGTACACAGAAAGATTTATATGGGACTACACAAACACGTGGCATAAAAATCCTACCCTGGATTTTTACGATGTTACATGACATATTTAGAATATGAAGGCATTTGAAGAGCCATGCTTTTCAGGGAACATGTCTTATCTGATGTTCTTCCACACTTGCATAATAAGAATGATAACGCTCACAAATCATTTTTCACCTCTTCCCAGAACTCGACCTTCTCTTTAATATTGCTTTTCTGATAACATTCAGGCAATTTCTCCCTGCTGATATGTATACATTTGTGTATATACATTGTGTATTTGTAAACAAGTCTTGTGTGTGCCTTCCACTGTAAGTAATATGTGCCTTATATCTATTTGTTTGGAAAAAGATTGTGTGCATTATTATAGGCTGTAAAAATGTAATGTTATATTAAGCAGAAAGTATTTAGAAATGTTTGATGACACATGCACCTGCGACAATTGCTCTGTGGTCTATATCCTTCCTTCCTACGCTCATGAATTCTTGACATCAATCTTGGACCAAATATTATACCTACCCATACCATAAACCCAGGATGAGATTCCTACCCCAATCGGCGGATTTCTGCCAATTTTGAGATGTCAAAAAAAATGAAAAAAATGAACATCTACCATTGTCCTCACTACCTTAGCAGCATTTTTCTCTCATCTGAACAATGTTATGGAGTCCCTTTAAGCAGGATGGGCTAACAAATATTTCTCAAATTTAAAATTTAAATGCAAAGAAAATGTTTCCTTTTTACTAAACTATATTCTAAAGTTTTCTGTGGAAAGGGGCACGGCCCCCTTAACCTTGGCCAGGATCCCCATTTAATCTTCCTCCTTTTTGAGGGCATTTTTCTGTCTCATCATTGCATAACCTAAAACCCAATCGCACTCCTAACCCTGTATTTTTGACAAAATAGAACCTAGAGCAAATGTTGCAGCAGCAGAAGTCAGGTCACAATGTCAGAGGTCAAGTCTCCATGTAGATATACCAATTGCAGAAATAGTGTATCATCATGTTGCCATATTTGATTATATGTTCATTTTATGTATCTAACAAATTCTTGACAGTATTGATTGAATGAATAACATAGAACAAAATATTTGGTTGCCATGGTTACTCAAGTATTTAAGTGCAGAGTATGAGTAATTTTGCACCAATTTAGTCTTGCCAAATGTAGCGTAGAAGAAGAGTTAACATTGAATTTCATTCCACTAAAATGTGATTAATTTTATATTTTGTAATTAATCAACTATCATTGTTACATGATAATCAGTTTAAGTAGAGTGGTGATTTGCCTGAGATGTACAGTGACTTTAGTCAGCTGTAACTGGTAAAATGCTTTATAAGAAACATTTGTTTTTATAATTATTATTATTATTATTATGAGGCACAACTGTGCTTTAACATAATAACATGTTTAAGGTGTATGTTTTTTTAAATATATGTAATTGGTCTCATTAATTATGTAGGACTCTTACTAAGGGTGAAGAAAGCTTTCTTGTATTTTTCATAAGAATAGATGAACAATTTTGTCATATTCATGTTTTGCAGTTGAAAATACAAATTAATGCTTAGATGAACTATAATATTTCAATGATAAATGAGTACAGTACGAGAGAGGGAGAGAGAGAGAGAGAAATTATTCCTGTTGCCTGTTTCAAGATTATTAGAAACTGTGTTTAAAGTCTTTCGTTGTACATGTATGTATGATAATGTTGAGAAATAAATATATCTAAAATTCACCTATGATGCAGTGCTCTGTATTGTGTGTTATGTCTTGATGGTGAGAGAAATGCAGTACACATCAAATTACAAGAAAATACTAAATCAAGATTATTGAATTCATTGGGGAAAGAAAGAAAGAGTACAAGAGAGAGGGGCGGAGAGAAAGAGAGAGAGAGAGAGAGAGAGAGAGAGAGGAGGAGGAGGAGGAGAAGAAGAAGAGAAGAAAAAGAAGAAATAGAGGAGGAGGAGAAGAAGAAAGAAGAAGTAGAAGAAGAAAATATGAGGTACAGTGTATTATATAAAAGTTTGATATTCTGCTACCATGTGTTTGATATATCCATGATCTAGACTCTAGAGGGATAATACAAATATTATTATAATGTAAACTACACACATGAATTATTATATAACAGGGAACATCATAAAACTTGCCCTCTTTTAACCTCCATGATAAAACGTAAATAGTTTTCCCACACAACAAAATTCCCCATGTGAGTTGATTTTGATGCCCAACACATTGACATTGCATATGATTCCTTCCCATCATTATCCTATCCATCATGCATAATATTCTGAATAAATGATGAGAAGGAGCGCTTTGTAATCACTCTCATTGGGAGAATGACATTAATTATTCCTTAAAGCTACGCATGATTTATCTGGTGCATTAATTTACGGTGAGACTACATGAAGTTGTACTGTACATGTATGTATAAAGCTATCCTGTGGGATGAAGAAGTGAAGTTCATCTTTATACTGTTTATTGAGAGCCACAAGTTCACAAGTTCACCAAGTCATTTGGTCTACTTATACTGTGGAATCTCATTACAACAAACTCCTTGGGGACCAAGAAAAGTACTCACATTAAAAAAACCTTGTTGTATCAGGGTTGAACAAAAATAATAATAATGATGATAATAATAACATATTAATACTACTACTAATACAAATAGTACTACTACTACTACTAATAATAATAGTTTTACTACTACTACTACTACTACTACTACTACTACTACTACTACTACTACTACTACCACTACTACTACTACTACTTCTACTACTACAACTACTTCTACTACTACTACTACTACTACTACTACTACTACTACTACTACTACTACTACTACTACTACTTCTACTACTACAACTACTTCTACTACTACTACTACTACTACTACTACTACTACTACTACTGCTACTACTACTACTGCTACTACTACTACTACTTCTAATACTACTACTACTACTACTTCTACTTTTACTACTACTACTACTACTTTTACTTCTAATACTACTACTACTACTACTACTACTACTACTACTACTACTACTACTACTACTACTTCTACTAATAATAATAATGTCTTGTTTATATACCCATAGCCTTATCAATACAAATACTGCTCTCCCTGAGAGACTTGCAATCATATCATTACCCCCACTTTAACAGAGCTACCATGATAAGGTGCTCAAGCATTCAAAGAATTTCTTCTTACTGGGTACCTATTTACTACACCTGGGTGGAGGGTGGCAAACTCAGATCAATATCTTGATTGAAATACATTAGTGCCACAGCAGAACTCGAACAAGGAAACATGTGATTCACTCCAGTGATGTATCCATTAGGATACAAAGAAGTGGTACCAGCAAAAATATCCTGTTACAAGAGTTTGGTATATCCATGTTCTTTAAAACAAGGTTTTGATACTGTAATCTAAGAGTCAATTCACTTCTGACTCTCAGCAAACGGTATATTCTTATGCAATTCGTTTCCATCTGGATTGTATTTTGAAGGGTAAATTCGAATCAACTAGGCCTAAAACATCTGAATGACAATGAAAAACTTCCAGGTACTAGGTCCATACCTCATTTTTTTTCCCATCTCTAGTCTCTCTCTCTCTCTCTCTCTTCTCTTTTTCTTTCCTTGTTTCACCCTATTTATTCTCATTTTTTCTTCTGTATATCCACTGATCTCCTTTCCCCATATCCCAGAAACAATATTACTCAAGAATGATTCAACAAATTTCTCAGTCATTGTCTATGACAAATATCATCTCGGGTGTTCATTAATTAAAATTGATTTTGATCTTATCGTATAAAGTTTGTAAAATTTGATTGCATTCAATTTAAGATCAAATTCATGGCTTGATAAAACACAGATTAGTAACACAATGATTGAATAAAAGAATGTGCCATAGTGTTATAATATTTATTTTTCATCATTTAATAGTACATACATAGGTTTCCAAACTAAGCCATGCTCTATTGGGGTACATATAAATATGAGAAAATCTACATGATGAATTTCAGGTTAAATTTTATAGTCAATTACCACAATCCCAGTTCTCTTCATATTACATCTACAAGAAATATGTTTCAAATTGCTTAAATTGTCATACAATAGAAAAACACAAAGTAAATATATGTTGAATTCATTCAAGCATGACAATCCATTTCTATATACTACGTATTTGTTTTACAAGGTAAACAGGAACAAAAAGGAAATGCTGCATTTTTTAGCTTTTCATTTTTTGCTAGCTTGTTATTTTCTTCTACCTACAATTTATGTTTTGTTTTATTTTTATTTGGGAAAGTCGACAAACATTTGAGAGAAAATCATTACCCACAAGCTTACTTCATTATTTATCACTATTAATTCAAAATGCATTAATTCCATAACAAAATAAAACCATATGTGGCATATTCACTACTTCAATGCAGACGAAAATTAAATATCAACATTCAACAAAAATAGGGGGACAAAAAAGAGATGGTGGCATGAACATGTTGGTACATGTAGCATTGCAGTTATTTAAAGATGAGTTGTAAAGTTCAATTTCAAGAAAATATGAGTCAGCATAAAACATGACACACTGCTTAGAATCTTACTACACTGGTAGGATAAAAGACACAACTTGAAACAGGAGATGACCAGGAAGTAAAATCCATTCAAATAAAAGAAAACAAATTCATGTATTTTCACCAAAAAGCTGATGCTTTCCTGACTTGCTTCAGGCTATGAATCCACTTTGCTTTTTGTGAGCATTTTTCTTCCTTTCCAAAACAAAAAAAAGTAATTGGCTCTTGAAATATTACTGCTTTCAAATTTAGCAGCCCAATGATGAGGTTAAATACAAAGCATCCGTCTCATTTCTTCACTTTTTTGTGTCCTACTGTATTTTAATCAAGGTTCAACAGAAACATCTGGCAGTACATGTGGAAGGTCAATCTGTATCTTCCTCAGATAATGAGATAAATATTGTCTCCCTTGAAACCCTTCCACTATAGTATCAATAGTATTATACTTTAGTATCATGGCAAATGCACTGACTATTTCCTCGTTAACAAGATATCCTAGGTTTGCCCAAGGATATAAGCTGGAATGTTTTAGAACTCAGAAGCAATATTAAAAACGGCTAAATGGCTCTAAAGGGAGACATCAATCATTGAAAGGATATTTTTTATTTTTTTATTTGCTTGTTGTGTGACAACTCCTGTCAGAAAATACCATGGGACCTTTTCTTTTCAACAAATTTGGCCACCCACCCCCACCCCTTAAAATGGCTAAGTGATTCCTGCATGTCATAAACAATTCAATTGTTATTTTCATCAGCAGTATGTACAACATGTGTCTAATAAATCCCTATTCCTGTCATACACATGAACAAATGTAATACAAAAAAATACATAATAATAAAGAAAAACAAATCATATCTTAATATATACAAATGTCAGCAGTTTACACAGTACTGATAATAGATCTCTACATTATAATTGCAAAAAAAGAAGGAATCGACTACCAAAATGTGTTGTCATAACATTATACAAAAGCAAAAAAACAAACAATATTTCAGAGAACTAGTATATATGTATTAAGCAGGAGTTGTATTTAATTATTAGAGAAAATGATTGGGAACTTGCTGCTTAATTACTGTTTAAGTTGGAGAATGTCAAAGGAAAACATATCACTAAAACTTCAAATCAAATAAAGGGGGAAACATATTTTGAATTTATGCTTTTTGCTGACTTGTTGAAAATTCAAAGTAATTATATTACAAAGCTTTCCAATGGAGCTGGAAATAGTTAATCATGTCTTTGCATAGGATAATCATCATATAAATGAATATTTGGCAAGTGTTTTTCATTTTTTCATTAACATACATGTACGTAGATACCATCATCTTGTTCAGCCGTTACTTCTTATTATTTCAGTTTGATAATGTTTGTTTCAAGTCACTTCATATTTAATCCCTTTGATACAAATTGAAAGAGTATGGTTACAAGTAACACTCATGTATAAGAAGGGAATGGGGGTTATTTTCAGAACATTTATCACAAATAATTTGAAGTCGCTGAGCTTTTCTACACCATACTTTGACTACAGCTCTCATTTTCACCATGGCAGACACTAATATACTTTTTTATATCAAGGAAAAGTTGCAAATTGAATTAATGCCAAAATACAGCTAAGTTTACTTTGAATATTTTGAAGAGCTTTACATATTCACCAATAACCAAAGTAAACCCCCCCCCCCCCAAAAAAAAAAAAAACTACAGCCTGTAGTAAGCATTAACTGCACAGTACCAGTCTCCATAAATCCTTTATCATAATGCATTGGACTTCCAAAGCATTACTACAAACTGTACATACTACATACAATCTAATCATTCTTTACTAAGAAATATCTGAATTGATTAATGAAGGGACTCACTGAGCAAAATCAAAATGAACAATGAATGTATGTACTCTTCATGTAGTATAATTTTGCAGACCTTAATGTAATTATTTTAAACATGATCATGAAATAAAAAAACAATGTGAAGATACACATGAATGTATACAACATTGCACAAAGAAAAACACACAAAACTTGAGCACAGCTAGACTACAGTTACACTCACTAGGCTTCATTATCATTATTAACTGCAAAATGTGAATGAAAAACTAGCAAAGCATGACAAACTTCAAAGAATCTATTTTTTCATAAATAAAGCTATACATTCAACAACAATACATTGTTATGAATTCATGATTGATACATCAACATAGCTAGGCTCAGCCTCTATATATAACTGTACAGCAAATTCTTACTCTATATTTTGACTCTGCTTTTGAAAACGAATATATTACTGCAACGGTGCATCAGGTGAACCATAGTCTTACACACATGCAATATCATAATTAGTCTTTAAAAGAAGTAAATATGTCATTTGATAATATGATATCCACTGGTACAATGTGAACTAATTTCACGATAATTCTTGTAGTATAATCACCCTCATGAAAAGATTAAACATTCATAGTATTATGTGAACTACATCTATATCTTCATGTAGGTAACATCTGTATGTTCAAGCAACGCAACTCCAGAGCTACATGATGTGACCAACTTGCACAATATACAGTCAAACCTGTGGACAGATGGTCTTTGTAGACAGGTTCCTTTAGTACATGTTTCAATGAGAACAATTTTTCAAGGGAATCCAAAAATGTGGTCTTTGTAGACAGGTGGTCACTAAAGCAGGTTTGACTGTATTTGTGTAATATCTAAGCGCTAACTATTCTTCAAAAATTATACACCTTCTACCACTCTAAGTACACACATCATGAAAGACCAAAAGATATTGAATTTTAATATTTTTAGCTGGGTATAGCGTAGGGGCATAAGATTGGAATTATTTAATGTTAATGGCATGTGCTTCCTCATATAGCCACAGGATTAAGTGTGAATTTCCAGGACTATAAAATCTTGAATAATTGTGATAGCTCTCCTAATCCAGGAAGATTAAGCTTGTTGTATGTAGTTTAATGCAGGCTTTTGTATAGTAGGATATCCCTGTATTTAGATTATGTTACTGTAGTACCATATGGTAGGCTGACTAGTGTCCATTGAAGTATTCAAGATATGATAATGACATTTTAAAGACATACATCACATTCTTACTTATAAAAGTAATAGAATACTAGCTAGATGTCTCTACTATTGAATACAAGGATCACCGATAGTTTCAACCAAAGTCTGAAAGTGAAAATGCTTTGATAACATTTTCACTTTTATAAACATGAACACGTACGTACCCATGTACATGTGTAGCATGAACAATGGTTGAGAGAGAAGGCAGTGAAAACTGAAAACAATGGTCTATACCCCCACTTATCCTTTATGCTATAAGATCTATTAAACCACTACATACATGTACATGTAACATACAAGGAACATCAAAGTAACAAACTTATCATATCCCTACTACATGGAAAGCATTCTGAGCTCTATTCACACATATTAGAAGTACATATTTAACTTGATCAAATGTGTCTACGGATGATTATCTCCTCCCTATCCCTGAAGAAACAAACCTCTTTGATACAAGAACCATCCATGATTATAATAAGAGTATGAAAGTGACCATGTTATCGTATACCCAGGTACATGTTTAGCATGAACTCAATTCAGACTTGCATTTTTAACAGGAAAAGTCAAATACTACAATAAAAGTATGAAAGTGACAATGTTATCATATACCCAGGTACATGTTTAGCATGAGCTCAATTCAGACTTACATCTTTAACAGGGAAAATCCAAGATTACAATAATAGTATGAAAATGACAATGTTATCACATACCGAGATGCTTGTATAAAATGAACTCCATTCACACTTGCATCGTTAACAGGGAAAATCCAAGATTACGATAATAGTATGAAAGTGACAATGTTATCACATACCCAGATGCTTGTATAATATGAACCCCATTCACACTTGCATCTTAAACTTTGGTTGGTTGAGTCTTTAGAAGCTTACGCCGCCCCTCTCCCTGAAGAATCCCAGCTTGCTCTGGTTATACACCATGCTGGAGAGACCCAGGTAGATCTCAAGCTCAATGGGAGCCGCTGTGAGACTGACAGGGGGGAGGTTGGGGTGATGAGCAGAGCGACTGGTAGTCACGGCTTGCTGGAGAGTGTTGTAGAATGGTCCAACCTGGAATCGTAACAGTGACAAATCAAACAGAAAATCAAAACAATGAGCATAATTCACTTCATAGAACTGTAAGTGTTTGTCTTTCAACATCATTGAAATATTTCCTAGCCAATCAAGCGCTCCCCCTATGAAGATTCTGATACAGTCATTGCTCAAATACAGAGAGCTAAGCAAAGTTTTTCCCTTTAGCCTAAAACTATTGAAAAATCCCTGAATCACCCTTAGTAGACCCACTCCAGAAGAGTGTTTGTCTTTCAATACATCATCAAAATATTTCCTCGACAAACAGGCACTCCCCTTACAAAGATTCTTATAAATACAGTCATTGAGGCTGTTCACACCACAATGAGATAGCGCAGTCTATCGTAGCACCCCCTTTTTTCTAACGCGCGCTAGACCGCGCTCTCTCTCTGGGACCACCCCCAAGAAGTGCTCCAGTGGCACACCGTTTTGGCTCGCCGTGGCTCGCTGTTGGGTGGACCGAAACGACGTTGTACCTTCCAAACCGCAGAAATAGCGCAGTCTAGCGCGCGCTATCTCTGCCGGTGTGAACAGCCTCTAAGTTCAAATACAGAGAGCCAAGCACAGTTTATTCCCTTCGACCCAAAACTATTGCACAATATCTTAAAAAAACCTATTAGCAGCCCCTGTATTCACTCCAGAAAAGCATTCGTCTTTCTGCAGTCAGCACCATCAAAATATTTCTTAGGTAAACTGGCACTCCCCATGAAAAGACTCAAACTTGATTCAGTTTCGGGTAGGCAGGTAGGCATACAATGGAAAATCGAGCCAACAAGACAACAAATGTTGTTCAAACAATCTCATTCATTGAGAATATATACTACAATCCAGTCAAAGTAATCTGCATGATAGAAAGACCATCAATAGCTAGAGGAAGATTCTGACAAGGCAAGAAAGCCAGGCAAGTCACCAACTCCTTTAGAAACACACTGTAAGCCCAATGCACATTTCTCCAATTACTGGGGCCATACCAAAGTCATACAGAATACAAGCCAATGTATAATGTACTAATGAGTACAATTTAAAATAATATACTAGTACTTGTTCATGAAGCAGAATGAATGAATCAAGGATTGCTCAGCATTAATAGAGCAGTATTAACTGAGTCAGTGTTTCATAAACCGTTGGAACCTTCAAAAGCACCCCAACGCTTCAACACAAGTGCTTGTTGTCTGTCTAGCAACGTCTGAAAAACATACCCAGTATTGTGAAAAAATAGAAAAAATAATGCCACATCCAATAAATATAAAGAATTGTAGTCAAAATACCAAAACATCAAAAGATTGCCAACACTGCAAGACAGATGCCTGGATAAGATCTAAGAAACACAATGACTCCACACTGGAAAAAAAACTCAACCTCATCAAATACCAAGAAATATGAAAATCAGATGTATTTAGAACAGGATGTGCAAGCAGCCTATCAGCAGTAAACCACATGACCTTTGGCCTTAGATGAAGTACGTTAACAATCACACTTGACCAAGGCTTTCAAAAAATGCACATGTAGGAATCCGTGTTGGTGATCCTACCTCAAAGCTACATGTATGGCAAGTCTTTGAGAGTATTGTACAGACGGACGAACAGATGCATGGACGGTAACACGGACAAGCAGCATTATTTGTAAGAACTCCTGTTCGGCGACGAGGGACAACAACTGAGAAATGTACATTGAGGTACTGTTGAGAAAAAATATACAACGAGCTAGAGAAACAAACAAAGATGTTGTATACCTAATGGTTAGGTCACACAAAAGAAAATTATTTTGATGTTAATTCTTTTCTCAATGTTTGAAAGGCAAGCGTTTCCCATGTTTTCCTACCCTTCAATGCGTTCTTGGTTGGAAGTACGCGTTTGTCGATCCGTTTCCCCTAAGACGCATTGGAAATGCAGCGTACATGTAGCTAAATCGATGTCACTTTGGATCCAATTTAAATCATGCATTTCCAGAAAGAAGTCATCTCATTTCTCTTTATTTAACATCGAAATGGAAAAGCATGGGCTCGACACATTTGCATATAAACCTAGGCCCATAGCCAACAAAAGTCTAAAACTGACACTTGCTTTCAAAGCTTTCGTTCAAAATCATGATTTTTCTAAAGGAAGTCAGTCGGAGGTCTTAGTTTTCCTATTGTTAACTGTAATCTTGGACCCAGGGTCGGGTTTAACTGAATTAGCAAAATACACACCTTAAAGAATAAGGTAGGGAATGGTTGAAAGAAAAAAATGGTACATAAGCAAGCTAGTTAATATACATCAATTGCGTTTTCAATAAGCATTTATTACAATGTTCTACAGTCAAACCTGTCTTTAAAGGCCACCCACGGCAAACAGAGAAAGCGACTGTATTAACGAGCCTTGAGTATCCCTCCGGATGGAAAGCATAGGCTAATGCCTAGGCCACATTTATCTAATCTACAGTACATGTATAAAAGATAACAAAGAATCTCCGCCAAAGAAAACCAAACAAAAACATCCAGAAAATCTATGCCGAACTTAGATGTAATCAGACATGCCAACCTCTGGAGTTCAAAAACTGTCTTTAATCCCAAAAGTTGTATTTTACTGACAACAGTTGTATTCTTAAAAATAAACATGGACTGTTACACAGATCAATGCCTCGTACAGTTTCTACATACAGGAAGAATTTTTTTTAAGGATTATTATTATTTTTTTTTAATTGTATTTTATTGAGGAAAATCGTACTGTCGTATTTGCTTCTAAAAATCTTACGAAATACGACTAAATCGTACTGGTTGGCAGGTCTGCATAATGCTGTCACTAAGAAAACAAGAGTGACAGAAAGAAAGAGAGGAGAGAAAACAATAATACACAGAAATTGAAACATGAGAAGCAGCTGCTAACCTGATAGTTCTGAGCCTGTCTTGTATTATCAGTCTGTAGAGGGTGACTGGTGAGTGTGGTATAAGGAATGGTATCACTGAAGGGGTTCCACTTCTCAAGTACAGACAATGGACGTCCACTGCTCCAGTGAAGGCGAACTCCTTCACCTGTGCGGGCTCTGTCAACAAAACGGTGAATAATTAATTTTTTTTCAGTGAATAATTTTTTTTTTAAAGGGCTTTGAGAGACAGATCCACACAATCATCTACATCTTCATGTACATGTAAGTGCAAAGCATTAAAGGGATTGGGTATCTTTGTCTCAGATTCTAAACAAAATCCTGCATTTAGCTCATGCTGCAATCTTAATTATAAACCTTTAGGTCAGTCAGGAATCCCATGACTTTTACAAGCCGATCACCTGTCTGATTATCAAGATATTTATGATTGGAATTCGTAATTTCAACCTTTTCCCAAAATGAGTACTATGGTAAAACCAGTAACTCAAAGATTTTTACTTTTTGAGGCACTTCATGACCATTTTGAAGCCCAATTTTGTTAGGGCTTCAATATTACACCATATCACAGACACTGGTAACACGTAGGGCCGTGCATCTCAGATTTAACATTGTTAAACGATGCTTTTATTGATTTTAAATGCAATTTGCAGGTTCTTTACATGCATACAAGTTATTTAATGATAAAATCCCAGGTACACCAGAGCCCCTAAGGCACAAGTTTGATTTACACCTCATTTAGGAGAGGCATAAATAATGAACTGGGATTCAAAATAACGACCCATGACCTGTAATTGATAACCAATTTACATTTATCTAAACTCTATGAAAGATCACGAGTATCTCCGCCAAAGAAAACCCCAAAAAGCCATCCAGAAAAGCCATGTTGAACTTACGGTGCAAGTGTCTTTTCTGGATAGGTGAAGTTTCCCTTCTGAAGAGCGCTCAGTGTGTTGAACATGACTCTTCGGTAGGTCTTTATCTGATTCACGATGAAATCAAATTTGACCAAGTAGAGAGAATTGTCCGTAACCGCGGCAACCCGTTCCTTCTCGTTGTCCCAGTGGTCTACCTCGGTGAGAAGCCACACCCCTAGGAGGTTCCCGTCTTCTTCTTGGTTGATGAGATTGTTCTGGCATGCCGTGGCTGCTGCTTCTAAACGACCAGCCTGCAAACACCAAGGAGGAGACAATCCATTTTCAGTAGGCCTGAGTCATCACGGGTTTTGCCGAACCCGGGTTTGACTTGAAAATTTCGGGCGGGGACCGGGTACCCGAAATTTTCACCACTGCACTGACACTAAAAATCGTGTGCATGAAGCGGCGGGAGTTAGACTAAGTTGCTGTTCTAATAATGCGACGGAAAAGACAGTTACTGCTTTCAAAACAATAAAATAATCAATGGAATTAAATTAAGATGCTTTAAAAAATAAATGGATATTGTTTCAGTTGACGGTAGGTGTTTTTATCGCTCTAAAATTGAGGCTGCGAAAAAGGAATCACGCTTCGTGGTACCGATCGGGTGCGTTCAGAAACGGAAGTGGAAATAGATCTATGACCCACTGAAGACAGAGCAAGAAAATGCCACACACAAGACTAAAATGTTGATCAGACTATTGCAATTAAATCGTAATACTAAAGGCATTAATTTAATTGTCAAAATATATCCACAACATAATGGTTTATCCTTGATAGTTTGATGAAGGAAAATAAATTAGAGCTCTTGAAATAACATCGAAGTGCCTTTCGTTCGTTCTAAAAATGCGTGTATAACGGCGAGCAGAAGTTACGAGTCAAGCTTGATATGCACGTTTACATCCCTACACCGTCATCCGACCTGGTCGGAACAATAAGCATTAAACCAATTAAAAAACATCACGGAAGACTTTAAGGGACTCCAATTCAACAAAATTACCGTAAAATAATTATTTGCTTTGACAAATAATACTATAGATATTCATAATATGTTACAGAAATAATGATATTTCATGAGCTACGCAGGCGCGTAGCCAGAGTTTGATGTTTGGGGGGGCACATACATGTAATCGATCGAGGTAAAAAAAAAGGGTCTACAAAATTTCAACCGATCCTGGAAATTTTAGGGGGGGCACGTGCCCCCCCGTGCCCCCCCCCCCCCCGTGGCTACGCGCCTGGAGCTACGTACTCGATATCGAGTTCAGCTAGCCATCATTTTGAAATGAGACGGAGTTGTCATGCAGTAGACTGTAGAGGGCAGTATGCAGAAGAGAGAGGAAAAAGCGCGGGCCTGAGATCACGTGATATTCACGTGACTATTACGTGATTTTTTTTCCCTCTCTAGCTGCGAGCTGCCGCATTCTGCGCTGCATGCATGACAACTACGTCTCATTTCAAAATGATGGCTAGCTGAACTCGATATCGAGTACGTAGCTCATGAAATATCATTATTTCTGTAAGATATTATGAATATCTATAGTATTATTTGTCAAAGCAAATAATTATTTTACGGTAATTTTGTTGAATTGGAGTCCCTTAAAGTCTTACGTGATGTTTTTTAATTGGTTTAATGCTTATTGTTCCGATCAGGTCGGATGACGGTGTAGGGATTTAAACGTGCATATCAAGCTTGACTCGTAACTTCTGCTTGCCGTTATACACGCATTTTTTAGAACGAACGAAAGGCACTTCGATGTTATTTCAAGAGCTCTAATTTATTTTCCTTCATCAAACTATCAAGGATAAACCATTATGTTGTGGATATATTTTGACAATTAAATTAATGCCTTTAGTATTACGATTTAATTGCAATAGTCTGATCAATATTTTAGTCTTGTGTGTGGCATTTTCTTGCTCTGTCTTCAGTGGGTCATAGATCTATTTCCACTTCCGTTTCTGAACGCACTCGATCGGTACCACGAAGCGTGATTCCTTTCTTGCAGCCTCAATTTTAGAGCGATAAAAACACCTACCGTCAACTGAAACAATATCCATTTATTTCTAAAGCATATTTATTTGATTATATTGAAATATAAGTTTGTGAATTCCATATTTTTAGTTCTATATTTCAAAATATCAGTGTGAAATTTAATTTTGAAAAACCCGAAACCCGAAAACCAAAAACCGGGTTTCAGCTCGACGGTCGGGGCCCGGGCGGGGACCCGTTTCGACTCAGGCCTAATTTTCAGTGATGCATGGCTAATTCTATTTTCATTTCATTTTCATTTCATTTTGAACATTCAGTGTACCGGTAAGTTTTGTTGGATTATGCCAGAATTTATTTGTTATCATTACCAGAACACAAACTTATCTTTAACTATCGGTGGATTGTCTAATACCAGTATACAAATAATTAAGTGACAGAAAAATGGACCATCATGTTGGAAGTGTTACTTGCTTTAGAGACCACCTGTATACCGGTACTAGAAAGACCCTGACTATGAAGATTTTACATGAAGAGAATTTGTAAAAACCAATATGAATCCTCAAATCCTACCTGTGAAGCAAAATAGAATCCAGAAGAATTGACTGCGTTTGGTTGGAATTTAGCATTATCCACCGGTGTGGCCGCTCCCTCGCCTTGGATACCGCCGGTGTTGTTCTCATCAAGAAGATTGTTAGAATCGATGCTTAGCTTGACCCCTTCAAATGATACGTCAGGTACACCTTTCTCAAGGTTGTCCTCCATGTTGCCGTTCGTCTGACCGTTAGAATCCATTCTGGTTTTGTTTGAGGAACTAGCAAGATCTGTAAAGGAAAAAATGTAATGAAATAAAGATTTAAAGAGTTATTTAGGGTACGCATATATGCTTGTTCCCTCTTTTTGAAAGCACCCCCTATCTGAGGACTGCCAACATTTTCGAACCCCCCGTTCGCAGGCTTTTCGCTGGCTTTGGAGACCCCCCTAAATCAGGAAAATTGCCTTAAGTACCCCCCTAAATTCGGATTAATTTCTCAGGAGTCCAAAGAGATGAGAGAAAAAAAAGAAAAAACACCCCCTTTTTAAAGAAATCTCCGGGTGAAAAGTCAAATACACCCCTTTTTTTACAATTCTCGTAAAAGTACCCCTTTACCGGACATTTTGGCAACATGCATGCGGTCATTCCGACCTCTGAGTAGGGGGGCCGGGATGATCACATGATATCACGTAGGTCTATGTTAATTCCGACAAAAACAACATTAAATTGATGGAGGCAATATTTAATCTAGAAATATCTACCGTCTAGCAATCTTTCACAAAATGCTGTGCATAACGCTGTAAGCCGTATCCTCCGATCCCCTCACTAACCTGTCTGTACGAACTACAATGTACATGTAGATCTACGTGTACTGTACTTCAGTCTCAGGGTTCCATGTCAGCTCGCCTAATGTCAGCCCGCCCCCTTACAAAGTCGCCCTCAATTGGTCATGTCGCCTCCCGATTTTGTTTGCCGATTTTGGGATTCTTGGTCAGCTCGCCCCCAGTTTTTTGGTCAGCTCGCCCCCTAATTTGTTGTTTTAATTTGATGTCTTTTACAAGTTCAAAGTCAAGCCATTTTTAGTTCCTGGCATCTCAGTTCTATGATATTACTAAATATTGAAAATTTTCCTCGAGTTTTCCATTGTAACGCATATTTTCGAGGATATTTGCATAGTAAGTTTCCACCAGCTTACGTACTAACACATCGATCACTCTCTCAATATTATTGTCTCCTCTCTGTCAGTGGCAGTGCTGTGCTGCGGAGCGGGGAGACCCTCTTCATGGCTTTCTGGCTAGGTCACTGTCTTGTTACTCTCACTCTTTGTCCCCCCCCCCTTCTCTCTCTCTCTCTCTCTCTTTCTCTCTCTATCTCTCTCTCCTCTCTCTCTCCCTCTATGTCTCCCTATCTCTCTCCCACCCCCTCTCTCTCTCCCTATTCTCACTCTCCTTCTTTCTCTAGCTCTCTCTCTCTCTCTTTCTCTGGTATAAGTTCTTAAATAAAAGGGTGACATGTGAATGCATTTTTTAATAATGTTACTAGGGTTAGAATATAGAATTTTACATTTTTTAAAAATTAAATCAGTTTTAATTGTATAAAATCCTGTTTGACTTTTTAACAATTCCCAAGATGATGCACACTATATCGAATATTACAATGGCAAACTTTTACCTATGTTTTTTATGCGAAACTTATCTTATTTTTATGCAATATCATATTCTACATGTACCTTTTAGTAAATTGGCCCAAATACAAAATGTTCTGCATTTTGCCTACAATGTATAATTTGTTTAAATCATTGTAGCATCTATTTGATTTTATAATTCCTGGATTTGGTTTCTGTTGTTGTCTTTGTTTCTGTTATTGAAGAAAACACCATAACCATACCATAGTAACCATACCCATCTGGCTATGCATTTTCCAACTAAAACATTTAATTCTTTTGAATATCAAAAATGTATCACTATTCATATATTGTATAAGTTCAGTATATATAATTTAATTGCAAATATGGTAATACAATTCAAATTTTTGTATATGCACACTCTAAAATCTGAAATGTTAAATGTAAATTTAAAAGGGCCGAGGAGTGACCACTCTTTTAAAATGTTAGATTGTTTCTTTTAACCTGCTAGATTCGACCTTTATAGTGTTGGATCCAGCATGTTCAAAGTGTTAATCTACCATTTTGAAAGAGTGGTCACTCCTCGGCCCTTTTAAATGGTGATTTAACATTTCAGTTTTCAGAGTGTACCAAGCAATTTGCCAAGGTCGTTGAAGCACAATTATGTACAAAAGAATTGCAATTTTACTACCATTATGCTACCATGCATAATTTTTATGTGTAATTTTACTTTGTCACTGATGTATACTTTGTAAAAGAAACTGATTCGGCTCTCGGGCCGCGAATGTTTTTTAATGAAATAAACCATTTTAAATAAATAAATAAATAAATCGTTCTGGCTGGCTTAGTGACGGAACTTAAGGGAGTATCCACAGGCTATAGAGATAATAAGGATTTTATAGATTGGCTTTCTTAGCTTTTCTCAAGTATAATTTGTACACGCAAGCAAATTAGAGCATTTTCAGATCCCTTTTTAATCCAATATAGTTTGTGTTCACTACTTACAAGACCAGGCGCGTACACAGGGGGGGGGGGGGGTGTTTGGGGGGTTAACCCCCCCCCCCTTTTGGTAATTTATTGTGTGTAAACCCCCCTAAATTTCTCTAAACCCCCCCCCCTTTTGGTTGACCTAAAAAAGCTGACCTTACCCCCCCCCCCCAACGGAGCAAAATGTCAAATTTTCAAATTTCGAGACCAAAAAAAAAAAAAAAATGTGTCCTCTTACCCCCCCCCCCCCCCCCCCCCCCCCCCCCGCTTATTCAGCGGTCGGCTGAGTCGTTGCGATTTTTTTGGGACCAAAAAAAAAAGAAAAAAAAGTGACCTCTTACCCCCCCCCCCCCCCCCCCCCCTCCCGCTTATTCAGCGGCTGGCTGAGTCGTTGCGAAATTTTCGGCCCGATTTATAAATGTTAAACCCCCCCCCCCCCCCCCTTGAAAAAATCCTGCGTACGCGCCTGTACAAGACCCATACTAGAACGTGTCGTCATGAGATAGTTGTAAAAGTTTAAAAATAGAAATAGAAGAGAATGTCTCTACATTGAATTAAAAGTGAGCTATAATTGATATGACTTATAAATATAAGTTTATTATGAAGCAAATAGATCGAAATAAAAGCTTTCGGCGGTAAACCCAAATGAACGAAACGTTATCTAATTTTACTCTCAATTCATTATATATTATAATAAGTGCGTGATTTTGTTTAATGAATATTGTAAGGGACGACCATGCGTGACCAACATGAACATCTGCTCATCTTTTCAAGTATTCGAAAGCACTAGTAGGTTCCAACCTTAACCTGTATAATAATTTGTGTTTATTTTGTGTATAGATGTCACTTTTCTTTTAATCTGTGCACAAATAAAAAGCAATTATTCTTCCAAATACATACCTTATTACTATGTCGCGGCGCTTTTGTCCTTCATTATTATAAAGCGCGCGGAGGATAACGCTGAAACAATAATAATAACAAAGAAACATTTTTGATAATTCAAACAATGATGAAGAGTCGGTACAACGAATCGTCTTTTTTGTTCTTTCTCTAATAATTTAATGAAACGTCAAAGCTTCCGCGCTTCATGCGGAAGGGGGGGGGGGGACTTAATTCACGGGATTAAGAGTCGAAAACCATTCTCTAATAAATAATGAAACGTCAGCGCGGTGAGGGAAAACTGAATTCAGACAAGGATTAAGAGAAAAATATCATAATAATAAATACAGTACAGACTACGTCCAACTTTCTATCTCCCGCCAACCCACTCTCCCCCCTCTCTCCCTTTCTCTGTCTATGTCCATCTTCATCTTCCATAATGTTGTCTATTCCGCCATTTGCTTGTATCCCGGCATCATCCCTTCCTTGAGATTAATTATTATAACATATTCCTGATGGTATACGTCCGTCTGACATTATACTTTAGCGAAAAGATATAATCACACCAAATGAGAAAAAACTAAAGAACAAAATCAGAGCCGGAAGGGAGTGATTGGAGGAGGAGAGACAAATATCATAACAATGAATACAGTATATAGGCTACGTCCAACTTTCTAACCCCCCCCCCCCTCACATATACCTTTTATTTAGTTTAGGGAATGAGAAGCAGAGAACCAGTGGCTGATAATGTCGAAATGAGAGGAATATTACTGTACAATTATAAAAAGTAAAACCTTTGAATGTAAATCTCTGTTGCATCAAAATAAAATGAAACGTTTATCACATTATACTTTAGCACAAAATAGTTACAGGGGCGGATCTAGCTTTTTGCTAAGGGGAGGGGTTTGACCAAAATAATGACGATGCGGAGCATCGTCCACGAGCCGCGAAGCGGCGAGCCGATTTTTTTTGGGGTGTTTATTTGAACTCCGTAAGTGATGTTTTCCTGGCATCTATTAACACAATGGAGACCATAAAAAGCAGTGCATGATAACGTCTTTTTAAATCAAGTAACAGTAAATACACAGTTATATCCAGAGTTATCATGTGTTTGGTTAAGTTACCAGATGAGTTGAATATCTTCTCTCAATATTTGCACTTGAAAGGGTTTCTCTCCAGCGTGCGTTCTTTTTTCTTTTTCTTTTTTTTTTTCTTTTTTTTTTTCCTTTTTTTTTTTTTTTTTTTTTTTTTGGGGGGGGGGGGGGGGGGGCCGCCCAAGGGGGGGGGGTTTAAACCCCCTAAACCCCCCCCCGTAGATCCGCGCCTGAGTTATCTAGAAGAAGGTGGACATCATTATATTAAATAACCTGCTTCTGACCGCTGCGCTAGCGTACTGCCTTTGTACGTAGGGGGCGACTGTGTATATAGGGGGCGACTGTGTAGGAGGCGACTGTGTATAGGAGGCGACTCGACCACACAATTTGGGGGCGACTACGTTAGGAGGCGACTGCGTATAGGAGGCGACTGCGTATAGGAGGCGACCGGCTTGGGGGCGACCTGACCAGACACCAGTCTCAGGGTATAGAGGCGCGATGATCAGTGGAGTCAGACGTAGTCTCAGCTAAACGTTGATTATCAGAGACTGAATTACCTAGCCTTGATAAGGCTTATCTAGTCAATTATGTCCACATCACAATCATCATCATCAAACATGAACAGCTAAGTTATACTTACTTAGTATGATCGACATTGTGATAATGGGTTGCGTGTTTGGATGCTCAACAGAAATAAACCTGTCACTTTTGCCTCAGTGCAGTATTTAATAAAAACTATGCATCAAATATAACCAACAATCATTAATATTAATTGTGTTTCCTAACACAAGTCCTAAAGATTGATTACTGCTTCATATCACCGATTAAAATAAACTGTCAAGTATCAATTCAACGTCTGGTATTTATATTGGTAGATCTAAGTTAGACTCTAACGTTAATAATATTGTTAGTAAAATAATATTTTTTCAACTTTGGTCCTGGAGCTGGACCAGACGTCGTCGTCATTACTAGTCACACTCAAAGTCACAGTATTATGAATCATTATTTACAATGGTAATGATAACAATAAAACAGCAGACCCAGACTATTTGTATTATTACCTGTGATCTTGTGAGGCTGTGTTATTATGTGTAAGATCTAAAATTAGCCTGTGTGATGATTTTAAGTCGCGATGATGGTATGATGCGATGTCACGTATTTCAGCACAACCTGTATGAGAAACAACAACAGACGGCGCTATACCGGAAAGTTGCAACTAGCGTTGGAAGTTTGCAGAGCGTGTAAGAATGTGTTATTTTTCCATCAATATGACTTACAAAGTTACAATAACAAACTTTAGGCTAAACTACACAATTTATTGGAAAAAAAACAACAAACAAACAAGAAAAAACATTAAAAAATATGTAATATTTAATAAAAACATACAACGATACATCTTTTGAAATAGAGGGAAAGACCGGCCAGACAACCCTGAAGAAAGTTTGGAAACAAACATTAGGCCCATAGGGTCGAACATTCAGAAAATAAGAGGAACTTCTTTAACTTCCTCTAAAAAACTATTATCTAAAAAAAACATAATTAATGTGATTTCGTTTGGAAGAGAATTCCTTTGACTGGTGCTTTGTGTCTGAGAGTGAAAGAGACAAAGTATTATAAACAGCCAATAAATATGTTTTGCACTTTTATGATATTCGACGAGAGCATGCATATTGCATAGAATTATATGTAGGATACCACTTTTATGTTTGGAAAGCAATATTGCACAGAAATAATGATTGAGTTTAAATATTTTTTCAAAACAGTTGAGTTCTTAAAATAATGGTCTAGAGTACGTGCACGATAATATACCGAGGTAATTTTGTTTGTTACAAAGTCATGTGTCTTTCCCCAAATAACATCAAAGCTCCATCGTTTAGCTACACTGTAAAAATTTGCTGTAACTCATGCAGTAAAATACTGTGATTTACAACAGTAATATGTTGTAATAACGATTTTACGATAATTAACTGTATAAGTACGTTGCTGTACAGTATATTGCTGTAAACATCAGTGTCGTAGAGCATGGGAACAAATATCTACAGTAAGCTAGTGTAAAGGAGCGTGCAAAAAAGCATTGTGGGATACAGCGCACATGCGCATTAGGCGGATCGGCTGCATATGCGCGTATGCGTTGCACGTGATTGGCTCCCGCGCTAGCCCGCCACGCCGCGCCGCCATTTTTAATTTTCTGCAAAGATTTGAGCTGCGCTGAGATATAGCTGAGCTGGCCGGCCTGATCCTGAGCAACGAATCTGAATCTGTTCTGTTCCTGGTCCTGATCCTCGAGCTGGGATATTGATGACCAATAAGTCAATTCCAAGGGGATCCGAGGTAAGTTACAGATTGCCAATTATCAGAGTCATGATTTGATTTGTATCCCGCTGAAGTGAAGAATTGTCAGACTGTGGAAAGTATAGGGATTGTGTTTGTAATTGTTCCGTCTACGGTATATGTGTACTGTACGTGCTGTGCTGTGGTGTGTGGGACAGAGTCGGTAGTGTTAGTGCAGCACATGACACTGTACTGCAGTACCAGCGTACAGTGTCACTGTCAATGCGATGCCATTGCACATGGATATGCATGCTCACGTTAAATTGGAAATGTCTAACGTCAAGACCATCAAGACTTATAACTTATAGGACACCGCACACACTACGATCGACTACAGCATCAGTCCATCATGAGCACACTGCGTGATCAGTTGAATACGCACAAGTCTAAGCTCATGTAGTGTAGTCTACAGCACGTTACTGGAGAAATTACAGCAAAGTACTGGCAATCCTGCTGCATAGTGTAATTTTACTTAAAAGTTAAAATATGAAATAAAATTACAGTAAGTTACTGTAAAATTACTTAGTATTTTACTGTTACTTAGTAATTTACAGTAAGTTACTTTAAAATTACTGTAATTTACTGTAAAATTACTGTAATTTACTTTTTTGAAGGTCGCAGCGTTGTCATAGCAACCAAATAGGCCATTCCGTAACTGGCAGTAAGTTACTGTAAAATTACTGTAATTTACAGTAACTTACTGCTAGTTTACAGTAAATTACAGTAATTTTATTTCATATTAATTTTGAATACTTGTCTACTGTAATTCACTGTAATTTTAATTTACAGTAGACTAACTGTAGGTTATATCTACAGTAAGTTACCATCAATTTTTACTCAAAGTATCTGCCTGTAAACTTTCCTACAGTAAATCACTGCATTTCTTAGAGTAAATTGCTGTTACCGTAGGTTCTTCAAATACTAACAGTAAATTACAGTAATTTTTGTCTTTAAGGATTGTAAATTTGTTTTACAGAAATCTATTGTAGTTTCATTTACCGCAAATGAATGTTAATTTCACTTATGTAGTAACATTCATAGCCGTGAAATCAAATGTTTTTTTGCTGAAGGTTTCGCATACAGTCATCATCAGGAGGCTCGTGACAACTGGTTATATTTGATGAATTTATGTTTTTCTTTCGATTTTCTTTTGTATTTTTTGTCCTTTATCTTTTTTTTATTATTCATTTATCATTTAAATAACTTTTAATCTGTCAATGCTGTACATAAAAAGTTATGTGTACGTATGCATATTAAAGGTATTGTTTTCCGCTCTTCTTTCTTGCAGTATGCCATGGATTACTGCTGAAGTCACACAGTGTGCATGCTGAAACACTAATCAGACGGATGCTCTACATGGACATCATATACCCATGTACGTTTGTAAGCTATGTAATCATTCTTCTGGATCATTGAAGCGGTTTTCTGAACACTTTTCAGTCCATAGAAATGTGGTGAATTTCGATTTCCCGTGTGGTGTTCCTGGCTGCAATCGAACATTCAGAAATTATTCATCCTTCAAAACCCATGTGCATAGGGATCATCAACCATTTTCAAGAAAAAAAGATGCCCAGTTTTTCTGCGTTTCTACCTGGAATTGTCCACTCTGTGCTGTAAATATGTGAGGAAATCCATGACATACCTTCTCATCTTAGAGTTCATATCAAACACGGAGTTGAAATACGCTGTCCTTTTGCCAATTGCAAAAAACGTTTTTCAGTGAGGTCGTCTTTTGCGTCACATATATCAAGAGTTCACAATAAGTTAGACCAGATTCAGTTAGACTCAACTTCAAGTGAAACTGGTACTGTGTTAACTGAATCCGCCCAAGAAAATAATCAGGAGTTTCCTGGAAGACTGCACTCAAGTGACGAGGAAAGTGTGACAGATGATGAAGTAGATGTATCCGCTGACTCATTCAAACACAGCTTATCCTTGTTTTATCTGAAGTTGGAGGCAAAATTACTACTGCCCAACTCTACAATTCAGGAAATAATTGACACAGCATTATTTTACCTTAGTGAATTTTCATATATTTTAGTCTGTACATGCAATACACCTTTATTTTAATAAATTTAATAAGTCATGAAATAAATGAATTTGCCAAATATTAGGCCTATATTTAAGTAACCTATATTTTATTTCGACATATTTCAAGTTATATAATAATATATTTTTTTTAAGTAACTTATATTTTATTACGATATATGTTACGTTATATGGTAATATGTTTTTTTATCATATTTAATACGTAGCAATATTGTAGCTAAACGAATTTCATAATTTTATGTTTTCATTTTACATGTACACAAATTGATCATATTTTCTATTTTCTTTGTTCATTGTGCACATTGGTAATTCTATTTCATTAATTTCTGTATATCATGTATATTTTCTTATTGTCAAGTATGTTTTACGGTTTTTGTTATTTTGCACAGCCCCTTTGTAAACCAGCCGAGTAGCTGAATAGGGCTTTTACCGTCAATAAATCAATCAATCAATTGAATGACAGCTCATGAAGTTGAAACAAGTTTCTGTGCAGAATTGGCATGTAAATGAGACAAAAATACAGAAGAATATGAAACACGTATTAAAGATTACAAGTTTAATATAACAGAGCAACTCAAATTAAATGGGGTATTAGTTCAAAAGATAAATTAAACAAAAATAAAGTGAGTAATGTCTTTTGGAGAGATTCTACCAGGTATAGAGAGTTTTCCTTGATTCTGCCAGGTATATGGAGACTTTTCATTGATTGTATTCTGATAGTAGTTGTCGTTTAATAGTGGCTTTAAAGGAAGATAAAAGTGTATAAAATATGTCTTGTTTACAATTGAAGATAATTCTTTACAATAGTTTTTTACAATTCAGAATTTTAAAGTGAACATATTGTTGTCTGTTCGACAAATAATTTTTGACCCAAGAAAGTGCAGTGCCCCTAAGCCATACGTTGTGATTTAGCATATCAATGCCTTAAAGCCGCTATGTCTGCACAATTGCATGTGTTATTCTGTCGTATAATTAAATTAATGCTAGGTCGGGTGAATGATTTTTTTTAAAGCCATATTGGTTGGGATTAAGCAAGTTATGTGTATTTCAGAATTGGTATAATCTAAACAATTTTTTCAAGAATTTTTGAGATACTGGAAGGATGACTATGGGTCTGTAGATTCTTGAGTACTTGAACTTTTGCAGTTTTTAGTGGTTTTACTTGTTTTAATGTTTTACTTGATAGTTTCTTTGCAAGCATTTTCATAATGTTACACTATTTGAGAAACTTGTTTTATGGAGCGTTGATTACCCAATAAAGACTTTAATAATGATTTTTGTGTTCAGAAAGCTTGTTTTTTCCTCAAATTAACAGGATGATGCTGCTAATGTCAAGTTAGAATACTGTACTTATTACATTAACTTAATGTAAATGAGAGAAATAGATTAAAAAAAATAACAGGATGATACTGCTAATGTCACAGTAGAATACTGTACTTAATACATTAACTTAATGTAAATGAGAGAAATAGATAACAAAATAACAGGATGATACTGCTAATGTCACAGTAGAATACTGTACTTATTACATTAACTTAATGTAAATGAGAGAAATAGATACAAAATTAACAGGATGATACTGCTAAAGTCACAGTAGAAAAGCTGTACTTATAACATTAACTTAATGTAAATGAGAGAAATAGATACAAAATTAACAGGATGATACTGCTAAAGTCACAGTAGAAAAGCTGTACTTATTACATTAACTTAATGTAAATGAGAGAAATAGATACAAAATTAACAGGATGATACTGCTAAAGTCACAGTAGAAAAGCTGTACTTATAACATTAACTTAATGTAAATGAGAGAAATAGATACAAAATTAACAGGATGATACTGCTAAAGTCACAGTAGAAAAGCTGTACTTATTACATTAACTTAATGTAAATGAGAGAAATAACATTAATTTACTGTAGAGAAAAACTTACAGTACATAACTGTAAATACATTTAAATTACTGTGAATAAAATTACATTAATTAACTGTAAGAAGAACTTACAATAAATACTGTAACCTTATACATGAAAATTTCTTTACAGTAAGCTTACAGTATTTTAATGTCTTACAGCAAGTTACTGTTGAAAAACTTACAGGAAGTTACTGTAATGTCAAAGTTACAGTAATTTACTGTGCAACAAAGTTGCCAGTAATTTACTGTAATTTCTACAGTGAAATTTTTAACAGTGTAGTTCATCAAATCATGAACAAAACAGCTAATAAATACAACCAGTCTTTAGTTCACCTCTACACTGTAAAAAAGAATTTGTTCATTGGTAATTTTTACGTATTTTTTCCATGTAGAATTTACTTGAAAACATTAGTTTTGCCACTTACGCACTAAATTTAAGTCTTGCTAACTCAAACTTTCAATTTAGTAGAACATACGTGGAATATTTAAGTAAAATCAAATACATAAGAACTTTATGGGTAAAGACCAATTATGGTCATGCGATTGCATTGTGAAAGAAACGTTGTGGAATCGATCAGAAAAGGTTGATCATCTAGCATGTGCAAGGTTCTCACAGACCATGAGAGAAACAAATTTACCAAATATATGAATTAGTAGGCGGTTTCCCGGCAAATTTTTTATCATCATGTATTAGTCAAAACATATTCGTTCACATGATTGGTAATGAGAGCTTCCATTTCATTTTTTGAAATTGGGGCGTTTCCAATACTGGTCTTTACCTTTAAGTAATTTCAGCCGCTGTATTAATTCAGTAATTTTAACTCAAAATCAGAAATTATACGTATTACTCAAACAATTTATGTTGATTATTCTTATCTTTTTAAAGTAAGGACCGATGTGCGTAATAGAAATATTTACATAATTTATGAATATTCATGAAGACCAAATTAAACTCTTTTTTAAAGAAAACAATTCTTTTTTGTGGTTGAATGAAAATTTAAGGACTTTAAAACATTTACTAATTCATTTAACATGGCTAAGCAAAGACAAGACAATTTTTAATTGTTACCCAGTTCAAAACAAATAAAAACTTGATATTTCAGGAAATTGTCAACCAATTTTCCTTTTAAGATGCTACGATCAAAAATTTTGAGCCTTTCAATATGTGTCGAATTGAAGCGTATGTAATAGTTTGTGATGGTGGTATATATATATATATATACATATATTATATACGGTTAAATCTTAAATAGAAGTAGTGTTAATGATTAATCTTAAATAGAAGTAGTGAATGATTAGTGGATGTTACTTGTTAGATTAGATGGGTACCAAATCGTGCAATATGTAATCCTATCATAGCTTTTTTTTAATTATCTAAAATGATTACAATACTTAAATTATTTACGTTAATGTACCTCGATTTAACTGAGTAAAAATTTATTCAGCAAAATAAGTAAATTCTACTTAAGATGCCGTAGGTAATATTTACTTAATAAAAATAAGGCAATTCTTTTCCTCTCCCCTCCCCTTGAGCAAAAATTGAGGGGGGGGGGGGGTTAAACCCCCAAAATACCCACCCCCTGCGTACAAATAAGAATACTTAACGATGTCTTATAATATGTGACCATGTACCCTGAGTATATTTTTTTAAACAAAAAGAATATGTTGGTATCATCAGCAAATTTTAATTATTTTTGTCATGTGGTTTTAACAATAATAAGTCATTTACATAACAAAAAAGATGAGCGGGCCAAAGATTGATCCCTGAGGGCAGCCAGGTGGCGATCACTAAGGGGGAGAGGGGGGGGGGGGGGTGGGGTAGACCGTCCTTTCTGAAAAATTGAAAAAATGCAAAGAAAATTATGTATAGCAAAATACTGACTAAAGACTGCAACACACTTTTAGGGTCGGGATGGCCCGAGAGTGCAGCGTCTAGACCCTGGGGTCTAGACTAATTAAAATGCTAAAAATCTTCTCGCTCCTACGGAAGCGTTAAAGTGCCATTCTACTTGACGACATGACGAGATATTTCATCTTGTCAAGTCGACTTAATATCCATATCATGTCGACATGTAAAGATATTTAACCTACCATGTCGACTTATCAACTTTTATTAGTCGACATGGCGAAATAAATTATCTTGCCAAGTCGACTTCACAAAAAGTTCATGTTGTCATGGCGACATAAGTTATTTTACCAAGTCGACTTCTAAAAAAATACATGTCGCCATGGCGACATATATTATCTCACCAAGTCGACTACCCAAAAAGTAATGTCGACATGGCGAAATAAATTATCTTGCCAAGTCGACTTCACAAAAAGTTCATGTCGTCATGGCGACATGTATTATCTTGCCAAGTCGACTTCACAAAAAAGTTCATCTCGTAATAGCGACATAAATTATCTCACCAAGTCGTTTTCCCAAAAAGTATATGTCGTCATGGCGAGATATGTAGTGTGACGACTATTTCATGCAGCGCGCGTACGTGATTGCACTTAACTGTAATTCTTAAAACTGACTCCACGTGATCATTTATGTCGCCAAGACGACATCTACTGTTATTAAGTCGACTCGGTAACATATTTTATCTCGCCATGTCAACATGTACTTCTTACGAAGTCGACTTGGCAAGATATTTTTATTTCGCCATGACGACATATACTTTTTGGGAAGTCGACTTGGTAAGATAATTTATGTCGCCATGACGACATGAAATTTATGCGAAGTCAACTTGGCAAGATAACTTATGTCGCCATGACGACATGAACTTTTTGTGAAGTCGACTTGGCAACATAATTTATTTCGCCATGTCGACTAATAAAAGTTGATAAGTCGACATGGTAAGTTAAATATTTTTACAACTTGACAAGATGGAATATCTCGTCATGTCGTCAAGTAGAATGGCACTTTAACGCTTCCGTACGCTCCCTCGCATAATCCCTCAAAGTGTACAAGTAAATATCGCATTTCGTCCCTCCGGTCATGAAAAGAAATCACCGCCCCTGTCTGTGGGACAACACATCAAAGTGTTAATGAGTTTGATAGACCTATACAATATTTGTAAAGCACTTAGAGACATTTGTATTATGCGCTATATGAAAATTAAATATTATTTTGAGTACGATAAACTGAATAATCACAGAACCTTGTTAATGTCACTCGTCCTATCCCGTAATACCGTCAGGAATTTTACATACTCAGAATTATTTACAGAAAACATAATATTGCATATTGAAGATCCAATATTTACAAACAAAATTATTGACGTTATCATAGCAACATTGTTATCATAAATATTATTTCTGTTTAATACATGCACATTATGGAAGCCATTTCTTTGTTTTGCATAATATTCAATTTCTCTGGACTCCAGTCAATGCCTTTGAGTTCATCTTAACCAATATAAAGCCGTTTTTTAAATTAATTTTTCGAGTAAAAAATGAGAAGTTTTATCGAAAAAACTTTTCCTGATTAATTTGGCAGACAGAGGGGATTTGAAATGTCAGTATCAGAAGGGATGTACAAACCAGATTTTAGTTTAAAATAATTGTCGATAAGAGCCCGTAGAAGATGATGTAGTAACTCTTGTCGGTTTATCAATCATGCATAGTTAAGAATGCATTAACATGCAGCATTACATGAATATTTAGAAAGATCAATATTGCAATAACCTTAAACTTGCTCTTTTTTCAGCATCAAATTTTCGAACGGTCTCCAATGAATTCATACAAATTAAATTGAGGTTTATGTATATTCCTATTATATTTTGGCATTTTGGCAACATTTATTTTTTCAATAAAGACGTGCATTAAAATGCAAAAAAAAATAATTTGCTTTTATCAACATTTTGGAAGTTATTAGAAAATTCATTTTTAAAAATTACATTTACAATTTATTCAAGTTTCTGTACGTACAAATTACTTTTCATCGTCATCATCAGGGTACCACTTCTAGTCCTCCTCGTCCTTCTACTCCTCCTCACTGAGTCCTCCTCTTCTCTTCATCATCCTCTTCCTCAGGCCTCCTCCACCTCTTCAGCTACTAATTAACTCCTCTCCTCCTCCACCTCCTCTCCTCCCAGGCTCTACCTTCTCCTCCTCTCCTCGATCGTTATTTTCTCCTTCTCTCTTCCTATATTAATATTATTATCACCATATCGATTAATTCAATTCAAGGTTTTATTAAAGTCGTTGGTGGCTGAATTACGATATAGTTCACAGATAAAAACATGCAAAATTACACAATATACATATATCAATCAGTACTGAACATAGAGAAATAAGATATAGAATATACAACCAGAAAACCAAAGAGTTCAAATGTGAGTTCAGAAAAATGGGTTGTTCAAATTACATCAGGAAATTTAGAGACTATATTCAAAACCATTGATAATACGAGAAATTGCAAAGTTTATATTTCAAATTAAAAACTCAAATTTTGAGTGATAAAAGATAGGTTTGTTCATTAGAAGTACATCATCGATTTATAATATTCACATGGTAATAAGTTAAATGTATTGCACAAAGTTTTTAGGAAAGTACATACAAATAAAAAAATTAAAAGTTTTTTTAGGAAAGTACAATTAGATCTCTGTAGTCTATAGATGTAGATTTTGTTCAGTTTTGGTTGGTAAACCTTATGGGACAACTTGTTCATGGACGATATGAGATTTTTGGCACCTAGACGACTTTTCCGCTTTGTGTGTGATGCGCATCGTTTGAATTACGCATGAAGTCCCATTGATTGCTCGATTTGATCTCGCTTGATGTTTGGGTATGTAGCTCTTATTCTAACGTTTATTAGTTCAAATATCATGATGGAAATAAAAGATAGAGTAGATGTTGAGTTCTTTCTTTATTTAGGAAGTCGGTTCAAGAATCATGTAGATCTAGGTGTGATTTTTTTTTATTATCATGATTGTGAAAGCAAAACTGGAAACAGTAGATCCAACGTCAAAATGAATAGATGGGACTTGTCTTGTTCTTCTTTTTTTTGGCTGGAACCATAAGATATGACTTGAAATCTAACAATAAACTTTTCTATCATATATTCTGTTTTGATCAGTTGGGGCATGTGCTGGTATGAGAATATTAAAGGATCGTCCGCATAAACAAGGATATCGTGAACAAAATCGCATCCGAAAAAAATAAGGATTTTCGTGGACGATCATTAGAGTCTAACACCGATCCGCGCATTGGTGACGAAAAAAAAAGATTCTGCGAAGATGCTCTGTGATGGTTGTAATTTGTATCACTTATGCAGCACAGAGATTTTCACGTTATGAAAGATAAATCCTCGGGAAGACGGACAACTCGTAAAAGTAGATGTTGAACTGGATTACGCGTAGCCTGTTTTTTGCATTGCCAGCGGCAGCGCCGAATCTCAATCTGTAACCTTTCACCCGCAGAGCGCCGAAGAAAACAGACATCCACGAAAGGAGATCTCTATGAGGGTAGCAGTGTAAAGAACAGTGTAGATCTACATGTAGCTTGTTTACTGATGTTGACAAACTAAGATTTACTAGAAAACATTTTGCTATTTTTTTAAGCATTTTCTCTCTCAATCTCAGTTACTGGTCATTTTTTAAAGTGTTGGGTCATCAGTTTCCATGTGCAGAAGGTCATAATTTGCTGACACCAGACTTGGTGGATAAAAATCATTAACGTGTGTACAGGTATTAGGTCTGCACACAGCAAACCCGTTGGCCAATCAAGAAATACCCCCTCGTCTCTCAGAGAGTCTTTGAGGATTCTAATGTTATATAACTAAAATAAGGACTTTACCATATCGGAGAAAAGACAAGACAATACAACGATTACATAAGGCCTGTGGGCTATAAAACTGAAGGCTTACTCCTGGTGATTGACAACACTTGTTTTGAGGTTAACACTCAAATACACTGTAATGTCGAATTCCCCATGAGAGCCCACTTCTGTATCACACATAGGAGCATCAATATCCTGGCTGTGTAGTAAAAGCTGTGCTTTTGATTCTCAACATTTCAAACACCACTGTACAAAACTCAACTGATTTCACTCAAAATCGGTACTTTAGTGACAATTGATGACACCTAAATAGCTGTAAAATACATTTTTTTAACTTACTGATGTTAAAAAGAATAATTTAAAAATTCAAATTGTAAGTCTAGTGCCAATCTTTGCTTACAGCTGCATCAACATGATTGTGTAGAGTCTATGCGATATTGTGTGGTGTGTATATTTGTGTATGGGTATAATAATACCTGCCTCGGAGCAAGCATGCAGTGCTAGAGGTCAATACATTTTAGCATTGACTCTCTATGCTTTGCTGGAGTGTTCTGTATGTGTCTTAGTTTAAGAGTCAATTGTCTGGTAATGAATGTCAATGTTCTCTGATGTTTTCTTTTTTATGAATTTGCTTTACAGGTCCATCTGGGATAGATTTGCAACGTGAGGCGGAGTTGTAAGTCAGAAATGCCAAGCTCAGAAAAACATTCTCGCAAAGATAAAAACAAACATGAAAAGGAAAAGTGGCACGTCAAGACACTTGATGAGATAAAAGAAGAGAAAAAAAAGAAGAAGGAAGACGAGGAGAAGAAGAAGAAAAGCAAGGATCCAGGGAAAGAGATGGTCAGAGAAGAGAAAGCTCCAAGACAACGCCACATCTCATCAGGAGATGAAAAGTAAGAAATCTACTTTTGTTAAATGGGTACCCCGTAGAATGCGAAAGCTAATGTGGTTAGATTAGCAAGTGTGCGCTTGTACAAAAAGACGCCAGGCTGGAATGCTCCCCAGGGAGTGGAGAATGTGCATACATTGTGTGCGGGTAAGCCTGAATCCTATGACCGGGGTAATAATATATATATCTGTAAAGCGCTTTGAGAGGGCCTTCGGTCCTGAAAAGCGCTATATAAGAACTAGCTATTATTATTATTATTTTGTCCCCAACAGAGCTCTTTGATGTGACATTTCAGAACATCTCAATACTAATCAGAGGCCTCTGCCTTACTACCCTCCCTCTCCCCTCCCCCCTCCCCAATAAAAGGATATTCCTGACTATAAACATTTCCACTATTAACAGGAGCCTATGCAAGTAGAATCCAGAATTTGTCTTCAAGTTTGAAGTAAAAATAAAAAGTTTGAAACTTTTGATTTTGACGAGATTTATTGCATTTATACAGCACATGATTTTTAGCCACTAACAATTTTGAAGGTCCCTGAAACTTTACCCTCTTTTTTCTCTAGCTGAGATTTTGCAGATTTAGACTCCTTCTCTAGCTATCTTTTTGATATTATATTATTTGTATTTGATATCTTCTTTTCAGTAAATACATACATGTACATGTATTTGTTTTCTTTTCATATAAGCAGAAAAGAGCCTTTTTTCTTCTTTTCATTTTGTAGGAGAAAATAACTTTTAATTGATGAATGCTGTATGTGTACCTAGAACCTATCTAATATTTCAATTCATTCATTTGAGTGTTCGCAGTTGTCTAAACCTTGCCTCAATGTGCCTTACCCTCACAAGATCAGGATGACTTTTGAGCAGGCAATGTTTTTACATGTTAGGATAAAGAAGCACAAAGTCTTTGTGATAAGTCATTCCAACTTTTGTTTATCACAGGATGGATGATAGATGAGCGGTTCTTATTCTCTCTTCCCCTCACCTATGTTCTTGTTCTTTTTTGTTCTTTCTTGCTCTTCCTGCATTTCTTTTCTGTCTATCATCTAACTCTACTACATGTATCTCCTCTTCTTTAGCGTAGGTCTTTACGTTTGTCATAATGTATTCAAGTTTGTTTGTAAATCTAATTGATGTTTTTGTTTTGTGCACAATCATGTACTCTTGGGTTATTTATTGTTATCTTTTGCCAGTGGAGGCCAAATTTCTGTACTTTTCAACGTGGACAATAACATTTGAATCTTGAATCTTGAACAAAAAATCTCCTCAATGCTATTAGACTGTGATATATTATATACCGTATGTGAATCTTCCTTTGTGACAGGGTGGACGATGATGAAGATGACGCCCTGAACATCCAGCCTCCACAGGCCAAACCAAGCTCACTTAAAGACACCAGGCACGGCAAAGATGAGAAGAGAAAGCATGCTCGATCACATAGCAGAGATAAAGACAGAAAGAAAAGTGAGTTGAGTTGCATGCCTTCATTGTCTGGGCAAGATGTGGTACTTACATGCACCGGCCTCTGTGGCTTCTCAACATTCTGTATATTTTATATGCCTGGAAATGTCATCTTTCTTCTTAAAATAGAATAATACTTTATTGATGTCTCAGTTAGAGTATGTGTATGGATATATGCATGTAATGTTTATTTAGCTGAGAAGACATTGTAGTAATATTAAAACTTTATAAGATGCCTAAATGTATATTTGAAGTTGAGTCTGAAATATTTACCAAGAAGAATGTAGAAGGTAGAATAACAAGATTAGAGATCAATTAAATAATGTTTTTTGATGAAGAAACATGAAGAGGCTTGTCACAAATTTGGTTGAAATGTATACAAAGTTTCAAAATAATTTATTTCATCACAACAGCATTTTGAAATACATTTACAGTTTCTAACTTGAACACATATCTGTGAATGCCTTTTATTTAATAGGGGTTAAACTGCATTGATCTGTACAGTCGTTGCTGTCTATTGATGCAGGAAATGGAATTGAATGGAATATTCCTATTCATTTAAAAAATATTTTTGCCACATGAATGATATCATTACAGCAAAGAGATCGAGATCAGCAGAGAAGGGCAAGCCGTCTCGGAGCAAGGATTCTGAGCGAGATAGGGATCGAGATCGAGACAGAGGCCGGGAGAGAAGGCGAGACAGAGACCGAGACGACAACAGCAGGGACAAAGATAAGAAATCACGCAAGGACCCTCAGGATGATTCAAGAGCAGCGCCCTCTGGTGGTCATAGCCATCATGAAGACGTTCGACCTTCAGGTTCTAGTAGTCAAAGTCATCAGCCCGATCTCCGTCAGATGATCGTTGATAGACGGGATGATACGAGACAAGTTACAGTCGTAGGAGACAGAGCACAACAGAAGGAAACCGAGAGAAAATCAAGAGAAGGGAAGAAAGAAAGGTAATGATTATCAAAATCACTTTTGTGCTTAATCACATTTATTTTCTTAGGGCATTAACTTATATCATTTACATAGAGTTACTCCTCCTTTGGCTGTCAAAAGATGGGAGCATAATGGGGAAGACCATCTTTGTTTGAAAGTTGAAGGTATGATTGAATCCCTAAATACAATGTAAAAGTATATCGTTATTGTCAAAAGACTTGAGCTCTCTTAAAAATTACAAAACGTTTATTTATTTCTGTTATGTAAGAATTTATTTTATTTTATAGTGTTTGATTTGATTTGCAAACTAAAGGAATATGGCTCATAAAGCTGGGCTCTGTCTTGTAAAGAGCTGATATTAATCGCAACTTATATGCGATCTATATCAATCGCAACTATGTAGATAAGAGATGAGGTACAGCAAACTTGCGAGTGATTAGAGGACTTACGATTGATTTGGATCAATCGCAACTCTTTTATAAAACGGGGCCGAGGTTGATATGTTTTCCTGATTTCCCCTCGTTTGTTTTCCAGTGAACGTGAGAAGGAAAGACGGGAGGATAGACATGAAGAGAGACCCAGAGATAGAGAGAAGAAAGAGAAGAGCAGAGATTCCTCCACCAAGCATGAAGGAAGTAAAGAGAAGAGTAGATCCAGAAGAGATGAACTGATAGAAGAGAGAAGAGAAGGTAAGCTTATCTCACAACTAATATAATAATAATGTAGCCCAATTCCTGTCCTAAAACATATTAGTACGCTTTACATTAATTACATAATAATTACTCTAGCTTTAGCACAGACAGCCGTTATTTCATTTCAAGGAATAATCCTACCAGGTACCCATTTATCTCACCTGGGTTGAGTGTGGCCAATGTAGATTAATGTCTTGCCAAAGGACATTGGTGCCGCGGCAAAACTCAATCCTGGGACCTTGTGATCTACAGTCCAGTGACATATCCATGACACCTCTATGTGTGCATTGATTGATATTATATCAATTCATTTTGCTTTCTGGATCTGATGCTACTTTCAATGCAATCAAATTCAATTTATGATACTTATGCTTGTTTACAAAACATTGGATGATCAAGCCCCAAATTATTTGTCTAAATTATTATCTTTTAAATCATATACATATGCACATAACTTACAAAGTACACAGGACAAGCTGCTCTAAAGCTACCTAACACAAAAACAAAAGTAACTCTTGGAGATTGTACTTTCATTTGCGCTGCTCCAAAGCTTTAGAATAACCTACCACTAGACATAAGAAAAGCCTGACTTGTTGCTCTCTTCAAAATTTTGTTGAAGATGTACTTGTTTTCAGGAGCTATTGAATATTTGTTGTTGTTTTGTGTCTGTAAAGTAGCCCTGTTACTAATTAGTGTTTTGTTTTTATCTCAGCGCTGTTAAGTATATTTATATTGTAGCTGCGCTGTATAAATTGCATTACATGCATATATCCATACACTAACTAACTGAGACATGTTCTGCCTGTACTGATGTCACTTACTGAAGATGGTACCTATACTTGAACCCTCTGGTAATACAGGCTCAAGACCAAGTAGCAAAGAGAGGACGTCGGGAGGAAGTAATCGATCAGACGACAGAGACTCAAGGTCAAAAAGATCAGATCAATCTTCAACTCATAGAGATAGAAGTCCACATCGATCATCTAGGGATGGTAAGATACTGTTGATTTGATTTTGGTTTCTTTTTCAATCTAATAGAGCTACTGGTTAAAGTTGATACTCTAAGCAAATAAATGTCCCTTAATTTGTTACCTACGGCAAGTATATGTTATTTTTAAGTTTTTCAATTACTTAGTATATCACAAAAAATTCTGTCTACTCGAAATCCTCAATTGAAATGTCTAAAATATCCGCCTCTCTTTGCATAGAAAATCAGTCACGACGCTGGTCTACTATTTATGACCTCACGTCCGGGAGAGAGTATATTCACGTACCCGGATGTTCCATAGCAAACATGTGCAGAGTGATACGATTTTCTGCATATTTTTGTTTCAAAGGCTGAAAAGTCTAATAAATCATAATTTTATGTACAATTCTTTACCTTCCCCTAGTACTTCATAGTATTAATATCAATTCCCCTTTTAAAAATTATGACATATATACATGCCAACGATGTGCTATTAGTCGATATTTTCACCATGTAATTTTTGTTTTGGTGTTGAAATCGGCCCAGGCACGGAGTGCACAGTAGCTGTCTACCCATGCACAGTTCATTACTATACACTACAGCGATCTCCCGATGGTTTCTTCTTCCTTTTTCCCATGTCTTTCGCCTTCCTTGGCCCTGAACATCCTTCATCTACCAATTCTGACACCGGTATATTCAGGAGCAAGTCTTTGTTAGTTGTTTTTCTTAGCTGGCAACGTCGCTTTCATTCTCTTGCAATTGCCGATAAACATATAACTAGCGCACGTACGTTCCATCACAAGCAAGCACCGCCTAGAGCAGCGGCTTGGTCTTACCTCCCGATTCTGCTCGCTCCACGAACGTTCATGCAAGAGCCGCATCACTCGCCAAAATATTATAGAGGAAGCGCGCTTGCATGATCTCGTTCAAGTTTGATATTTTACAACATAAAATGTTTAACTGGTACTGTATCCTTTTTTGAGGCAGTCACACAAATCTATGATAAGTACTATCATAGTTCTAGACCTATTCGTTTTACAAAACTGCTCATGTACATCTGATGACAATATAATGCATCCGCCTATTCATAAGTGCACGATTTAACTTTAATTCCTAAGCAGTAAACTCGTCTTAAATCTCTACCAAATAGGTGAATATGAGGATATAAAAGGAAATCAGCGACTGGAAAATGTTGCTTCGTTATTCTTCATTCAAATGAAAACAGAAAATCCATCAAATATACTCCTTAACAACAACAAATCTAAGCTCTGACAGGATAGCATTTACGTAGGGATATCACTGCCATTCACTCTCACTGAGCCCATGACTCCCGTTCGTGACGTCACGGATAGAGGCCCGACTCTCACAATGAACATGACAGACAATGAAAGCGGACAAAATATACAGTTCCTCAGGTAGACAAAGGAACATCCCTTCACTGCTATTATGTAAAAATGTGTAGAACAGGTGAATATGCATGTGACACCTGTTCTACACATTTTTACATAATAGCAGTGAAGGGATGTCCCTTTGTCTACCTGAGGAACTGTATATTTTGTCCGCTTTCATTGTCTGTCATGTTCATAGTGTCTACGTGCACTTCCGGGTTTCAGACTTAGATATTTTGGTAGAGTTTACTAAAATAAATTCATTATTCTAAACTTGTTTTGTCGGGTGGACACCATTTGGTGTTATTATGGGGGTTAAAAGCTTTCTATTTATGTAATTATCTCAGTATTTGGGATTGTCTTAGAGTATCAACTTTAAGTGTACCAGGGAGGTGTTTCACAAAGACTAAGATTGACTTAAGTTGGACTCTAACTATGGCAGTCCATTCATGACACTGGTTGCTCTCACTATTGGTCTTTCAAGGCACGTCACAAATCTACAGAATCTAGATTTTTGATAGCTAATTGTTGATGAAAAAAGTTACTTACATTGTAACTTTAAGCTATATTTAAGATTGAGACTTATACTACGGTAGGCAATTTATGCCCTTATAAAGCCTTGAACCAGATGTAGAATTAGAGGAAAAAAAACCTTTAAAAATATGATCTTAGATATTATTTTCTCTTTTTTCGAATCGCCTAAAACACTTAAAGGGTTTAACGTAGTGATAAAAGCAGCAATTCCATTGTGTGAAAGCTGCTGGGTACCCATTAATGCCTGCCATTGTTCAGATCTAAAATTTAGTTAAATATATTCTTTATCATCAGGCTTATAACAATATGTCATCTTTGTTTTCCCTTACATTTATAAATCTGGTACCATCTCTGGATCACAGTGTATTTTTCTTGTCGTTTAATACAGGTTTACATTTATATCCCATCTTTGTTTTAGATAAAAGAAAGAGGGATGAGAGAAGAAAAGAAGAGCGGGAATCAGAACATGACTCTGACCAACGAAGATCCAAATCATCTTCCAAAGCCTCCAAATCAAACGAGAGAGAAAGATGGAAAGAAGATAGTGAAGAACGTCAGAGAAGAGAGGAGCGGAAGATGGAGGAAGAAGAAGAGGAGGAAGAGAAGGAGGAGGAGTATGAGAGGAAAGAAATAGAAGAACTAGAAGAAGAGCATGAGGTTGAGGAGGAGAATGCATCGTCATCGGAAGAAGAAGAAGAATCAGACGATGAAGAGGAAGACGATGAGGAAGAGGAATCTTCAGGTAAGGCTGGAAAAAATCATCAAGTCTAGGTTATCAGTTTTTATGCTATTGCCTGATTTTAGGCTCTGTCATGACTATTTTTAAATATTTAAAGTCTTTTTACTATTCAGATTATATGAAGCTTCAAAGCTCCAGGTTAATGGCATAAAACTGCCAGGGACCTGTTTCACAAAGCCTTTTTACAATGACAAATGACAAAAATCAGTGACAGATCTGGTGATAACCAATCAGAAGCAAGCATTTCAGTAGCTTGTAACAAAAACTGTCATTTGTCACTGATGACAAGTTTTGTGAAATGGGGCCCTGGTGTCCCCAATCAAGTATCGTCCTACTCCACAAATGAGAAATCTTTGTTCACAACAAACGTATGTTAACTGGAATAGTCCATGTAACTATTGTGTGCGGGCAAGTATTGAATCCAATGACCGGGGTAATTAAATCTGTATAGTGCTTAGAGACATTTGTATTAAGCGCTATACCAAAGCGGAATATTATTATTATTATTATTATTATTATCAACTCATAAATGATAATAAATTAAAGGAATTTAAATTTTGGTACAGAGGCAGAGTCTGAATCCGAAGAAGAGGAAGAAGTCGAGGAGATCAAAGAAGCCTCCAGCTCAGAGGAGGAAGGGTCTGCTGAAGAAGGAGAGGCTTCAGCGGGAGATTTAGAGGTAAGACCTTCAAAGGGGTCCTCTGAGCATGGTTGATTGTCAACGAAACAGAGTTAAGTCTTTTGTCAACTCTCTTTGTTGCTACGGCAGGCAGCCAGTGAAAACGAACATGTTTAATCAAATTATGGAAATGCAAGCATTACTTAAAACAAACAGAACTTTGTTATTCCTGGCTCATTTTTCCTGATTGAGGTGTCATACGAAAGGGCAGAAAATGAACATTCTAGAAATGTGATTTTCTCTTTGAAGTTCAGATACCGCCCTAAAAATTCAAATTGCTTTTAATCACTCATGTGAGAAATATGCATCATTTGAGTTGCATCAAATGAAAGAGGAGCATCTAAGCTTTACAAATATGTGTCATTTATTCACTATAATGGTGATTAAGTTATGATAAAACATCAATAATTCTAGGTTTCTTTTTTTCAGGGACGCACTGTATAGTTCTCTGTTGAATTGCAATATTGATTAATTCTGCTCTTGAAATCATTGAATTTGATTGGCTGAGAGCAAGATTGTTGTAGAAATGTTTGTTATAGTATTATAGATAACTTATGAAGCATGGCCAGATGTATATGTATTTTAAAGGGGATACATCTCTCTGTGTTTTTTTTTACAGGAAGGTGAACACAAAGATTCTGATGATGAAGAAGAAGAAGAGGAAGAAGAGGAGGAAGAGGAGGAGGAGGAAGAAGAAGAAGAGGAGAGTGAAGAAGAAGAATCAGACTCTGATTCTGAATCACAATCAGGTAATGTCATTTGTCTTGTTTTTACATTTCTCCTCAAAACACACTTTGACACTTTTTCTCTTGTCTCAATAGGCCTGCCTTCATCAGACCGAAGTTGCAAAATAACCCACTATTTTAACTAGCCCAATCTCAAATCAGCCAGCTAATTCGCGTCTTCATCAGCAGTTGCAATTAGAGGGCCATTTGGTCGAGAAAATATCCCAAGAAATATTGGTCTTTTTTCCAAAATAGCCCGCTTTGGGGGAAATAGCAGGCTAATTTGCACCCTGTCCGAGCTAGTTTGTGATAAGCGTATCGGTCTGGTGAAGGCGCAATTTCGAGCTTCAGGAAAATATCCAGAGTCTGAAAATAGCGGGTTATTTTGAAACTTCGGTCACATGACGACAGGCCTCATAAGTCATTTAATAGTGATATAACTTCCAGCATTATTAAGGGCTGGTAATTTCTTGACCCTGTAAACTAAGATAAGCAAATAAACAATGAGTGCTGTAAGACTGGTGCATGACTAACTCCTCAATTCTCATTGCCAAGGTTGCCTTTCCCTGCTAAAGATTTAGGATGTCTAGCATCTTTCATTTGTACAAGCAAAAATCAGGAATAGATAGATAACTAAAACGTTTCATAACCAATCTGAATGGCTGTTTCGTCCAAGGTGTGGTGAAGTCATATTGTACCAGTGATGTAGTGAGAGCATTGTATTTGTTATAAACTTTGGCCTGATAATCATGTTTCATATCTGAGTTTTCTGTTTAGTCTCGAATGTACGCATCATTTCTGGCCATATTGGATTTTGGTCCTATCGCCTCTTGTTTATTTCAGAAGCCAATTTATACAGAGTAATCGTATCTAAGTGTCCAATACACATTGGTTGTTTTGTGGTGCCATGTTTTTACTTGACAAGTTGCTCAGTAAGTGTGCGTACCACCTTTCAAATAGCTTTAAAAAGACGACTTGAGCAATTAATAAAGCAATTATGGAAGAGTTTCATCAGGATGGTTGTAATACTGGTTTGAAAGTTCTTATATCACATCCAAAAGTAAACAGTCTTGATGTCTAGAGTTCAGGCATCTTCCTCAGATGCAATTTGGCAGACTGAAGTAAGCGGCCAATTTGTGGAAGATGTCTGAACTGTAGACATCGAATCTGTTACAGGTAAGTTTTCTTTTGGATGTGATATAAGAACTTGTGAACCTATATAGAAAAAAATGTTGTTAAACAAATTGAATGAACCTTCACATGTTTGCCCCTTGGCTTGTCATACCCATGACCTTGTCTTGTCATACCCATGACCTTGTCTTGTCATACTGATGACCTTGTCTTGTCATTGCCCCACAGAGGAAGAGAGTGAGAAGTCGGTCAGTGAGGTTGACCATGAGGAGATGCAGCAAGAAGAGGAGAAAGCAAAGGTCAAACAGGAGAAGGAAACAGACTCTTCCAAGATCTGTGAGTATCAAACGTCATAACATAACGAACCAGAGCAATATAACACTGAGTTCCTATAGGAAATCTATTTATTCAGATGGTCATATCTCAGCCAATACTTAACATATTCAATTGGTTTTCAACATTTGGACATTATTTTTTATGCTCTTTCGGAAAATGAAGAAAAAAAATGAGAAATTCCAAAATTTGATTTTTATGATATCACAGCTTTGGTACTCTATGCACTTTTGGGATATAGTTTGATGAGATTAATTACCCGTCAAAAGTGAGTAAGGTGTACATTTTATGAGAGATATATATTTGAAGATCATTTTTGTACTGTTTTGATTGGAGGTGTCGTTTTTAAAGGAGTTAGTCAATTTACGTTTATACAAGAGGTGAAGAAAAATGACCTGAAACTTGATTTTGGTCTAAGCTGCATCTTCTTGAAATCAAAATGCTATATTGATAATAATGGAACAGTCAAACCTGCTTTAGTGACCATCGATAAAGACCACTTTTCTTGTCTCCTTTGGATGGTCTTTATTGACAGCTTTCACTGTAATAATAATAATAATGGTGGCTTCTTGTATAGCAATCATGTCTGTGACCCCATAACTCTCCTAGTGTGTACACATTATTACCCTGGTCAAAACTGAGCAGTGAAATATGTAGTACTAATGAATTTATGAGTTTACATTGATATATTGCTATGTTGTAGAAGAATCGTAGTCGAGTGGTTTAAGCACTTGAATTGAATTTCAAAGGTCATGTTTCAATCCCTGACAAGGCACTTATGTCCTTTGCCAAGGCATTAATCTACATTTGCCACTCAATACCCAAGAGAGAAATGGGGACCTGGTAGGATGACAAAAGCATTTGTGTTTAATTGCCTATGCCCTCACGGTGACCATTTTGTAGGAATACACCCCAGGGAGTGGAGATGGTGCACATTGGGTGTGAATGAATCCAATGACCTGGTTAATATCTGTAAAGCGCTTTAATAGAGAGGGTGTTCCGTATTAAGCACTATATAAATCCAGATTATTTTTATATATTATTGCTACTTTGGTTGTCGATTGAATTTTCTCTACTCTAAAATCTCTTCCATACTCTAAACTCTCTTCCATACAGTGTCTATTTGATTGGATTGATGATTACGATGATACTTTCACATAAATGTAATAGTTGATATTCTCCCTGGGTTTTCTCCTTGTCCAGATGTCCATGCCAAGTCCAAGTTTGACGATGACAGTCCCAGCCCGATCCGTGAGCTGCCCGGTCTGGTGCATGAGGAGGAGGAGATAGAAAACGAGGTGGAGGATCAGAGCGATACCGAGTACCTCCAGGACTCTCCCGTTGCCTCCCCCGTTGAGCTGGAGGAGACGCTGCCTCCGTACCTCCCTGCCATACAGGGATGCAGGAGCGTGGAGGAGTTCCAGTGTCTGAATAGGATTGCTGAGGGTACCTATGGTGTGGTGTACAGAGCCAATGAGAAGAAGAAAAGTGAGTCGCGTGCGATAGCTCGCTTGAATTAGCTCATTAATCTAAAATAGGCTACTTAACAACCCTGAATAATACTACCAAAGGATTCCAGAAATATAGGTTAATATTCCATTTAATGTAACTCAAATCAAGGAGGATATTACAAATCTCTTTGCAAATAGAACACATCATACCATGTCTTTGCCTTCTGATTGAACATGCGTTTCCTGAAAGCCCCACTGCACTAGTTTGGCCAGGAGGGATTAGACCTCCCTGCATGGTCACTGACAGGTGGTTATCTCATCAAATCAACTCTCAATTAACATAAGAAAAAGAGGACCATGGGGGACCAATGGTCACCGATTATGCATCGTTTGCTATATAGAGGGCGCAAGTAGCTATAAGTAGTGCAGTGGGGCTTTAAATGTCAATTTCCAACTGCACAGTGACCAACCCCTTGAAGAAAAAAAACAAAAATTCAAAATTGCAAAATTGCTTCTTTGGAAGAAAGTGCAAAGTTGGATAATGAGCTCACCTGTAATACTGCTATAAAAAAATATATTTTCAATATTGTAGATTGAATGTGGTGTATCCTCATGAAATGTCTTCTTAAATGTGAAAGTGTAGGGTGTTTTCCCTGTAAAGATAAAGCCCTACAAAGTAAGCTTGTTTTTGTTTCATTGGATGTCATCCAGTGTATGAATTGTAAAGAAAAGACATAAAACGCTTTGCACAGCAGATTTATCATGGGTTTCGGAGTAGATTTGTAATTTTGGCTTTAAAGATTTAAAGAGAAGTGCCTTTGGACTTCTGAATGTTACTTCTCAATTCAAATTCCATTGTCCAATTAGATTTCTCGTTTGCATGTCAATACAAAATTCCAGATTATAAACATCAATAAGATACAGATGGATACAGAATAATACAAGTGATTTGAACATAGATAACACAAAATGCAGACCAAAATTCAGATTAAATCCAATTCACAATCCTGATTAAATTAATAATTTAGATTAAATAAGACAGGCCTATACCTTACGATGAGAGTAATACTTGGAACAAGAGGATATTCTTGCCAAATGTACTGTTGGTTCATGTTGAAAAATGAAGTTCTGTCTGTACCTATGGTTTGAAGCCTTGATTGAATGAAAGCAATGTTGATTTATTTGATTTTCAGATGACATTGTTGCTCTAAAAAGGCTCAAAATGGAGAAGGAAAAGGAAGGTTTCCCTATCACCTCACTGCGAGAGATCAGTACACTACTCAAGGCTCAGCATAGGAACATTGTTACTGTTCGGGTAAGTCACACATAACCTGCTGCCACTTTCTCAAAACCGTCTAGTTCTCGGACATCCCATCTAGATGTGTAATATAGAATTATCACACGTTTAAAGCCCCTCTAAAGTGTCGGGAGCTAGGACAGCCAACAGTTTGATGGCAAAATTTCACTTAAATTGTATTATAATGTGAATATAAGACACACTTCTGCAAAGATTTTAAGACAAATATTGATAAAAGAATACATAATTTGGATTTTGTGTTGTATGCAGAAAAACTAATTTTTGTATTCTTTAATCAATATTCGTCTTCAAACAAATTTATTTTGAGAATTCTTGCAGAATTCAGTTCTAAATGTCATCCTATTTCACTTCATCGTGCAATTGAAGTTAAATTTTGCCATCAAATTGTTTGGGCTCCCAACATTTTAGAGAGGCTTTAAACAAGATGTTCACAAACTTTAATAGACATAGCTATGATGGTTTGAGAAACTCACCTCTGATGTTATTTTGATTTTTTATTTTCTGAAAACCCAGACAAACATGAAAAAAGCATACCAATATCGTGAAATAATTTTTATCTTCTGTTTTTCATTAAGATTAAATGTTGAGGGTTTGAAGCTGTAGTTGTTTTGGTACCATGGACAAGATCGCTATAATTGTAATGGACTATAATATAGAACATGAACTTAAGTATAAATACCGCCTTGTGGCGTCTAAAAAATATGGTACTTTGTATTGAGCACAGTAGAGTGTATTTGTATAGTAGCTGAGCTATATAAATGGACAAATTATTATTATCATTATCAAATTATTTCTAACAAGTACCATTTGAATGTTGTTGCATTTACAGGAGATAGTTGTTGGTAGTAACATGGATAAGATCTACATTGTAATGGACTACGTTGAACATGATCTGAAATCACTGATGGAAACCATGAAACAACCCTTCACTATCGGTAAGACAGTCATCAGTCAAACCACGGTGGTATTCTGAAAACGATGCCATCTTCTTGTTAGTGAAAGGATATTATTGTCATAACAAATCAAATTAGGACAAGTTATTGGTTAATGTCAGCGCAGAGCTGTCTACATTGGCCTGAAGTGAAGAGACATCTGCGCAAGCACCAATGGTTTGCATTAGTTCCATGCAGTTTGAGTTTGTTTTGACAATTTACATAATTTCCCTAACGTAAAGGAATATGGTACCATATCTACTTCAAGAATCTTGCAGAAGTCTAATCACAAGTTCTTTAACCATAACGAAGCTTTAAATGAGCAAAGCGAAGATCAATTTGATAGTCCCCTCGGAGATGCGCTGTCATATCTTAATGACGGCATATTATTTACCAGAATTCATGATATAAATTTTGAAATTTTTGCGAGATTACAAATCAAGACATTGATTTTAAATTAATACTCAATATCTAATATCATTTCTGAAGTGATAATCATATTTGAAAGTTATCCTACCCTGCAAAACAAAAAACACCTGAAAATTTTGGGATTTTAAATAATACTGAAAAAGTCATGGTTTTGCTATGAGGTTTGTTGAGAGCCAGAAGGGAGTTACAGGAAACTCTATGTTGAAATATATGAGTTAATGCCCTTCTGGCTTTCAGCAGATGAAATGTTTGTTTATTTCATCCTTGGTCCTGACCTCACGCTAGTTGGTAAATTAACAATTTACATAAAGCTAATCTTGAGCTCTGGTATGGGAATCGTATGTCAAGAGAACATGGCTATAATTCATTCTGGATGAATTATCCTGCAGTAGATTGATTGTTTGAACCAGTAAAATAAAAACCACCTCACAAAAACTTGTTCAGCACATGGTGATGGGCCTACTTAGCTTGATTTCTATATCTTTCTATGCTCATTACTCAGTCCCTTTACATTTTCTACCAAAATCATTTGGCTCATGTCATTAATCGTAAACATTCCTTTATTTTCTATGATTACCAGTACTCAAACTTATCTTTAAAAGTTGCTATTGAACATTCATTTCATGTTTGATTTAAAAAAAAAAATTACATTCTCTACCAATCAATCCTCCTTTACAGGAGAGACCAAATGTTTGATACTCCAGCTCCTCCGTGGAGTGCATCATCTCCATGACAACTGGATCCTCCATCGAGATCTCAAGACCTCCAACCTCCTCCTCAATCATCAGGGATGTCTCAAGATCGGGGACTTTGGACTAGCTAGGGAGTATGGCTCCCCTATCAAACCATACACATCTATCGTGGTTACTCTTTGGTATAGAGCTCCAGAACTGCTTCTTGGCACCAAGGTAAGTTCCTCTGATTCTTTGGTCTAGCTAGAGAGTATGGCTCCCCTATCAAACCATACACATCTATCGTGGTTACTCTTTGGTATAGAGCTCCAGAACTGCTTCTTGGCACCAAGGTAAGTTCATCTGATTCTTTGGTCTAGCTAGGGAGTATGTCTCCCCATCTAACCATACACATCTGTCATGGTTACTCTTTGGTATAGAGCTCCAGAACTGCTTCTTGGCACCAAGGTAAGTTCCTCTAATTCTTTGGTCTAACTAGGGAGTATGGCTCCCCCATCAAACCATATACATCTATCGTGGTCACTCTTTGGTATAGAGCACCAGAACTGCTTCTTGGCACCAAGGTGAGTTCCTCTAATTCTTTGGTCTAGCTAGGGAGTATGGCTCCCCCATCAAACCATATACATGTACATCTATCGTGGTCACTCTTTGGTATAGAGCACCAGAACTGCTTCTTGGCACCAAGGTGAGTTCCTCTAATTCTTTGGTCTAGCTAGGGAGTATGGCTCCCCCATCAAACCATATACATGTACATCTATCGTGGTCACTCTTTGGTATAGAGCACCAGAACTGCTTCTTGGCACCAAGGTGAGTTCCTCTAATTCTTTGGTCTAGCTAGGGAGTATGGCTCCCCCATCAAACCATACACATCTATCGTGATTACTCTTTGGTATAGAGCACCAGAACTGCTTCTTGGCACCAAGGTGAGTTCCTCTAATTCTTTGGTCTAGCTAGGGAGTATGGCTCCCCCATCTAACCATACACAGCTATCGTGATTACTCTTTGGTATAGAGCACCAGAACTGCTTCTTGGCACCAAGGTGAGTTCCTCTAATTCTTTGGTCTAGCTAGGGAGTATGTCTCCCCCATCTAACCATACACAGCTATCGTGATTACTCTTTGGTATAGAGCACCAGAACTGCTTCTTTGCACCAAGGTAAGTTCTTCTGATTCTTTGGTCCAGCTAGGGAGTATGACTACCCCATCGAACCTCATACATCTGTTATGGTTACCGAAGAAGGTCTTTTTGTCAGCCAGGGATGAAGACGTTTACTTATTCAATTCAATTCAATTTTATTTCATTCAGTTTAAAAAGACAACATTTCATATAACAACCAGCTATATAACATAAAATACACATTAAGAACATATTTGACATTTGGACATAAAATAAACTGAATAGGTTGCAACCTGAAAGGAAAAAAATAATCATAATATCCTTAAAAAAATAATCCTTATATATACGGTTTCAGATTCAAGTGTATTTGGTGGCTTATACTTCACTTATATTATCAATTGATGTCATTTGTTTTTTTCTTTATTTCTACATAAAAATTAATCATTCAAAATTTGTGTGAAAATGTCTATCATTTTCATGTGATGAATGAATGGAAATACAATGGAAAGCCAAATTCAAGTATATGACTAGTGCCTCTTCACCTGTAACGTATGTGACACCGGTCTGTCTTTCAACCCCTTAACCTGGCTGTAAATGTATTTAATCTAAAGTTTTCCCCCTGGTCTTTAAAAGAGCACAACTTCATCACTGATTCACTGTATTCTCCTTACTTTCTTTACGCATTTCTTTTGTATATGTATCATTTTTTATACATGTATTCACTCACTCCTCTCATAGTTTCATTCATGACTGTTGTGTTACAGTTTCATAACTTTCATCATAACCTGTGTCTGAAAAAATTGTGTTTGCCCCAGGTTAGAGTTTCCCTCAGTACTTTTGCTCTTGTGATCCGCAGTCTACAGTGTACTTTCAAAGTAACCCCAAAACCATACCTATTAAAAATTTTCCTTATGAATTATGGACTGCATATACAGTGTATAGTATTTGCTTTTGACCATGCAACTAGATGCAGTCAAACCTGCTTTAGCACCTGGATAGAAAGACCACCTGTCTACAAAGACCACATTTTTGTTGTCCTTGGGCAGTCTTTATAGGCAGGTTGACCGTTTAACATCTTGGCACTTTAATAGTTCTGGGATGGGATTTAGATAACTAAATGCGATTTGTTGATTTCTCCTGGCAGGTCTACTCCACTCCTATTGATATGTGGTCTGTTGGATGCATCTTCGCTGAGTTCCTCACCATCAAACCCATCTTCAATGGACGATCAGAAATCGACCAACTCAACAGGATTTTCAAGGTAATATTTCAGTGTTCCGTGACATTTGTTTTCTTGTAAAACTTCATGCATGACAAAATTTCTGTGCCGTATTTAGAGGTGGCTGATCCTTTATTGGTAATATTAAATCAAATTGACCAAGATCTATATATTGTGTTAAGTTATCACATTGAAAGGTGATTACTGGTATGATATGCAAACAAGATATAGGGAAATGAAACTGACCAAAGCAAAATTTATTTGTAGCATGCAAAATATAGTAGAGATCATAATGCCATTCCTCTCTGAAAATGTAGCGATATCGAAGGATTGTTTTAGTGTTAGAATTGATTCATGTATACAGATACCATGAAGCTGTTATGATTATGTTGAGTTTCCAATATCTTCAGTTAAGATACATCAATCTATGTCATCAGTGACATATGACAGTTTTTGTAATATAAGGTACTAGAATCCTTGCTTCTGATTGGTTATCAGCAGATTTGTCACAGTTTTTAGTCATTTGTCATTCAAAAAAGGCTTTGTGAAACGGGTTCAAGGAGTAACTAATGAGGTTGTTTCATTTTCTGTTATCATTCATGATATTTGTAGGAATTAGGAACACCGAGTGAGAAGATCTGGCCTGGTTATAATGAGCTGCCTGCCGTCAAGAAGACCACCTTTGCTCATCATCCGTACAACAATCTCAGAAATCGATTCGGGACCTACCTCACAGATGTTGGGTTTGAGCTCCTCAACAGGTAAGGAGCTAAGTTGTTTCTTCATCAGTATATGTCACATAGATCTACATGTATAATGTAATATGCCATTTTAAATGGCTAAGCCATCAGTTACTCATGTTCAGGATGATGGCAGTTAATGATGTAAACAATAAGTTTTATCAAAATAAAGAACTTTGTTGTCAGTTAACCCTATTTAGCCCGGGCTGTTTTGAAACTGCATAGCCCGGGGGGGGGGGGGGGGGGGGGGGGGCTTCTAAGGCCCCCCCCCCCTATGATCTCGGCCGTGAAACGCCCGATCGCCGCGAAAATGTGCATACATGTCAAGTGAAGTGTATAGAATACTATGGTAATTTCAGTTTTTTTTGAAAAATGCACTCATTTGCATGTTTATGGTAATTTATGCAAATAAGGTCATTAAATTCACATTTTTGCCCATAAATCAGACATTATTCATATTTAAGCATTCTTTCTCACTACATATATTTGTTAGACCATTTGGAATAATAATACAACACAAAAATTTGAAAAACCAGGGTTATTCCTTATGTTATCTATTGTTTTGATAATTTCTTATGTATTTCTTTGTTTTTTTAACTTATGTATTTTATTGTTTTTGTTGTTTTATTTCATTTCCAACTATAATTCAACTATTTTGACCCCAAAATAAACACCTAAAATCTAAACAAGACCAAATAACCAATGTTTTACCTCTTTATTTGAAAAATGAGATTTCCATATGTTTTGTACACAAATCACAAAAATGAGCGATTTTCGGGCTGACATGCGAAGACAAAAGGACACGTGCCTTTGTAATGGTAGGTCCGATTTTCGAAAAATTCTTTCAAAAGTTGCGCAAGACTCGAAAGAAAAAAGTCACAAAATTTCAGTGCAAGATTTTCTTGCGTTAAAAAATTATCGCGAAAAATGTCGAGGGGGGGGCTTCTCAAGCCCCCCCCCCCCCCGGGCTAAATAGGGTTAACAGATTGATAATCATTTATGTTGATGAAATGCATGAGCGAAGTAGATAAATGGAGTAGTAATATGCTTGACAGGCTTTAAGTTATCATAATGACCATTACACTTTAGAATGTAGGCATCTTAATAAAATAAAAATAAGATGGATTGAGACATGTAACAGATAGTGTATGAACTAGCAAAGAATATATAGAAAGGGTTCGTTGGATATGGAGAAAAAATGAACAATAATTGATTTCTCCTTGTTGTTGCAGAGTTTGGTGGTTCAGCTACATCGTAGAAATTAAATGCCTTTCAAACCTTGCGACATGATGATACAAAATGATCACACCTCTTTCCTCCTTCCTCAGATTTTTGACCTATGACCTGTTCGTCGCATCTCAGCAGAAGACGCCCTCAAGCATCCCTACTTCTCGGAGTCTCCGCAGCCAATCAGTGAGAACATGTTCCCTACCTGGCCTGCTAAGAGTGAGATGGTCAGGACCAATAAACCTAGGAGTCCACAGGCACCCGAAGGAGGGCAGCAGTTTGCTAAACTGGTAAGTCATCAATGATGCGATCACATTGAAATTTGACTTTAGGGAAGGGTTTAGGTTAGGGTAAGGGTTTTAGGTTAGGTTAAAGGTTACGTTTAGTCTTGGTTCCATGGGGGAAGTTAACAGTTCTGTTAATACAGTCGTACCTGCTTTAGTGACCATAGGGTTAGGGTTAGAACAGTGAGAACATGTTCCCTACCTGGCCCGCTAAGAGTGAGATGATCAGGACCAATAAACCAAGGAGCCCACAGGCACCGGAAGGAGGGCAGCAGTTTGCTAAACTTGTAAGTCATCAATAATGAGATCACATTTGCATCTGTGACAGTTGCTCTGGGCTTTGTTTTGTCAATGTAGAGGGTTAAGGGTTGAAATTTGATTTTAGGTTAGGTTTTAGGGTAGGTTTAAGATTATGTTTAGTGTTGGGTCCATGGTGAACGTTAAGAATTCTGCTAATGTATGAAGCTGGCTGGTCAATAGTTGCAGGAGCAAGTGTTGTACACCCTTTACTGGATTCAAGGACAACCATCTCTCTGGGATCATTACCCTCAGTACGGGATAGCAGTTTCTCTCCTTTTGTTGTGGGGTGGGGGGGGGGGGGGGGGGCGGGGGCACACAGTCTTCTATGCACAAATCATCTGTTAAAGGCCAGAAGGGTTTTAACTTCTGGCTCCAAACAAACAGAATGTGAGTATTGCTTTTCACTCTGTATAATATTCCAGTAGATTTTATTTTGCTTCTCCAAACAACCAATGAACTGCATGACAAGTGATCTAAATCAAGTTGTTACCAGGGCCCCTTTTCACAAAACTTGTCATTAGTGACAAATGACAGTTTTTGTTATAAGCTACTGCAATCCTTGCTTCTGATTGGTTATCAGTAGATTTGTCACTTAATTTTGTCATTTGTCATTGAAAAAAGGCTTTGTGAAACAGGTTCCAGGTCTCCAGATTAGTGTAGGTATAAAGTTCACACATCGTGTGAAGAACAGTGTATATGGAAGCAGATGTTACAATGCACCTTTCAGATCAGTAATGTAAAACTTTGGTTGTTTTTGCTTTTAGGAAAAAGAGGAGGAAGATTCTGGATTCAGAATGGCGCTACCAACCCAGGGAAGCTCTGCTGCGAGTGCAGGGTTTAGTCTCAAGTTCTAATGGCACCGGAAGCAGCTTTCAAGATCTGCATCATCGATGTTTGGGAAAGTTGTTGCAGGGACCAGGATAGTCGAGGAGTGCTTTGGTATCAGCTGTGAAACTGGACAGTGTGCTGAACAAGAACCTTCATCCAAGAGGCATAATCAACTGTGATATTTTTCATCACCAATGTTAAAGCCCCACTGCACTACTTACAACTACTTGCGCCCTCTATATAGCAAACAATGCCTAATCAGTGACCATTGGTCCCCCATGATCCTCTTTTTCTGATGTTAATTGAGAGCTGATTTGATGAGATAACCACCTGTCCAGTGACCTTGCAGGGTAGTCTAATCCCTCCTATACACTTGTACAGATGGGCTTTAAATGTTGTTTCAGCGACCATGAAAACCAAGGAGCATAGTTAGGCATCAGCAGCCGGGAGACCGAGCTTTGGGTTGAGAAAAAAGTGCACTCTGTCAAGAGATGTAATCATCAATGTAGCTTTGCCTCACTGATGTGACTTATTGTTGCAGAGACCAAGACAGTCTGGGCACCGTCTAGTTGTGACCCTTGTTCTGTCTGTATGTTTTCATTTCTCATTCAGTACAGGTAAACAAAAATGGGTATGAAAATGTTGAGGCCCATAGTCTAAAATTCAGTTAAACCTGACCCTGGGCCTAAAATTGTGTGTAACAAAAGGAAAGTTGGACCTTAGATTAAATTTCGTTGATTTCGGACAAAAGCCTGAACCCGATGTCAGCATTAAATTTGGGCTGTTGCATTCAACTTCATGAAAGTTAGTTCAGACTCAACTTGCATGTTACCCATTTGTTTTGGGAACACCAACCTTTTTTTATTTCATACAAATAACCATAACAAAAAAGAAAGTCATGAAATGAAGATGAAATTAATTTAATGAGGGTATAATGTAATGTAATGGTTTGTTCATTAAGTTGAGGAAAAAAAATAGAATTGTAAAGGATTGAAAAGATCAACACTTGATAATGCATAATGATTAATTCAACATCACATTAATCTGCATGTAACATTACTTAAACAGCAATGCAACTGGCTTTGAAATTAACTAAGATTTTTTTCCAGAAGTTGTTTGTAATGATGTCACTTTTTTAAATTTTTGTACCTTGATGTTCATGGATATTCTTGTACTTTCATGATATGTTTTGAGAAGAAAAAAAGCAGAAGGAAAAATAAGAGGAAGGATGAACAGAGGGTTGAAGAAAAGAAGAAAAATAGTACCATTTGCGATAACACTGGATTCACCTGTTATAACTCTTCACACATTTTGTATTTTGCATACAGTATATGATATTCTTTGAGCGACTGTAATCAAATCATATGTCATACAGTGACGCTTTCTTAGGCACAGATTGGTCATTCAAGTTCTTTTCAAACATGGTATACAAACATCTAAACTTAAATTTCCAATTTGTGTTTAGAAAAGCATCTTGTGCATTTATTAGGCACACCATACATGTCTCGAGTGATTGATTAAATGTAAATATTTTTGTGCTGGATAAAATTTCCACTTTGTAATAAATATAAACTGTTTTTTATGAAACAGACCTTTTTTTATGGCTGTGCTTTACTGTTTGACAGTGTGTGAAGTTTTATCTTTAAAAGAAGGTTGAGTTCTGGGAAGAAGTGAAAAATAATTTGTGAGCATTACTCACTCTTATTATGCAAGTGTGGAAGAACGTCAGATAAGACATGTTCCCTGAAAAGCATGGCTCTTCAAATGCCTTCATATTCTAAATATGACATGAAACATCGTAAAAATCGGGGGGGGGGGGGGGTAGGTTTTTTTTGCCATGTGCTCGTGTAGTCCCATATACATCATTCTGTGTACAGTGGTTGTAACTTTGCCAAGATTTGGCCAAATTTCTTATCATTTTGATGATTCCAGAACCTTGCAATACACACGAATACTTATATACTAGATGATCAACCTTTTCTGATAGATTCCACACCATTTCTTTCACAATGCAATCACATGACCAGAACTCAACTTTATCTTTAAAGGTACTATGTCCCATTTGCAGGTCAAAAAAATGAAAAAGTTAAATTCCAACTGCATTTGAAAGATAATACTAATTTAGAACTTCCCTAAAAAAGGTGGGGCTTGAAAATGTCTTCAAGTAAGAAAATAACGACTATTAGTTGTCAAATCGACTTTAGGGCTATAGAGTCCAAAAGTAATAGTCTTGATTTTCAGACAATTGTACCGAATGGTCATACGTTTTATGCTGCGCAAAGATTCAATCAGTTTAATCTTGGCCAGCACAAGAAGAGGGTTATTGATGTAGATAAATGCTCATGTACCCTTTACAACTCTTTTCATGTATGTTATTACCAAAGAAGAAAAAAGGCCAGTCAGTCACTCAATAGTGTCTGACAGTGAAGTCTAGCAACTAAACTGGTTTCCTTGCATAATTTGAATATGAGGACACTGCTAACGTTTAAATTTCACAGATAGGACATACATGACATATTCATAATTCCTGCAAAGTTCTACAGCATTTGAGGTTGGCTGCAAAAGGGACATAGTACCTTTAAGATAAGAGAGAATAAGGAAAATGTTGAAGAAAAAAATAATAAGAGTATCTCTATATGCTTTATTTCATGAATTACTTTGATATTCTCAGTATAGATACTAATAAATTTTCTAAAATATAAAGCTCTCGTATAGAGTTCATTTTATCTAAAGACGAACATGAAAGACACATCTTTAATCAAAATATAACGTTTATAATACAATTGGTCAGTGGCGTAATGAGCAAAAACGTTTGGGGGGCTGACAAAAAAAAATCTGCATCACCCCACTCTAACATGCTGGCCCCGCTGAACTTTTTTCAAAGTGGGGTCTAGGGACAAAGCCCAATCAGGGGGGCGGAGTTCCCGAAGCTCAATGGGTATGGGCATCAGAGGTGGATCCAAGAGTTTCTTACGGGGGGTGGCATGGGTGAAATACATGTAAAACCTGATGAAGCGACAGAGCGAGGTTTAAGCGGCGAGGGAGCGGAACGACCAAGCGGGGGTGGGTCTGGGAGGGGGTTTTGAGTAGGAAGCATTTGCAATTTTAGAACCACATTAGACGCCTTTTCAGGCACTTCCTGGAGTAATATGACATAAAATTGCTTTCTCCTACCCCCTCCAAGAGTAGGAATCTTTTGCAATTTGAGAACCACATTTTGCGCAATAATGTCCACCGGCACTTCCCGGAAGTGAGACGTTGTATATGCTTCGTTGCCGCACAATGCACAAAGGCGGTGGTCCGGTACTTCACCAGTTGTACTAAAAATTATATCGAGTGTATAAACTGTGTTGTTATGAGGGGCGTTGCTAGATCTTTTTCAGTGGGGGAGGGGGGAGAGGCCACCGATTACCTTCAAAACGAGTCACCAATTACCGACAAATATATTAATGATACTTCATTAAATTATTAGAGAAAGAATACGATCCGTTGTACCGTTCTAGACTTTATTTTTGTTTCGCCTCTCCCGCGCGAAGCGCGGAAGCTATGACGTTTCATTTATTTATTAGAGAAAGAAGACGATTCATTGTACCGTTCTCGACTCTTAATCCTTGCCTGAATTCATTTTCGCCCATCCCGCGCTTAGCGCGGAAGCTTTTACGTTTCATTAAATTATTAGAGAAAGAGGTCGATTCGTTGTACTGTTTTCGACTTACAATCCTTGTCCGAATTCAGTTTCCTCCCTCCCGCGTAAAGCGCGGAAGCTTTGACATTTCATTAGATTATTAGAGAAAGAGACGATTCTTTAAATGATTCTTTTTACTCTTAATCTTTGTCTGAATTCAGTTCCCCCACTCCCCCCCCCCCCCCCCCCCCCCCCTCCCGCGCGAAGCGCGGAAGCTTTCGGCGTTTCATTAAATTATAAGAGAATGAAGACGATGCGTTTCCTTAAATTTTTACTCTTAATCCTTGTCTGAATAGAGTTCCCCCTCCCGCGCGTAGCGCGGAAGCTTTGAAGTGTCATTAAATTATTAGGGAAAGAAGACGATTCGTTGTACTGTTTTCGACACTTAATCCTTGTCTGAATTTAGTTTTCGCCCTCCCGCGCCAAGCGCGAGAGCTTTGACGTTTAATTAATTATTAGAGAAAGAAGACGATTTGTTGTACTGATTTCTACTCACTTTGTCTGAATTCAGTTTCCCTCCCTCCCGCGCGATGCGCGGAAGCTTTGACGTTTCATTAAATTATCAGAGAAATTGTCTGAATTAATTTTTTCTTTTCTTTGTCCGATAAAAAGTCACAGTTCGTAGAGAGATAAAAAATTGCCAGCCGACCGACATTAAACATCTCACCGACTTCAAACTTCTTAATTGATATAGTACACGAGCTAGATAGAGCAAGAATACCGACACAGCGGACCCGACACAGCAACATATTTATCTATGCGTACCTTTCTTGCTCCTTCGACGTGGCGACTCCACCCAACATTCCCTTTGCTCTCTTACTCCCACCCCTCTTCTCTTAAGCTCTTAACACCACCCTCTCTCTCTCTCTCTCTCTCTCTCCTCTCTTTCGTTTGTTTTGTTTTGTTTGTTTTCTTATGTTTTCTTTTTCTCCTTTTTTTTTCTTTCTCCTTTTCTTTCTTTTCTTTCTTTTCCTTTCTTTCCTCTCCTTTCTCTTTTTTTTTCTCCTTCTTCCTTCTCTTCTCTTTCTTTACTTGGTCATGGTTCAATTTTATTTGGGGGGGGGGGGCTGGCGCCCCCCAAGCCCCCCCCCCCCCCCACCAGTACGCCAGTGCAATTGGTAATAAAAAGGAATAGAGAGTTGAGAAGGAATGAATCAAGAGAGAGAGAGAGAGAGAGAGAGAGAGACAAGAGAGAGTGGGAGAAGGGGGTAAAGGGTGGGAGAGAGAGAGAGAGAGAGAGAGTTAGGGGGAAGAGAAAGAGTGAATGAGGATAGGAAACGAGAGAGAAGAGTCGTAGAATTATGCGTAGGGTATATCGTGCGTTAATTGTAAAAAGTGTGTATACAAGGAAATTGAATGGTTATAACAATTGTATATCATACTCCAAAGTATTATATCATATACTGCATCATATTAACACCCATAAAAAAAAACCTGAGGATTGTATACATTTATATATCTATATATGAAATTCTTACAAATTTACGATATAAAAATCGCTTAGCTAAGTTTTACTGTCATTATACACGCTTGATTTGTTTAGAATTCACCGTTCACGTCAGAAAATACACGTGCTAACAATGCATGTACTCCATAATTGAAGCTTGTAGCCATGGCAATTTAAACAAAAGTAATGTTTGGTCGGGAGATATCTAGTATCTCTTTCTTAACCCTTACTGTACTGGGCTATTTCGAGCACTCTCTGACTGGGGGGGGGGGGGGGGGGCGAGGGGGGCCTGGGAGGCCCCCCCCCCCTATGATCTCGGCCGTCTAATGTCCGATGAACGCGAAGATGTCGTTATAGCCTAATTAATTATGCAAAATGCTAATTGTATGCATATTACAGAAAACTCTACATATTTGTCCGTAGACTTGTGAAGAATCTTGAAAATGTATTGAATAAATGTTTCCTTCACCTCAAATTCATGAGGTTTCATTATTTTTATGATTTTTGAAAATGCATAGGTTAATTTGCATAAATTATGACTAAGCATTCATGAATATCAAATCTGGAAATATATATAGGGAACTAGAATCATTTCAAAAATTGTCAGACTCCACTTTTTTGAAACCCATTATTCATATGAAACTTCTTTTCTAACACAAAATAGTTATTTGATGTAATTAACAATGATAATTTATGCAAATTTGATGTGATTTTCAACTATTTATTTTCTTATGTATTTTATTGTTTTTTAATTTCTTATTATATCTTTTGTTTTATTTCTGATGTATTCTTTTGTTCTGAAATACATCAAGTTACTTTGAGAAACATATAAAAGCAATTTGATATCAATTCATATCTTCACATTTCTGCTTGTACATGAATATATGCAATTATAGCACTTTTTTTGAGGACATGCGCATTAAATTGTTATGTAACACCTTACAGGTATATTCGATTTCGACGAAAATGGTATCAAAATGTGCGTAAGACTTGAGGGAAAAAAGTCATGAAATGACAATTCAAAATTCCGAGCGGTTACGGCGCGATCTCCGAAAATGTCGAGAGGGGGGGGGGGGCCTCCCAGCCCCCCCCCCCCCAGTACAGTAAGGGTTAATAGGATATAACTACAGATTGTGTAAGCATACAATTATAGACAATGCAGGAGCAATAATGTTAACATACAACTTCTATACATCAGTCTTCTTCTTCTTTTTCTACTTTTTCTTCTTCTTTTTCTTTTTCTTCTTCTTCTTCTTCTTCTTCTTCTTCTTCTTCTTCTTCTTCTTCTTCTTCTTCTTTTTTCTTCTTCTTCTTCTTCTTCTTCTTCTTCTTCTTCTTCTTCTTCTTCTTCTTCTTCTTCTTCTTCTTCTTCTTCTTCTTCTTCTTCTTCTTCTTCCTCTTCTCTTCTTCTTCTTCTTCTTCTTCTTCTTCTTCTTCTTCTTCTTCTTCTTCTTCGTCGTAGTCGCCGTCGTCGTCGTCGTCTTCTTCTTCTTCTTCTTCTTCTTCTTCTTCTTCTTCTGGTAATCTTCAAAGGGCTATGTAGCCTATCACTAATATGAACTAAAGATAACAAGTGGTGTGAGGAAGACAGATGATTTGTTTTTAGTGGGATAAGGGCATTATATGCTTCAGGAGTTGCCCCTGGAAGTTCCCTGGAATGTCAATGTGCACTGCTAGAAGACTATTCAATTATAGGAGCCGCCAATCGACCGATTCTTGGCTATTCTATCATATGTAATGTGATTTTTAAACATTGTAATTGATATGTTCTCTATCAGTCTACCTCGTGTGTGACTGGGTTATAAATAACCACGTTCAAAATTTAGCCAAATTTGGCGTGAGAGGCGCACATGCCAGGCTGGTCAACCGTCAATGTCGTATCGTGAAATGTTGGTTCTTATCCGCAGACCATAGTTTATCTAAACGCTTCCTGGGATCGAGAAGGGTAAAAATAGAAAGAAGAAAAAGATTAATATTAGGATATCATTATTTCGCACTGTATAAAATGGTAGAAATAACATCAATGCTTTCACTTTTTATTTGAATCCAAACTGATAACCAGTGATTATATATTTCCTGTTATAGTTACGATTTATGATAATTATAACTGTAATATAAATATCATGTCATACTAATCAAATTTAGAACTTAGCAATCACATATTGTAACAATTTTTCTTTTCTCACAATATTTATGGAAAGTTTTAAGGGATCATTCCCATTTTGAAAACCCTCACTGTTGCTACAGTGTACTATGTTCAAAGAGAATATGGGACAGAAAGTAGGAATAGAATGATAACTAAATAATTAACAAAAACACGTTCGCAAAGAATTAAAAAAAAAATATCAAGCTAAGGCTACTTCGTGAACATAACAATGACATGTCTGAACATCAGGCACGTAGCCCCCCCCCCCCCCCATTTTTTTCTCCAAGATCGGTTGAAATCTTTTAGACCCCTCCCCAGGACGTCGATCGATTACATGCACGTGCCCCCCCCCCCCCCCCAAACATCAAACTCTGGCTACGTGCCTGCTGAACATGACTTCTAAAGTTGACTTGTCAAAAGTGCTTGCAATCGTGTTAAAAATATGTATTTGTATTTACTGTAGTTGTCGTTTCGCTCTGTTTCGACGAAACCGTCTAGACAGGACAGTGATGGTGAGACCTGAGAGAAGAAGCACGATCAGCCCACCTACTGAAGCTCCTATCACAAGTCCGATCAAAACTAAAGAAAAGTTCAACATTGAACATGTGTATTGTGATGGTGATTATTTTACCTGACTGCTAAGAAAGCATAAATGCTTGTAAGTAAGCAACCAGACGGTCGACGGCTTTAGGTCCTCGCCGAGGGACCTGGTAATGAGGATGAATGCCTTACCAAAGGGCACTAGCGCATCGCCTTGGTTTCGAACCCGGGTCACCGGATTTCGAGACCACTGCTCTATCGACTGAGCTATCGCGCCTCATGTGTGTAGCACAAATCGTGGAAACCTGCTATACCCAATTAATAACAATTTGACAAGATACAGAGAATAGAAAGCAGTACAAAGTCATTAGAAGCGAAAGGAACTCCTCAACATTTGATAAACGTGTACGTGTTTACTGGGGCAGTTGCGGTTTGAGAAGGGCGTTTAGGGGGTTCAAGCACCGCCTTAATCCCCGCAATTAATTCTTGATTATAGATTATAGATTTAGCAAGATACAAGTATAAAATGCAAGAACCCAAAACCCCCACTCCTCCCTAAAAAAAAAATCTTGACCAATGCCCGTGCAGCGGAAGTGTATAGTCATAAGCAAATGGCTAATGGCCTCTGTCTAGGTGTATTTGTGTATATCATTTATATAACATAACTATGCAATTAATTGAGTGCAAGGTTTCGTTGGAAAGAAGCGAACGTGATACGAGTGCTACACAGCTAGAGAAGGGACAGAACAGGAAACAGACATACAGGCCGATAGAGAAGAATGAGTGATCAAGTAGATACGTATATACAGGGGAATAAGATACTTGATCAAACTAAGGAGAATGTTACACATTGTGACACATTGTGATATGAACCAATCGGGTGAAGGTTATGATTAAAATGTTGCTTTTTAAAATCAATTGAAGCTCATAAAATCTCGAGTTGAAATTACACACAAGTAACAAGTGCAAAAGTATGGCACCGCGACGCAGACCGAGCTAGGACAGCATAAATGAAACGATATAGATCCTTCTAGTCGATCATAAAGTAAGTGCCACTTACTTATGTATTTTAGTAAGCCCATAAACTAATTCTAAACTGTCAATGATAGCACTAAATCATGTTTTGATACTTTTCCTAATTCCAATTCTCCTTCTGCATCGAAATCGACAGCCTAGCATAGCCGGGTAATGTTGGAGAGCCTTGAGGACCTTGCAAGGCCGATACATGCGCTATATAAGAATCCAATATTATTATTAATATTATTTCTATCGTTCATTTGTAAAGTGCATGTACATGATTCATGCCAATATATATATATATATATATATACGTATATATATATATATATTTAAAGTCGCTTATGAAGATAAGTGTCATTTACCTATATTGTTCTTCTTGCATATAGGAATCGAGTCAGACCACTGGCCATCCTCCATACATTCTATTGTTGATGTACCCTCGATGTTATATCCTGCATTGCATGTAAAATTGGCATAGCTATAGGTGATTGGACAACTATCGATAATCACGTGACCATTGGGCGGGGCAGTGGGCGTGTCGCAGGACAGGCCGTGTTCTGCATGAAAGTCAAACAGGTAAGATTAAATTGATGAACAAAGATTAAGCAATTACATTTATACGTGCAACGAGAAAACATATCCATAACGACATGTTTTTAAAATAGAGGCCACGTATTTTACTATACTATTTTACTATTTTACAGTTAAACTGAGTGCTCTGTGCGCGATTAATGAAGAAAACACATACTACTTCTATTCACATATCCATGTTTATGGTTTACTTAAATATATCTGTCTAGTAATATTCTATTTATGTTTTGACGATTTAAACATATGCATTGTGGTAGAGATGCCATTTGACTAGCATGGAGGCCTACATTATGCCTATAGATTTATATGAAATTTCGATTCAATCCATCTGTGATGTTCAGGACCGTCCAAAGCTTTTTTACAAGATATAATAGTGTGATTGGGACATTTAAAAATGGGAAAAGAAAGGAGTGTGATCGCAACCATCGCACCCCTTCCCGACGGACCCGATGTTTGAAGATCCTTACCTATTAGTGTACATGAAGGAATGGGGTATGACCAAGTGCCATTGGAAGCACATGTAGTATTGTTAGGCCCCCGTAGTTCATAGCAAGGATCACAGCTAATCGACGCCAGAGATCCCGGCGAAGATTCGGTTGATGTCATACTACCGTTCGTCAATGTTAACGGTGGACAAGTCACTTTAAGAGATAGAGAAGAAAAAATAGAAAAAGTAACAGGAAAAGGAAAATCCAATTAAAATTGAGAACTGTTCTGTATATCAACTTTCCATTTCATAATTCACCTATAAATTACCAATACTAATCGTTGGAACTTCGTTGATAAGTCCACACGGCGTGTTTGTGTTTCATTTCCTTTCTAATAGGGTCATGGGGTGAAGAGGATTAGAGGTAAGTTATGTCTCCTCAAATCACTCATAATATCGAGAAAATGTTGAGTAACACATACAAGTATTTCACATGTGTACACCACATCGTGTATACGCCAAGTTAAAATGCTAAAAGACCTAGGCAAGGACAAACTATTATCTTCTTTGGGTTTGATAATGTCCAATACCTGGTTCTAGATCTTTTCTTGTAGATTGATATTGCTCAATGGCCCTTAACGTCTGGCCAGCAAACTCCTCTCTTGCAGTCACTAACAGATCAAATGCACATAATTGGCTAGTGCCGCACACGTGACCAATACGATCATCCAATGAGAAAGTTGGTTCTATCAGTGAAGGTGTGTAGTTATAGTTCGTATACGATGATTGGTTGTATCCCGGTCTGTAGTAGAACAAAGACTCGTTCTTCTTGACACGCCCTGATGAAATGGAGGAAAGGAAAATGTGTTTTAACCGGCATGTCCTAGATTATGTTTAAAATCATATAGCATGAATTGAATCATTACGTAGGAAAATAATAGATTTTGAAGTGTATGTATTAGAAATATATAAAAGCGATACAATGATCAAAACATAATAGCAGACTGCGCGAGCTGCCACAATTATACTAGTTTGAATATATTTTAGGAAAGCGAATAATCAGGGGAGGGGGTGAGGGTTGGTTGGTATTTACTTACAAGTATTTCCAAACTCATGGAATATTGTCTCCATGGACGAGGTTGCCGGTATAATGACGTCATCATCAGGTCTTTGTAGATCATCACTCTGATCATCATTCCACGTTCCCAGCATGCCGTGCGTGTTGTATTTGAACCTGTTTGGAATGGTGACGAGTATGGTGAGTGCATCATCGTGTGTGGTCATCTTGAGGGCGATACCGTTATCAAAGACGATTGAAAAACCGTCTGCTCTCAAATCATCTTCTGCTTTTACAGTCACTCCTGGTTTGATGTTACAAATGAACAATAATGTGGCCTATTATTGTTGTAAATGTCAAAATATAACTTATTTCCTATGGCCATTAAAGCACTTATATAAACCAGGTTATTATAGGGATAACTATGTACTTCGTACAGGTCATATTAACCTGAACATTATTTTAATTATGAACAAATCATATCCAGTCCTTATTTTGAACAAAATTTGTCGCAAGCAGGTTGCGACATTATAAAAAGTTCCTTTGAGGTAAAACTGTTGTTTAAGCTGTCATTGGAAACGCAAAAGGAGTAAGATGTTTTCGGTTTTACCTAAATTTAAAAAAATACCCCTCCCCCTTCTAACATCTCACCTAATAAACATGGTTTTAAATCACAAGAAATGGTTGGAAAATATTTTTTTTAGACATCAGCAGCAAGCGAAACTAATACATCAAAAATGCAGCAGTGAGAAAAGAAACGCCTGTATGAGCGAAATATTTTTTAGGAAGTAATTTTTCTTTAGAAAAATATCTTGTACATATACATCAAATATTGTATCAACTATATATGCACAGCGTATTAATGCTCGCTTACCTCGAAAAGACCATGTTTTTGTCAGATTGAAATTCAGTTCTTGAAAGTGCCTTCCCTCCCTCTGGAAAAACATATTCAGTTCTCTTCCATGGTTGGCTTCGACGTGTATGACGTCACTGTTGTTAGTCTTTGCGGCCACTGCCGTGAATATTGTAGCATTTGGTGTTTCTGAAAATGAAAAAAACAAAACAAATGTCAAAGGATCGTTTATCTTAGGATCTTAGGAAGTAAAAAGAAGGGTAATGTGAAGTAGAAGTATTATTTCAGCAATCTTTTTTTCCAAGAATACTCTTTTGATAGAATTACATGGTCCGGAGGCTGCGATTTCAAATAGTGAGTAAAGCGTGTATATCTTATATATACGGGAGGTAGTTTCTGTTTCCAAAACCACAAGTTAAACGCCACAAATATATGTTTAATACACTGAAGCGTCATAGTTATGATATGACGACGTCTTAAACAAAGAACACATTACACGTTCTCCTGAATATACAGGTAAAAACAACATTAACAATAGACAAATAAATTCACATAAGAAATAAATCAAGAAAACGAACGAACAAAACAAAACAAAACATATATGCCTCTACTTAGCGCTATATTGTACATCTGGAATGAGAAATATAAATCAGCTGTGTACTTAAACCTGAATGTGAAGGTGAATACGAAAAGACACACTTATCTACAATCTTTATATCAATAACAAAACAAAAATCACATAAAACAAACCTTTCATAGGTAAGCTTCTTGTTTGAAGTATGAACTCGTCTTCATTCAAGTTCGCCAGAGTGAACTCGCCATAACCGTTGAATGTGTAATTGAGACCGTCGAATGTAATGAAATGTGGGTCTCCAAAAGCAGACGCTGTAAAGTAAAGCACACCAACATGTCGGAAATGTTGTTTTACGTTCTACATTTTTAACACCTCCTATCATAATCAACTGAATTGAATTATGTAAATAAAAAAAATAAAAAATCTTAATGAGGATTAGCCAATTGAATGTTCGATTTTACCTTATCAATGATAATGGCATATACAGAGTTTCACATTGTATTCAATCAGTAAAAGAATAAAGTAAAATTGATGTGAATCTCTGTTAATCAACAAGCTAGTTAGTGAAGTCACATCAATACACGAACAACAGGTGCGGTGAAATTTAAGGAGTTTTGAATGAGGAGCAAGGAGAAAAGAAAACTAATTCAAGTAAAATCAAAGACAGAAGAAACCAGAGAGAGAGAAAGAAAGAGAGAGAGAGAGAGAGAGAGAGAGAGAGAGGGGGAGGGAGATAGATAGAGAGTATAGGAGAGAGGTGTTAAAAAGAGAGGAGAGAGGAGATTGAAAGAGGAAGAAAGAGATGCTGAAAGAAGAGAGTAGAAAGAAGACGAGGTAGAATAGAAAGTAAAATAGAAAGAAGAAAGAGAGAAGAGGGAGATCGGGGGAGAAAGATATATATATATATATAGAGAGAGAGAGAGAGAGAGAGAGAAGGGGAGAACGGGGGAGAAAGAGAGATATAAATAGATATATATATAGTTAGATAGAAAGAGAGAGAGAGAGAGAGAGAGAAAGAGAGAGAGAGAAGAGGGGAACGGGGGAGAAAGAGAGATATAAATAGAGATATATAAATAGATAGAGAGAGAGGGAGAGGGAGAGGGAGAGAGAGAGAGACCTGGTTGAGGTGGGCGGTAGCCGTAGCAGTTTTTCGGCGGTCTGACGGTGCGGTAAAGATAACAAAATTGCCCATTCTCGCTCTGATCGGCTACACAGCATTGCAAGTATGGCATCGTGTCAGCCAGATAGTGGGACAGAACTGGTACTGGGCCGAGTCCGGATGACAGATTGGGCGAGGTGACGCGCTCGTGTTGACGGTGTGAAAACCCCGCTCCTATAGCATCCACCTCAATCAGGTGACCGTCGCTGCTGTAGCAGCATTCCTGACCTGCGCCTGAAGGACTGGACATTTGAAATGGGTTGATTATTGAACGATGCATAAATCTGACTCACGACAAATCGATGTTCAAGACAACTTAAGAAATAAAATAAGAATTGAAAAGAAAAAAAAAACTTTTACTCCACTTTTTGTCCGTTTATCAAAAGAACTAAGGGAGAAAATGAAAATACCATTTTTTGTTTCTCATATAGTTACAAATTTTAGGTTATTTCGCTGTCAAGTGTACAAAAATCTAAGCAATATCATATTGAAAAAAAAAAATCTATTTCCTAAATTGGTTTGCATGGTAAGATTAATTGTGGTTTTTGTCATTTATATGCGTTTTCTTCTTCAATTCTATGATTTTCTAAAAAAGATAGACAGAAACATCGGTGTCGATCTTAACCTTGGAATGTTCGAATTTACGCAGAGTGTCACACCCGGTCTGTCTGTTTCTAAGGAAACAGTGAATGAGCCTATATCTCTCCTTGCTTGTCTCTCTGTACATGGGCAGACTGGTCGTTGAGGGAGCCATTGATTAAGCTCAGTGAGTTCTCGAGTTATCCATGAGTTACACCATGACGTCATGTTGATAGGATACAACCAGTTGAGAGGGTGGATCTCGCTCCAAATGGCTCTCCTTTCGAGTCTAAAAAAAATTGGGAAAGGAAAAAGAAAACAATTCAAAATGGACAGCAAAAATGCCTCGTATGTCTTTCATGATAACATCATTCACCATTGGTTAATGTTGGAGGGAGAGGCTAAAATAAAGATAAATATTGAAATACATAATTATGCAGAAAGAGAGAGAGAGAGAGAGAGAGAGAGAGAGGGAATACATTAAAGTGAAGTTTAATAATGGAAAATAATAATGAAATGGAAATTGAGAAGGGGATAATATGAAGCATCCTGGTGATCTGTTACGTGACTTGTCTGCCTTTCTCTTTTAATAAATGTGTGTCTCAAAACTATTATATTTAATGATGGGCAATGGTGTCTAATCCATTAATGCTAATCGGTTTAAACTCTTCCGTCTGTAAAGCGTAGTGAATAAATTTGATATGAGTAAACACGATATAGATCAATTTGCACTGGAAGTAATGATAAATTCAATATAGCTACCCAAAAAACATTAACACGGAAAACATGTAGGCTTAATGCCATATGTTATATTTGCCTGAAATTTCACAATTAAAAGGAGTGTGTCATGACGAGAATATGTGTCTTTCCCGTGGCCCTACTCGGGGCCAATCGGGTTTAATACGACTACGGACGACGCGACCGTAGCATTCACGTGCGTGCAACATACGCGAAACCGAAGCGTGAGGAGAACTTCGGTCTGTTTCGCGAACGCTAGCGCGCAGACCCAGTTAATCAAGTCCATTCGTTTACGAGCAGTTGTCCAAAAGAAGAAGTAGATGATGTTAACCAGTATTTCCCATAATACACTCCCTTTAAGATTTTGATATAATAATCATGTACATATACTTACAATGAATTTGCTTCGTTCAGAGTAAAAACACCAATAGCTCCAACCCTCGGTGAGATATCATCCACACTGCGTTCACGGTTAATCACAAACTCAAACCTGCCACCTTCATTCACAATTCCATATGGTACAATGTGAACAGGCTCCCATCTGTAACGGCCGTTGATGTCAACGGTAAATTCATAAACAATGATCTCAACCATGTCGTTTCCATGGAGTCCAGCAGGGTCCCAGGTTACCGCCAAGTTAGTGCCTGGCTCTGATGTCCAGTCGCTGAGGTGTACCGGTGAAGGCTGGTCGCCAACTGGAAAATGGAAAGGAAATTTTCACAAGTTACCTTTAAGATTCTTACTCGAGATTTTCTTAGCGATAGAATGATTCATAGGCCTTCGTCAGTGAAGTATAGGCCTAATTTGAGTTAAAAGAAAATGAACATATCGAGGGGTCAGTGACACAAAGACGTAACTCCATTTTGGCCATTTAGAGACAAAGTGGTTTATGTGTCACTGAGCACTTGGGCCTTAAGGAGTTAGGTCTATGTTTCACTAGCCATTGACTTCAAATGGGGTGTTGGGTGGAGTTAAGTCTTTGTATTTCCTGGAAAGCCCACATTTTCTGAACATATTGATATATCAAATACTCATTTTGGCAAAAAATTGAGTTACGTCTTTGTGTCACTGAACCCTCGATGTATGATAATAGGAACTACATCATAATGTCCATACGTGTTAATTATTCCATATATAAACAAGACCTTCGACTGAGGATGTTAAACCAAAACATAAACAAACCAACCAACCAATCATACTATCCACTGTGTTTCTTAGTAATTTAAGAACCAAAATAGAATCTATATGAATATATTCTGTTATATTTGTTAAGCAAATAGACTGTGAATGTCATGTATTTATAAGAAGTGCATAATTTTATATTTGAATGTTATTTCCTGTATGCTTAATGTGAAAAGAGTTTTGGAACCCCTTGTGGAAATCATACTTATCAATAACTAACACCAAAGTTTTGTCATAGAATATATTCACTCACCCACTATACTACCTACATAGGGGTAAGTCGATCCCCCGTCGAGTGAGAGACGGACATCAATGACCCCGGAAACAAACATGGCAGGGGTCACACAGGTAGCATTTGAAGTCGACATCACGCTTCCGTTTACGATGACGCCACCGAAATCACATTGTATGACGTCATTGGAGGTATCAAAACACGGGCCTGAAATGAATACCAACGAGCCACCGAGCATAGGTAACAACTTTGGGTGTAAGGCAAGCTTCTCATCTGTGGAGAGAGATAGAGAGAGAGAGAGGGAGAGAGAGAGAGAGGGAGAGAGAGAGATAGAGAGAGCGAGAGAGAGAGAGAGAGAGGGAGTGAGAGAGAGAGACAGAGAGAGAGAGGGAGGGGGGGGGGGGAGAGACAGAAAGTTCATATATATATATATATACATATATATATATAAGGAGAGAGAGAGAGAGAGGGGTGGAGGGGGAGGGGAGAAAGAGGGAGAAAGAGAGAGGGAGATAACACAAGGGGAAAAAGATGAATAATGGAAATGAAACTGCAGATAAAATGAAGAAAAAAAAGGAATGACAGAGATACTTAAACATCGTGATTAAGCAGTATTACAACCTAAAACAAATGTATGGTACTATGGTAGATCTTTATTCAAAATAGTTCGGAATGATTACTATTGATGAAGATAGTCCTGCCACTCACCATTGCACCCATGGGCGATCAGACTATGAACCCATATAATGAGTTGACATGTCCATATTGTCTGCATTAAACTCGACATCGTTGTCGTCGTGGTCTTCGATCACTCGTGAGGTCATGCAACCATTGGTGTCTCTGAGGTGGAAAATGAGTTCTGAATTGATGTAACTATTTGTTAAAATGATATGTCATAATTATGTGCCATGCATTTAAGTTTCTTTTATGTCAATTTATTCTGAGCGTCTATTTTTGCAGGCGTCATTCTAATTTAAAACTACACTGACACCGTTGCCCCATGAAATTGATATCATTTTTTTTTTAATTGCATGAAATAATTGTGACAAATTGTTTATTCTTGATATATGAAGTATATAGCTTGTCAAAATTTTAAAAATCAACCTAAAGATTTATAGAGATTGATCTGTAAAAGTTCTAAGAAGTTATAAACTTCATCCCGCAAGAATAAAGAACACTGTCACAATGAGAGAGAGGGAGGGAGAGAGAGAGAGAGAGAGAGAGAGAGAGGGAGAGAGATAGAGAGAGAGAGAGAGAGAGAGAGGGAAAGAGAGAGAGAGAGAGAGAGGGGAGAGAGAGGTAGGTAGTTCACATGTACAGTCAAACCTGTCTTAGTGGCCGCGCCTATCTATTAAGACCACCTGTCTATAGTGGTCACTTATATTGCCTCCCTCTAGAACGAAATATGTGCTGAACAACCTGTCTATAAACAAATTGGATTTTTGCAACTCTCGCATGGAGATAAAGAACAGTTATGGTCATGCGATTGCATTGTGAAAGAAACGTTGTGGAATCGATCAGAAAAGGTTGATCATCTAGCATATAAGTATTGGTGTGTACTGCAAGGTTCTGGAATCATCAAAATGATAAGAAATTTGGCCCAGTCTTCGTAAAGTTACAAGCACTGTACACAGAAAGATGTATATGGGACAAAACAAATGGTGTCGGGGCTACTAACCTTGATTTCCTTATCTTTCTATGCTCAATATTCAGCTGGTATACATTTTCTTCCAAAATTGTTTGGCACATGACATGTATTTGTAATCTTGAACATTCAGTGTAAGTTTCGTTAGATTCTGTGAGAATTCATTTTTTTTTTTTTTTTTTTTACCAGAACTCAAGTTTATCTTTAACGTGGTAGTCCAGAATACGATCTATGAATTTTCATGTGATTCAACGTCAATAACTTTATACCGGCGGCTTTCCAGTGGTCTCTTTTGAATCACGGAAGTTTAAGCCCTTCTTCATATAGGAGGCTATTTATATTTGTATAGATCTAACACAAGATAGACAAGACAAGTTCTCTAATATGTAGCACGGCTACATTTTATTGGCCTATTAAAATAATATCATATAGTCTAACACAAATAACGTTTCGATAATATTAGATACTTACCTAAGATCCGTTTGCTGGTGTATGAGTGTATGAAGTGTACACTTGACGAGAAGAATATTTCAATCGATTTCCTGCAAGAAAATACTTCCCAGTAGTTACCAAAAAAGAAGAAGAAGTTTCTCAACTAACGAAGTGAAAGTAATATAATTAAGTAATTATAAGTCATGCTAATGATAATGAATGTAGTTTCAATATAAACAATTAATAGTGAGGATAGGATGCTTTCTCAAATAGATAAAGCATTTGTGCATGTTTGGTGTAATGGAGAGGATAAGAGAGAGGGGGTGGATGGGTGAAGAGAGATGGAGAGAGAGAGAGAGAGAGAGGAAGAAAGGGAGAGAGAGAGAGGAAGAGAGAGAGGAAGAAGACTCGGGGAGAGAGAGAGAGAGAGAGAGATTGTGTGTGTGTGTGTGTGTGTGTGTGTGTGTGAGAGAGAGAGAGAGAGAGAGAGAGGGGTAGAGAGAGAGAACTGTGAGAGAAATGTGGATGACGAACAGAGAAGGAACAATGAGTGAGATAATGAAAGGGGGGGGGGGGGTAGGAATAGATGAGAGAAAATACGGATGTGTTATGACAAAGGTCATGAAAAAGACTAGTTAATGAGAAAGTTAGAGAGAGAGAGCGGGAGAGAGAGAGAGAGAGAGAGAGAGAGATGGAGTAAGCTCTCTAAATCCCCTTGTTGCCATTTGGATCACGCCCCCCTCTCCTTTGTCTTGCCATTCTTTGAACTATATATCACGCACGTTATCACGAATCGTCTGTATTAACATAATTAATAAGGGTCGATTGATTGACCCATCACTCGATTTAATTGCTCTCGAAATGAAAGTGAAACAACTTAAGCCATTTTTTGATGAATGAATGTATATTTCAAGTTCAGTAGGGCAATCATTGGTCTGTAAACACAAATCAGAGAGTTTGTGGGAAACCATGGAAGTTGTCGTGTTTAATACCATCTGTTTAATTCACTATAAAAAAAAAACGAGAAAAAACCCACCGTAAATCATCTTTCCAGACAAAACAGCTGAACAGTCCACAAACAATATACACATTATGCTTTCTCATGTTGAGCTTATTACCATTGCTATCATAATAACATTCGGTTGCACCATAATATTCTGAAGTAAATGTATTACTCCAAAAACGTTTGTTTTTGCACATGAGCCACAATGAACAAGATGAAACTGATACATAACGGCGAACCCGGTGTAAAAATCGGAAGATACGCCCCCCCCCCCTCCCCCTATTGAAGGCGCATTTTCCAAAACATTGCAGCTCATGAATATTTCGCTCCATGCATGCGTCAAGGGAGGATTCCGCTCTCCCGCCTCATACCAGAGATGAAGATGGATACTTATTAAAAAGGGAACGGAACAGGCCAGGGGGGTGTTTCATAAAGAGTCTCTCTTAAAAGTCTCTCTTAGTGTAAATCATGGAAAGTCTCTCTTAAGCTACCAGAGACTCCCGTGAAAATTTATTTTCCGTTTCATAAAGATCTTCGAAGACTCTCCTAGCGTAAGAGTGACTTTATGTAAATAAAAAATTTGCATATCATTTGCATACGTCAACAGCGAATAAAACTTCACTTCCCGCCGCTGCAAGACAGTGCAATCTTTTGGGTAAGTGGACTTTAAAATGTTATATAATTTCGTCTGTATTTCTGTGTAAAGTGTAAATGACCAGTATTCGAGTCCCTGTTATACACTAGTAATGATTTATCATGTACATTTTTTAGAGAATTATAGCAAACTGTATCATTAAATCATGTTTTGACCTCATTATTTTTGCCGGCCGATATCGTCTGCAAAATTTGCTCGGTCCCAAGTGTGTCTTTTGGTGTGTGGCCTTAAGGCTAAAAAATCGGCAGTAGGGTCAACACTAAATTCCCCCTCGACATCGTACCGTCTATTAACAGAATCATTATCCTAATCCTCGGCACATAAATCTCTCATGCAAGGCCTTGACAGTATTTTTTATAGCTTTATTGGTTTGTCAAGGCCTTGAAGCAGCACTTTTCTTGGAAGAAGAAGAGCTAGAGCAATTGGAACATGCGCCTGAGCTGAGCTGGCTGAGTTGAGCTTAACTAGACTAGTCAAGCATATTGACCATTATAATTATTCTAGGTTAGATATGTTTGAGCTCTTTCGTTTGTTACTCGTTCCTCTGATTTGGGTAGGGTCGGCTCCTCTCTAATTTAGAGACAGAAGCCGACCATAAAATGGCATAGGGTCTAGGGCAGATTAGCTCTGCAAACTCGGTGGCACGGATCTGACTACCAAACTTATGCCCAAATAGGGTCTACTTGATTTTATCGGATGCATTTATACTCCAATATTAAGCCTAGCTAGGCTAAACGACATCGGCTCCACTTACAATACCAACTTGCACTGTATAATCCGTTTAACGGTCCCTTTTCACGAAATTACCGGTATGGGTCAAAATCGACATCCATGTTGAAAATCTTGCAGCCGTATTTTAAACTCTCACTGTGCATGACGTCGTCTAAATCTCATCCCTTCTAGTCTACGCGCAAGGCAAAATGATTATGAAGGAAAAACTGATAACGTCATTACGAATTTGTAGCTCGTGCACAGCTTTTCCTTCATTATCATTTTGAGGGATGAGATTTAGATGACGTCATGCGCAGTGAGAGTTTAAAATACGGCTGCAAGATTTTCAACATGGATGTCTATTTTGATTAAAAACACATATGGTCCCACAACTTTGATCATTTTATCTCTGTCACAGTTTCAATTTTATGTCACTTCGACTCGGTCCAAGTAGATAGAAAGACCATAGGTCTAAATTTAAAAAATGATTTTCAATTATTTAAAAAATATTTATATCCTTTTCTTTTTCTTTCAAATAAAACAAAATCTAGGTGGAGAAAAGAAACGGGGATGCCCATGCCGGTGAGTAGGAAGCATCGACATTGAGGGCTCCGAAAGGACTGGAGAAGAGTGTAAGCGCAAATGGCAGAAGATTGAATCAAAGGCTCCGAGAGTACGAGCCTCAAGTTAACAGGTAATTTTGTTGCAATTAATCTTGTCGTATTATAAAGTTACAATCCATTAGCGATATTAATTATGTTTTGAGATGAATAGTAATTAGCATGAAACCAAAAGTCAATAATTTATAAAGTGCAGTTGAATGGGCAAAGTAGTGATTTCCTGCAAAGAACATGGAATGTGTATTTATGACCATGTAAAGATTACCTGATTACTATTTCTTGGGAGTCAGTAAGGGGTCAAAAGTCACAGGTCAATTTAAATATGCCAAACTATCTTGTAACCATGATAATGTCAGATCGCTAAAGGCATCTTAATCAAGTTTATTTCAGGGATAGGAAGAGAACTTCCTCCTATATTCCAGCAGTGCCAAAAAGCATCTTTATCTTTATGCCTCCGATCTGAAACTTGTGCAGCATTATGTTTTCTGGTTGTCAGTTCATCTATTTGTTCAAACATCATTGGTTTTAAACTCGTGTTGTGCCCTTTAATTTCATTCTAAGCACCTGTGTATAAGCAAAACAGCAAAAAACAGAATTCAACCAAGCTATCAATTTGTGGGTATATGTATTTTGTAAATGTTATGATTTCCCCCCATATATATCTGAAGGAGGTAGACCAGCAACACCAATGTCTTTCATTGACTCCCTAGTCCTCGAGATGCTGGATACAGAGGTTGTAACTTGTTGACGGCATCTAGAGCTCACAGAGGCAGGATTTGTAAGCATACATATTCAATTTTGAAGTCATACCTGATTAAAAAATATTCATGGCCAGTTTTCTAGTTAGTTTAAGAAGCTGGGAATTCTAAGAGGTCATTGTGACATTTGTGATATAAGTAGATCATACATACATACATAGCCATACAAAGGAAACGCAAGCAGAATACTTAAAAAGTTATGGGAAAAACTGAAATGTTTGGGTTTAGTCTTTAGTATTTTTCAGTTTTTTAATGTAATTTTATTAAAATAATCCATAACATGGTTATGAATCAGTATAATTGTGGGACTAAATCTTAAAAGTTATGATGATTTAAAAAAAAGCTGTTTTTATCTCTGTTTACTTTCCTGTGTCACATATTATTGTAGGCAGCTGAGATGTCCATCACATTTTTATATTTGAGTAAACATGAATCAATGTCAACATAGCATAAGTTCATCGTGTCAAATCAAATCCATTTAAACTCAGTTTTGCCATGAAGAACCATAATATTTATAGGGACATATAGGAACAACAATTTTGCATCTTGTTCCTGTACCTGTTTTTGTAATTACTGTGAGATTTAGTGCCGGTCATTATAGCATGACCTACAAAAGGATGGATGCAGTTCCTGACAAATTTAGGGCAGAAGTGGTAGATTCCCGCTCACACCCAAGCCAAGCTAACGTGTAGTTGCTCGTTACGAATCTTTTAGATATTGATCTGCATAAATGAATTTGTTTTACATACCCAATTTATACATATTTTTTTACATAGTTGATTTTATCTCGACAAAGTTTGTTAGATGATAACTCTTTTTTTTTTAAATCTCTTTTAATTTAAAGGACATTGAGGAGGATAATGCTGCTACCAGCATGCTGGAGGACGTCATTGGAGGTGTAGAGGAAGAGGAAGGGGCCTGGATGAAGGAGAGGCAGTAGAGAATCTAGAAGAGAAGGAGGAGGGGGGGGGGGGGGGGGGGGGGGGGGGGAGACGCTGCACAAGTTGTGAAGCGTATTTGTACAGCCGAGGCTTGTTGAAGTGGGGGAAGAGCGGAATTTGAGCTTGCAGGATATCCTGCATGTGCTCCAGGAGCATTTGTATTTTTAAATTGTTTTTCATTGTTCTTATTATTTGTAAAGGATTTTGAAAACAAATGTTTTCTATGACGCAAGATCAAATTTGGCTCTTCCTTCACTTCGACAAGCCTCCTGTTTTACCAATACAAAAATTGAATGTTGAGTACATTTAAAAAATGATTTTAATTCCCTCGGCAACATTCGTCTTCATACACAATCGTTTCAAAATAATTTTGCAGTAATGAGTTTTAATGACATCCGCTTTAACCTCAGTATACAATTTGAGTGCAATGCCTTTCCAATTTTGAGGGAAATTCCTTGATAGAAGTTCTTTGCCATAAGAGTAAACTTGATGAAATTTTTGAGCCAAAGACAAGTAGATTGTAAATGAGAAGCGAGGAGATTTCTTTTTTTTGTGTGGTCACTTTGCTCTTAATATTTGAACAGGGTTTTTCTAATGCCAAAGAGGTAGCCTTGGATTATCATCTAATTGGGGAAAGGGTGTTTAAAAATGAGGCCCACTACCTGTAATGGTTTCCCTGTTGCAGGCAAAAACAAATTCTATAGATCATGAGTTACACCACTTTGTATTTTCTGTCTGCTAAAGAGACACAGCACCTTTAAAGTTGGTAGCCCTCATTTGCACACCCTCCCCAAAATATAATATTGCATGGGTAAAGCTCTTTGGCATGAGAATACACGATACACTCCATGGAATTTGATGAAAGGAATGCAAATGAGAGCTACTGCCTTGAAGAGGAGTTTTTAGTTGGTAGCCATTAACTACGTGTTAACTTTATATTAAAATGAGCTGTGAAGGACACATTAGCATTTGTACACATCAATATCCTGCTTCTTGTAATGGCCAGCATTAAAGTGATTCAGTCTGTACTCGGCACAAAACGACTGTCCAGTACAAGGGTCTGAAATATCAGACTATTTTGTAGTTGTTATTTTTCCTTCTCCACTTGTAGATATAACTCCACCTTGAGGCTAGTATCAATTCTAAACTTTTAAGAGGCGATTTTAGTTGGTATTGCTCTTCAAACCATAAGATTTGCACCATACTTTCAGAGCAGTTTTTAGATGCTATTACCTCTTGTTTACAATCTGATTTACACACAATTATATTTTCAGCCTACAAAAGGGACAGTTACACTGTAGGTCATTATCAAGCAAAATAAACACTAAGATAATTTAAAATAAATACAAAAATTGTGTGGAATTATTTAAAAGTTTTTCCTGTGCATTTACTGATGAGATGTACAACTTTAATATTTGACAAAGTACATAAATACTTTAGTACATTGTGTTGATTTACCTGTGGACTTGCTGTTTTACTGACATTTTGATGCAATAATCCTTGTTGGAATTTACATTATTGAATGTTTATTTTTTTTTATTATGTTTGCTTCAATATAAAAATGTATATTTATTTGTTCTTCTTTTCATTCAGATATTTTAAATTAAAATAAGATATTTCATTGTGACATTTGTTACTTATATACACCATTGTTTATTTTAATACCAACGTAAATTATTCTCAGTTGAGTTATATTTACTGCCTTAATGTGCTATAAATATCTGAAATATATCTGTTACATCCATTCGAATTACAAGTGTACTGCCTTCAATTTTTTTTCTTGAAATTTAAGTAGTAATAAATAATATGTGAAAGATATGTGAAGACTTTGAATACTTATGAGAGGTAAAAGTCTCTCGTAACTTTATGAGAGACTTTTGACTTAAGAGAGACTTTTATGTGTAGACTTTGCTTTATGAAACGGAAAAGTCTCTCATAACTAAAGTCTCTCATAAGTAGGACACTTAGGAGAGACTTTGGGGTTTATGTCTAGACATAAATTCTTTATGAAACACCCCCCAGGGCACTTATATCAGAAGGGAAACTTAGGGGCTGGTGTCAATAAAGTAAAAGGTTCACTTTTTTATCAGAAAAGGCCGGGCACTAATAAAAGGGGAATGGGGCATGTATCACAAAGAAATAGGGGGTACTTGTCAAAGTGAAAGGGGCACTTTGCATATTTGAATCGGGGAAATAATCAGAGGTTGATAAGTGAATTTATGCGAAGGGGCACTAAAAAGAAAGAAATAGTAGTGCTCTCCGCCCCCCCCCCCCTAAAGCCCGAAATTACTCAAAATGTAATCAAATAATAATAAGCACATGCTTGCACTGCTAAAAAAAAATGAATCATTTGTGAGGTCTAGTAAATCAGACTATTTAAGTACACGTGTGCTCGAATGATGACGTATTAAGTTTCTATAAATAGCACATTATTAATGCAGGCTTTTGATCGCACCTTTTGTTTATTTACTTGATGGCTTGACGTAGGTCTGGTCAGCAAATTGCATCAGAAAGGCTGACTGAAATGCTTGGTCTCTACGTGTACCTTTTCAATATTTAAATTAGTATAACTTTGAAATTTGAGCTGAGCTGACCGGACTGTGCTGTTACATTACATGAATTGAATGGGGGGTAAGTTCTGCATCTGGGTGTCACTCCAGCAGCTGCTGCCCGCCCGAGCGCTGGCTCGCCTAGGCCTAGGCCAGCCCGGCGGGCGTTCCGAGGCTACCCGTTAGAGGTCAGCTAAAGTCTGGTGCGAATTTGGGCACAGCTCAGAAGCATGCAGTATGCAGCATGCAGCATAGTTCAGAATCTGGCCTATTTAATTTTGATCTCCACCACACCACGCTACCTCCCCCTACTTACTTGCTACCAGCCGATCATGATGTGATCATTAAATCAGGCTGGGCTGGTGCCTGGTGAACATAAATATTAAAAAGCCACAATTAGACTACTTTGACGACTTGAATCAAGTGTGTAGACTCTAGGGAATTACAAAGGATCGGGCAGATTCTGGACTATATGCAGCAGTGTTCTTGCCTTAGACGTACCCTGAGTCCTGACTATCATGAGTTTGACAGTGTGTGTGTGTGTGTGTAATTGGGTTTTTCACAGACGTGTATCAATCAGATATGACTATTTAAGTCTCTGTCTGCATGGGGACCGACTTTTAACGAAATAACGTCACCATCCGAAAGATATGACTCGGTTTCGAACCTGCGTCCTCGGCTGAATCAGTTTGTAACTTCCATTATTAGCTGGATTACAGGCGCTCACCACAATGCACCGTTACTTTATATTATATAAACTCTACTTAGATCTATATCAAATTTTTTAGGACCGTGGGAGCTATTGAGGAGGGTCTATAGATTAGTATACTTAGAGGTCTATACTAAAACTTATACCGTAGATCTATTCACAATAATTCAGTCTTCTTTCTTAATTGTTAATTAATTAATATCTGATTGTGAAGTAAAATATGTAATCTAATTGTGTTAGTGTTACCATGGTAACCAGGCCAGGTTCCTGTTACTTAGCTTAAAAAATGAGCTAATATGTTAAAAATTATAATTCTTTAATAACTTAATGGATCATGGATGGGAAAATCTATCGGGTTCTTGTAGAACTAGGACTCGGAGAGTGATTCGGCAGAGTCGGATGTACTCAGAGGAGAATAATGATAAGAATGAGCTTATTTTTTCGGGTTAGACTCTTACGTGTAAGTGATTAATCAGGAAAGATGTTGATGAAAGTAAACAGATATATGTTTCTGGTGCTAAGTGTGTGTGAGGGCTCTCTGTAAAGGGAGCAAGGTGAAAACCTTGTAGCAGTTAAAAGCTGCGATGTTGAATATCAGTTCAGTCATTTAACTCAAAATCAGTCTACTTCATTTGGGATATGTTCCTCTGAGACTTCATATTTCTTCACCAAATCCATCTCGGAGGAGAGGCAAAATATGTTTTAAAAACTCCCCCAAGCAAACAGATTTATTGGTGTAGTTAATCTAGTTATAAGTATACTAGACAGGAAATGAGAAAAATCCATCATGTTGGACGTTTTCAGTTTTGCAGGGACAACTTAGTCGTATAGGAGCATGCCCCCTAATGTTAGACTGATTTTTTTCAGTGTATAAATTGGCTAATTGAACATCCTTTTTAATTTCTTTGTACAGCTGTCTTGTTTCAGAAGTCATAGAAAAGTACCACAAAAGCCTCTATAAAGTACCAGGTGGGGGATCTGTACTGCAACTTAAGAAGAAGAAGAGATCTTCACGAGTTTATTTGAAGGAATCAAGACATCATGGGTCAAAAGTCAAGAGATCTGGACAATCTCGTCTCTGGAATGGACGACATCACACTCTTCGTCATCAAAATCATATTTGTTGTCATCGTCATCTCCATCACCCATGCGCTATACACCTGGTGTACCAAAGGCAATAAGTCCAGCAAGACCACACGATCTGCATCATCAACAGGTGCACCAAAGGCCACGCCCAAAGCTTCGAGCACAGCCTCGTCGCCCCAAGCCTCGGCTCCTCCAGAGCCACCAGCTTATGACAGCATCTACCCAGACCTGAGTAAAGAGCTGAATGCAGCTAAGAAATCAAGCGGAGGAGGAGGATTGTTTTCCTGGCTCTTTGGATCAGGAGGTGGTGATGGAGCTCGGGATTTGGTGTTTCAGAGGATTGCTGACCAGTTTTATTCCGTTGATGAAGTCAGCAATGCTATCCGACAATCGGGACTAGAATCAAGTAACCTCTTATTCGGTAAGCATGAATTACTGGAAACACTCAAACAATTGAAAGAGAATGAGGCCTAAATTGCCCTTTAGCTGCCAAAACATGGGCCGGTTGGTTGGAAATCTTTTTTTTCTCCCTCTTTGGGCTGATATTTCTCATTTTTGAATACTTTTATATTTTTGTTCTCTAAAAAACAGAAAAAAAATGAAAAAATAAAAGGCAGACCGTAGATTTCAAGATTTTTGGGTAGGTCGCAAAGGGCAATACAACATCTTTTTTTAAGGCCTGATTGTAATACCATTGAAAAAAAAAATTCCTGATAATGATGAAACTGAAATTGGAACATTTATATACATTTCGTAGCAAGATGATTAAATAGAAAGGAATGTAGATGTTTAGCATGCAAGAATTAGAGGAGGAGAAAAACATAAATAAGAGGGGGGGGGGGGGGGGCTAACCAATTAGATATGCTAAGTTCTAGAAAGTTGGGGATGGAGGGAGAGAGAGAGAGGGGGGATGAGAGAGAAAGAGAGAGGAGAGAGAGAGAGAGAGAGAGAGAGAGAGAGAGATGGGAGAAGAAGAGGAACACTCTTTTTATCATGTTATTGCTATCGAATGAATACTGACCTCTCAATGTCCCTAGGAATTCCCAAATATAAACCCTATTCTCTTGATTGTTTTAAGGTGTTGATTTCACTAAGAGCAACCTACACACTGGCATGCAGACATATGGTGGAAGGAGTCTACACAGAATCCAGCCTGGAGAAATGAATCCTTATCAACAGGTTTGTAAGAATATAGCACTATCATGATAAGGTCTGGTAATGAAAACTTATTCTGGTAGAAGCTAGGTACAGTCACTACAGTACAGTGCCATTCAGAATGGGTTGTATGTTAGACATGAATCCATGTAACGGTATTATTGAAATGTGTATTTTCATGAACTTGATGAAAACTGGAAGTAAATATGGGTATTATCGTGATTCAGGATCACCATACATTTAGTTTTGAATAATGATACATCCAAACAATTATTGCACATTTGTATGATTTTGTTTTTTTATTGTATTATTGCACACATGTATGATTTTGATGTTTTCAACAATCTTGTAGTCATCAGATAAGCAGGAGCAATTGTGGTAATTCTAGCCAGTATCCAGTGCCATTTTGTAATTTTGATCAAGTGTTTTATCCTTTTGATTAACTGATGGCCAGTGTGCTATACACCTGTGATTTTCCATGTTGAGCGAATAATGTAAATAAGCACTGGAATAGAGAGACCTCATCATTAAAAACACCTCTTTGATAGAAATATAATAGTTTGATTCTTTTCTGTTTTGACAGGTGATATCCATCATAGGCCGTACCTTAGCTTCTTTTGACGATGATGGTCTTATTCCTGCCTTTGGTTTTGGCGACATATCAACCCAGGATAAGAGAGTATTTCCATTTAGGTGAGTAGCCTTGCATCCCCAGGAGGGGGGGGGGGGGGGGGGGGGGGGGGGGGGGGGGGAGGAGGAGGGGTGTTTCACAAAGTTTCTAAGTTAAACTTAGCTTTAAAGATGAAGTTGAGTTCTGGTCATGCAATTGCATTGTGAAAGAAACGGTGTGGAATCGATCAGAAAAGGTTGATCATCTAGTATATAAGTATTGGTGTATACTGCAAGGTTCTGGAATCATCAAAATATTAGGAAATTTGGCCCAGTCTTGGTAAATTTACAAGCACTGTACACAAAAAGATGTATATGGGGCTACACGAACATGTGGCATAAAAATCTGTTCCGATTTTTATGTTGTTACATGCCATATTTAGAATATGAAAGCATTTGAAGAGCCATGCTTTTCAGGGGAAATTTGTTATCTAATGTTCTTCCACACTTGCATAATAACAAAAATAACGCTCACAATTAATTTTTCACCTCTTCCCAGAACTCAACCTTCTCTTTAAGTTTGACTTTAAACTATGGAAAGCCATTAGCATCTTTGAAAACATTATGTAAAAGGCATAACATGTTGATTCAAATCATTTGTATTTTCTATTATCAAGGGGATTTCATGGTCTTGATGTGGAATTTATGAAAAGTCTAAAATACTAGAATTTTGGCTTTTGAATATATTTTATTTTAAGGCTACAAATGGCTCTCCATAATGTTTAAGCCCAACTTAGAGTAAGTTTGACGTAGGATATTTGTGAAACACCCCACAGCTCCCGGATTCTCTTACCCTCAATAATCAAAACTAGATCAACGATGAACCCAATAAAAAAACGATCATGTTGATTGAAATCGATGAAATACAGGACCTTTGTAGGGGACATTGATTGTTTGTTTTTGATCACTGCCCTTCACTTTGTATCTAGATGGTGATGACATAGTTGAGGATATTAGTGTACTCCATTATCGATAAAACACACACACACACACACTCACAAAATATATTTCATGCCACTCCAGACTACTCACTATTGCATAAAAATCCAAGTTGTTTCCCTTCTTGATTTGAAAAACAGAAAGCCAGAAAAACTGTCCAACATTGAGCATATTTTTATTCTGCATATTTATCAGTCATATATATATATATATATATATATATACACAAGAAGAAGCACCTTCAGCCATATCCATGTGTTTTTATTGTACATTGCAGACAGAGACATTTACACCTGGGCCTACAGAATGTAACTCTGATCAACCTAAAATTCCAAACTCCATAGTCTACATTTGCCATTCATGGAATTCCCCATACAAAAAATATGATTATTTTACACTTTACGTTATATCTCATTTCTAAACTTTCTTCAATCAGGCAAGATGGCATCTGTCATGGTTTCCAAGACGTGTTGGATTGTTACTCAAGGATTGCAGCTAATATTCAGATGAGTGGACCAACCAATTTTGCACCCGTCATCAGACAGGCTGTTGAAATCGTTAAGAAGACACAATCTGTAAGATTTGATCCATTCCTTTGTGTAACATTTCTTTTTCCATGATAATTTGTTCTTTTTTTGTTTCTTTGTTTTACCTGGCTGCTAAGAAAGCATGTGTATTCTTGTAAGTAAGCAACCATGGGACCAGCCAGGGTATGGCTAGAAGTCTAGAACATATCTAAATTCATGGAGCGGATTGAGTTTGGAGACGTCAGGCAAATTTACATGCAATATATGGTAGAAATTGTAGAACAAGAATTAATAGTGTCTTCTCCAATATTATCTAATTTACATAATTTGGTTTAAAAATTTGGACTAGTGTTAAGAAATTTTTTCAGAAAGCAATCATAAAAGTGTCTCAAATTTTCAAATTTGATGACATGGCTCAAAAGTCCCATTTGTGGATAGTTGTGGACTTGATAATGAAAGGTTTGAATAGGATTGAATGTCACCCTAAATAGCAAAATGTTGTAACTTCTTTTTAGATGCTGATTTCAGCATTTTTTGCTCCTCTAAGAAGTTGTCAACTGTTGCCAACTAAAATAAAAACTCATTTTACTGCAATTCATTTGTTCTTGCCCACCTTTTACTTTGTAAATGTTTAAAGATAAACTCCAGTACTGGTAAAAAATTAAAAAAAATTCTCACAGAATCAAACGAAACTTACACTGAATGTTCAAGATTACAAATAAATGACATGTGCCAAACAATTTTGGAAGAAAATGTATACTGGCTGAGTAATGAGCATAGAAAGACAAGGAAATCAAGGTAGTACTAGCCCCGACACCATGTGTGTTGTCCCATATATAACTTTCTATGTGAGTGCTTGTTACTTTACCATGACTCGGTCAAATTTATTATGATTTTGATGACTCCGGAACCTTGCAGTGCACACCAATACTTACATGCTACATGATCAACTGTTTCTGATCCTTTCCACACCTTTTCTTTCACAATGCAATCGCGTTACCAGTACTAAAGTTTATCTTTAATGTTGATAAAGGTACTAAATCTATCACATACAGTACTATTCATTGTAACTAAAAGCCCACCCTTTTCCTCTCTCTAATCTTCCTCATTTAGCAGTACCACATCCTGATCATCGTAGCAGACGGTCAGGTGAACAGTGAGAGACAGACAAGAGAAGCGATCGTTGAAGCATCTCAATACCCTCTCTCTATCCTCATGGTGGGCGTAGGAGATGGACCCTGGGACATGATGAAGGAATTTGACGACAACCTGCCAAGAAGGAAGTTTGATAATTTTCAGTTTGTGGATTTCTTCCGGGTCATAGCGGGACGAGAGAATGCCGAGGCAGCGTTTGCACTGAACGCTCTCATGGAAATACCGGATCAGTACAAGCTCATTCGGAAATTAGGACTGTTGGATTTCTAGAACACTAACACAACTAGTGAACCCTCTCTCTCTCTCTGTACATACTGGCAGAGATGCATGGCAATAATCTATTAATTGAACACACTCATGGAAATACTGGATCAGTGTAAACTCATTCAGAAATTAGGACTGTTGGATTTCTAGAACACTAACACAACTAGTGAACCCTCTCTCTCTCTCTCTGTATATACCGGCAGCGATGCATGGCAAAAATCTATTAATTGAACACACTCATGGAAATACTGGATCAGTGTAAACTCATTCAGAAATTAGGACTGTTGGATTTCTAGAACACTAACACAACTAGTGAACCCTCTCTCTCTCTCTCTGTACATACTGGCAGAGATGCATGGCAATAATCTATAAATTGAATACACTCATGGAAATACTGGATCAGTGCAAACTTATTCGGAAATTAGGACTGTTGGATTTCTAGAACACTAACCGGAGTTGTGAACCCTCTCTCTCTCTCTCTCTGTATATACCGGCAGCGATGCATGGCAAAAATCTATTAATTGAACACACTCATGGAAATACTGGATCAGTGTAAACTCATTCAGAAATTAGGACTGTTGGATTTCTAGAACACTAACACAACTAGTGAACCCTCTCTCTCTCTCTCTGTACATACTGGCAGAGATGCATGGCAATAATCTATAAATTGAATACACTCATGGAAATACTGGATCAGTGCAAACTTATTCGGAAATTAGGACTGTTGGATTTCTAGAACACTAACCGGAGTTGCGAACCCTCTCTCTCTCTTTCTGTATATACTGGCAGCGATGCATGGCAATAATCTATTAATTGAACACACTCATGGAAATACTGGATCAGTGTAAGCTCATTCAGAAATTAGGACTGTTGGATTTCTAGAACACTAACACAACTAGTAAACCCTCTCTCTCTCTCTATGTACATACTGGCAGAGATGCATGGCAATAATCTATTAATTGAACACACTCATGGAAATACTGGATTAGTGTAAGCTCATTCAGAAATTAGGACTGTTGGATTTCTAGAACACTAACACAACTGGTGAACCCTCTCTCTCTCTCTCTGTACATACTGGCAGAGATGCATGGCAATAATCTATTAATTGAACACACTCATGGAAATGCTGGATCAGTGCAAACTTATTCGGAAATTAGGACTGTTGGATTTCTAGAACACTAACCGGAGTTGCGAACCCTCTCTCTCTCTTTCTGTATATACTGGCAGCGATGCATGGCAATAATCTATTAATTGAACACACTCATGGAAATACTGGATCAGTGTAAGCTCATTCAGAAATTAGGACTGTTGGATTTCTAGAACACTAACACAACTAGTGAACCCTCTCTCTCTCTCTATGTACATACTGGCAGAGATGCATGGCAATAATCTATTAATTGAACACACTCATGGAAATACTGGATTAGTGTAAGCTCATTCGGAAATTAGGACTGTTGGATTTCTAGAACACTAACACAACTGGTGAACCCTCTCTCTCTCTCTCTGTACATACTGGCAGAGATGCATGGCAATAATCTATAAATTGAATACACTCATGGAAATACTGGATCAGTGCAAACTTATTCGGAAATTAGGACTGTTGGATTTCTAGAACACTAACAGGAGTTGCGAACTCTCTCTCTGCATATACCGGCAGCGAGGCATGGCAATAATCTATAAATTGAATACACTCGTGGAAATACTGTATCAGTGTACTGTTGGATTTCTAAAACACCAACAGGAGTAGCAAAGTCTCTCTGTATAGACCGTCAGTGATGCATGCCATGGCAAGAGACTTCACGTTCAATGCACTTGTGGAAATTCCAGATCAGTACAAGCTCATTCGGACTTTAAGACTGTTGGATTTATAGGATGAGAATGCCAACTCGGTTTCTATAGACTGTCAGATTTGTGTTACAAGTGACATTTGATCTATTTGCTAACTTGCTGTAATTCACAAGCAAAGGAACAAAAGAGAGTTGTCCATTATTATGAAGAGATGATAGAACAGAATTAAACAAATTCAGACTGCAATGATATCGGGGACTCTTGATAACTTGAATTTACAGTAACATCTTTGTTACATATACAGAGAGAGAAATAATATTCAAATTTATGTTTATTAGCCATGGTACCTTGCACTTTTTATGCAGTAAATATGACAATATTTTTTTAAGTATTAGAAGCCTTTGAAACTTCAATAGGTTTATTAATTAAATAATGCATAAATATTGTTACTTTTATAATATCCTTATAAGTTATCTTCAGAAAATATTTTCACATTACTTCCACTGCAACTTTGCAATTGCATTTACAAGTTTGCATTCCTCTTTTTACGTCTTATATCCAGATTGAACATTTTATTCATACATTTCATTGAAATATGTTTTATGAGGATTATGAACAAATGCACAATACTACAAATGAAAAAATTCAAATATATATGTAAGTACATTGATTTTCAAAGCCAGGTGTCAACTCCTCCTGTGCAGAATATTGAAAAAATGTTACAATATAAATTAACGAAATTAATTTGGTCACAACATGAAATGTCACTGTGATTTGATATTTGTACTCAGGTAATGTTTGCATGATGAAGAGATCAACAAATGACAGTAATAATTGGCAATACCAAGTAATTACTGGAATAACTATTAGGTGCTGTACATGTATGATGTGTTCATTCTGAAGTTTGAGAAGCTATTGTTTATTGTGTGGTACCGTCAAACTGTTAACTGTAGTAAATACATTACTCTTTTCCCTTAATACTTCTTCCTAATTATATGATTTGAACTACCTAATTGAATGAGTTTGGATGACTTTATCTACAACTGTTTTTAATTGCACTAAAATCAATGTATAAGAAGTAGCCTTCCTCACATATTTTTTCCAATTTGAGGTCACAGGTTTTGCATTTCTGCATTCAGGTATTTAAACCAACCCCCTGTCTCATTTTTAATGCATGCTAGCTTATCTAGACTTCGGAATACTTTGTAAGGTATATTTCTGTAATAGTTCTTGTGTAGTTATAGTGTAAAATGAACATTACATTAAATTCATTACAATCTCGTTGCCCTATAAATATTTATACTTTTACACTAATACTGATACTTATATTTTTACTTTTGTATATAACTGTGTTTCTGTAATTCTAATGCAAATGCAGAAATAAAATTCAATGCAATTCATTTCAATTTATAAAAGTCCATTTCCTCTTCAGTGTTTGGAATGTAGAATGAGTTCCTCTCCCATAGAGTAATGTCCGGTCTGGTCTACACAATATTGTTATTGTTACTTTGTCTTTTGAGTAGCAGGATTGCTTGTCTTAGTTCGTGTTGGTGCTTTGGTTCCTTTGGCCTCAAGGGTTGGTCTCTTTCGATGGTGTTTCTTCTCCAGCTTTCTCTCAACCGGTGGAATACTGGCCACTTTCTCCGATCTGTCCAACGATGCTCTCCACAACGCTCTCTGGAATACCAACCCATCGTTGCCACCGTGAGTTATAGGCGGCAAGAACAGATCTTCAGAGGCCTTCTTAGTCTTATGCTTCTTTTCATTCCATGGAAACCCGTCATGTGCTGGTTTCCGGAATATCAAAGGAAGCTTGAAGTTCCGCAGAATATTATCGGCGTTGTAGTTTCCGAAATCTTTCATGCGGCATCGCTGTGTGACGTTGAATCGTAGATGCCGATCTTGAATGGGCAGTGACGCCGAACCCGCAACCGTTGACGATCTTGGATTCCATTCTGTGTTGGTATTCCGTGCGCTGTGAGACGGTGGCGTGTGTCCCTTTGGGTTGATAGGAGGATGGATCGGGAGTGGATTCAGGCGGATGGTGAGAAGTGAACCGCTGGATATCTGTTCACCGGCTTGGTCCACAGTTTCTTTGCATGGTGTCTTCCAATGGGTTATACCCATGCGCTTTGGCCTGGCATGCATGATGTGGTAATCATCACCAGCTAAGGGTATGATGCTGCTATTGCTCTTGGGCTTACATGGTGAAATGCAAGCCTTAATCTGCAATAACAAGAAACAAAATCATAGAATTATTCCATTTAAAAGAGTATTATACAGGGAGTCAAACTAGCTCAAAACAAGGGTGTCCAGTCTTACAACGTATACATTTCTCAGTTTTCTTATCATGAAGTTAGCTAATCTGAAAACAACAAAGGGGTCCTGGGTTTCCCCATGTGCCAATGGCCTTTCCTGTTTTTGTGGACTTCCATTGTGAAATCCACATGGTGAAGGTGATGATGATGACAATGGTGATATTAATGAAGACCATGATAGTGATGATCACGAAGAAGATGAGGATTATATTATGACGGCTCTGACAAAGAGGATGTTTAAGATCGTGACTAAAATCAGATGATGATTATAGTCGCAATTATGATGCAAAAAGATGATGATAATTGCAATGATGACGGTGGTTTTGATAACGAGATGGGGCTTTAGTCGCCTTTACTCTTTCTCACCTTTCTCTTTTTCTTTCTTCAGTCTTCATTCTTCATTCTTCATCTTCTTCTTCTTCTTCATCATCATCTTCTTCTTTTTCTTCTTCTTCTTCTTCTTCTTCTTCTTCTTCATCATCTTCTTCTTCTCCTTTTTCTTCTTCTTCTTCTTCTTCTTCTTCTTCTTCTTCTTCTTCTTCTTCTTCTTCATCTTCTTTTTCTTCTTCTTATTTTCTTCTTATAACGTCTTTATTTTCTTCTTGGAAATTGTTGACTGATAGCTCAGTTATTTTCCCCTTCCATTTAGTCTTTTATCTTTTCAACGGAAACTCTAACAATTCATGAAGGATATTCCCTTTAAACCAAAATAATAACATTGTTAGAATTGATAGACCCATATATTATCATTAAGAAACCAGACACCACTCAGTCATATTTTGTTTTTGCTTTCTATCATAATTTTTTTTACAACCGGAATTCTTAAATCCTATAATAGAACTTATAATAAATATAATACCGCTCAGATTAACACCAGCTGAATCACCTGAATGACAATGTTAAGAATAACACAATGATAAATTGAAACTCATATCATTTGTTTATTATACTAATAAATGCTAATTCGAATCCATAATGTTCAAAATACCTCTAAACGCTTCACCGTGCCGAGCTGGTCGTAGACGGTACAGAAAACATACAACATCAGATTATTCGATCCGGCAGTAGAACTTTTCCAGGAGATTCCGACTGAGTTGGATTTCGAAAACATTAATCACATATTACTACGAGAAGTAGTTTTGTTATCATCTTAAAGAAGTCGTACTTAGACAATGCAGTGTGAATCAGAGGCCCGGCTATAATCAATGATTTTGTTTGAATAATAGATATGTCACTACGGAGAGCCGCATAATCAATAGTGATTAAATGTATTACTATTGTGACGTCAACAAAAGGAACATACGCGCAACAATTAAGTTTGACGGGTGGATGCGCATTGTGTGAGAAGTAGGTTAGGAATATGACCTCGAAATGAAAACAATGTGCTAATGAGATGGCTTACCATATACCTCCATTAATGCGATTTCTAGAGCTGCTCTCGATTTTCAATATATGGCTTGAAGTCAGTCGAACGTAGGCAGCTAAGAATGTCCTTAATAATTCATCGTTTCGTATACATAGAAGATTATCTTTTACTTATCAAAGCAATGAAATAACAACAATTTAATGCAAACTTTCTCAAAGATCGACCCCCACAATGTTATTGTTATACTACCGTGAGGTATCTATATTGTACATTCAAAGTGCCTCGTTAACTATATTATGTAAGAAGTGCCCCTTTTCACCAAGGAAAAGTGCCCCCTTTTACTTTGACAAGTGCCCCTATTAATTTGTAAAAACTAATTAAGACTCGAATACGCCATTGCATATATCTCATTTGGTCCCTTCTTACCACAGACAAACAAAAATGTTCATCTAAAATTAATCTGGGTCTCGTCTTAATTACTGTGAGTTGCGATTGATTTGGATCAGATGCAACTCCACGTAAATTTGCGGTCTCCTATCTCTTTTTACACACGGAAGTGGCCCTCGGGGGGGGGGGGGGCAGAGGGAGGTGAGGGCACAGTGCTCAATTTGTGAAAGCGCCTCTTCCCTTTTTATCTCTAGTAAGTGCCCATTTTCAAGTACGAGAATTAAGTGCCTCTTTTCACTTTTGATAAGTTATCCTCCTTCACAACTGATAATAGCCCTATTCAAGTCTGAGAGGTGCCCCTGTTACTCTGACAAGTGCCCCTTTTCCTTTCTAATAAGTGCCCCTTTCCCAATGATAAGTGCCCCCATTTAAAAAAGAGCCCCTTCCCCCTTCTCATAAATGCCCCTTTTGCATCTCTGCGGTAAATAATCCTTTTCACTTCAGATAAGTGCCCCCTATATCTCCGACAGTTATTGTCCCTATGCAAATCTGAGAGATACTTGTTTTACTCTGTAAATTGCCCCTTCCCCTCCTGATAAGTGCTCTTTTCATGTATGATGAGTGTCCCTTTCACCTCTTTAGTATCTGCCCCTTCTATTTTGACACTTGTTCCTTTCCCTGTTAGATAAATGCTCGTGCCCCTTCCTCCTTCTCATAATTACCCCTTTTGATCTCTAGCAAATGCCCCGTATATTTCAACATTTGCCTCCTTTAAAAAGACCCTCTTTTCCCTTCTCATAAGAGCCCCCTCTCACCTCCGGTATATGCCCCAATTAAAATTCGATCGGTACCCCTTTTCTTTTCATTTTCCCTTTTAAAGGGATAGTTGAGTTCTTTTTTCAGACCGCAAATGCCTTCAAAGTGCATGGTTATTGCTCTTATTCTTATCTATGACATTTATAGTGCCTAGCTTTTAGAACCTAAAATTGCTACGAAGGTAATTTCAGACCCCAAAATGTGTGAAATTTAGCCAATACGATCATACCAATTCAGCTCCACTTTCCAAAAAACATGGTGACCGTTAATTAATTATTTAATTAAAAATAACAATACATGAGCCGGCTAATTGCGGGTAATATAAGCAACACGAAATGCCAACAAAAAGCCAACATCGGCGTTGGCTGAAATATAACGTAAAAGGCGTTTTTTTCAACGGTTTTTTTTCAAATTTTTCGAAATATCTAATATTTGTGGTGGTACACAAGTATTAGAAATCGTTATATTTCAGCCGTCTCTAAACCGATTTTGTCATTTAAATATTATGTTCTTTCAAATTTGACACTCAGTTTTTCATTATCTCACAAAAAAATTATTTTCACCTCTGATATTACCCTTTGAAATTTGAAACATGCTCCTTTCATTTTCAGACCATCACACCCAACTGCAAAGTATGATGTTTAAGCAGTATCTTGTCTGTTGTATAAGGAGAAACAGATATTGCAATCATCCCTGATAACTTGATAATGTAGGGGACTAGGGGTATATACTAATGTCTGAAAAATTGTATATTTTCGCTTTGAGGTTTCCCTTTGTAGGTGCCCTTTTTTCTTCCTCCAGAAAGTGCCCCTTTTGTTAATGTCCCCCCCCCCCCTTGGAAGTTGCTCAGCCGCCCCTGTGTACGTACTATATAGTTGCGATTAATATTAATCGCAACTTCGCAAGTAAGTTTCGATGACATATATGAACTCTTTATAAGACGGGGCAAAGCTCATAAAAGAGTTTATAGAGTATACAGCGTAGGGCTATGAGAAGATTATAGGGTTTATATGTTTCGTGCAAGCTATTTTCATTATTTGCATATATTTTTTTTTCTAGAGAGAAAAAAAAAAAAAAAATCTGAAATAAACTTCTTATGGTTCAGTGGCTTATACTAATAAGATTTTCTTTTTCATACGTGAGAAAAATGTAACTGAAAGTAGTTTGAAACGTTTATAGTTTTGTTTGCCACGTACATGTAGGCCTACGTCTTGTTGTATTAGATCAAGTTTTAGACATATTTATTTGGAGATGAATGCACGGCGGGTTTTTTTTTTTTTTTTTTTTTTTTTTTTTTTTACCTCTGTCTCTGTTATGTTTTCAATGCAATTGGATGTTTTGTATTAGTTTGTCATAAGATTATAGATAGTTTTATATATAGCTAGACTAGAATTCGATCGTTGAGGAACAATTAAGTTCAAAATGTATACTTGTCATCAGACGCGTACGCAGGATTTTTTGTCGAAAGGGGGGGTATTAAAATTTGAAAATCGCGCCGAAAATTTCTAACCGCTGAATATAAGCGGGGGTGGGTGGGAGGGGTGTAAGAGTACATCCCCCCCCCCCCGGAAATTGGAAAATTCGACCGATCAATATTTTGTTCCGGTGGTGGGGGGGGGGGGGGGGGGGGGATGGGGCACATCATATTTCACGTATCAAAATTTAGCCTTCAGTTCAGTTCACTTTATTCAAAACTTTCATTAAAATATACAAAGGTAAATAAACATATAATAGTTACAAAATAATATCAATAACATGAGAATAACATAAGAGGAGAAGTAAGACAAAAAGAAAACAAGTTAGACAAGTTCACTGAAATGAAAGTATTTGGAGACAAGATAGGTAGACAGGTCTATTTAATATGAGCCAATTAAATGTTAAAAAATGAAGAAGATTTTCAGTTCATAGGACATAAATTTCAATGACTGCATGATAAAAAACAGATTAGCCTATCATTTATGAAAGTCGAATCAGGTTTCTCACAAAATGCCCCTATCTTTGAATCGGACCCCCCCCCCCCCCCCCAACCCCAGAACCACCCCAGTTCCCTGCCCATCCATCTCACGAATACTGCAGCTCTCCACATCGGTCATCATGCATCTCGCAGGATCATGTGCATTCGATTGCAGCGCAAAAGCTGCCAAGTTCGTACAGTTGAAAATTGTTGACACCGGTTTCCATGGCTGGGCGCCGTCTGTTCAAAGGGAATAACTGTGAGTTATACGGAATTTTAATGAGAGTGATTTTTCATGATTGAGATGTGTAATCTAAAACAATTTTTCAAGTATGTAGTGAACATGAAGTTTTCCAATTGGTAGAGAATACACCAGAATTTGTCTTGTCCAAGACAAGTTTTCCGTTGGCCAATCCCACATGTTCAAATTCGCGTTAGTGCTCGTACCCGTACAGCTAGCAGCTTGCACTATTCAATTTCAAACTTTAAAGAAAATATAATATAGAACATGTATTAATGATGTAGGCTTTAGTCAATGTCATGCATCCAGAAATCATTACAATAAGATATTATTTTAAATTGTAGAAGTAGATCTAGATCTATCTATATCAGTGGAGATTTGGTTTGCATGGTTTGGTTAATTTTTGTTTTTAACTTTATCAAACTCAAAATTTTGACTGAATTTTGTGGAACTTATACGTATAGAAGCATAGGATTAGGAACAGAGACAAGAGTGCCAATCAAACTCAATTTGAATTTTACCATAATAACAAATATATTTGTGATACAGCTCCAAGTGAGACTTAGTGGATATCAATTTAGTTTATGAATGTTTAGGCTAAGGAAAAGTAACAATGATCTCAATTTAGTTAGTTTATTAATTGTTTATTCCTTCATGTGTAAGTATTGTGTATGCTTCTTTTTTTTCTACCTAGAATCAATCTATTTAACGTCATTGAAGTCTTCCTGATGATTATGTGAGTGTGCGGGAGACCGCTAATCCACCAAAGATGTCAGAGACTCCGTCCAATATCGAGCGTCTTCCACTAGAGCATCCCCTACCTGATGAGATTCAGGAGATGACTCGTGATGATACGGTCTGTAAGTTCTGCGGTGTTAGTTACCTCATCCATCATGAGGTCAAGAGACTAGAGAAAGAGGTAGGTTTTTCATCTGGGGGGTGTTTCACAAAGATCTTAAGTCGAACTGAACTCTAAGTATAGGACTTAAAAATTATGGAGAGCCATTTTTAGCCGTAAATTTAAATATTTCCAAAAGCAAAAATTGAAGTAGTAATTTAGACTTTTCATAAATTCCACATCAATAACATGGAATCTCCTTGATGATAGAAAATATGGATGATTTCAATCAACATTTTATGCCTTTTGAAATAACTTTTACAAAATATTGTCAATGATGCTAACGGCTTCCCACAGTTGTTAAGTCCAACTTAGAGATAAGTTCAACTTAGGATCTTTGTGAAACACCCCCCTGGTTTGGATTCTGATAGCTATAACTCTTTGAAATGTAGGTTGAAGACAGAGTATGCTCCTGCCACAATTGCTCTGCGGTCAATTTTCTACACTCCCTGAATTCTTAAATTTAGCCCTGATCCCTAACTTCAACCCTGATCACAATTCTAAACCTAACCCTATAGCCTTGACCCTTTGCCTGAGCAAATGTCGGATTACTGAATTTTATCCTGTTGAATATTGAGTTTGGAGTTGCATCGCAAGACCATCATTTTCAGGAAGGGGGGGGGGGGGGGAGCAAAGTGGTGGCATGTGAGCTGAATTTTTTTTGGTCACATTTCAAATTTGTCAACAATGGCAGCTGACACCACCTCCAGTATTGCCCATGTGATCTAGAGATTATTGCAGAATTAGAGACAAGTTCAATTTTTGGAGGGCGTTTCACAAAACTTGTCATCAGTGACAAATGACAGTTTTTGTTATAAGCTACTGAAATCCTTGCTTCTGATTGGTTGTCAGCAGATTTGTCACTGATTTTTGTCATTTGTCATTGAAAAAAGGCTTTGTGAAACAGGCCCCTGATCTTCAGTCTCTCACTCCATCCAAACAATAAGAACAAGTTACAACACATGTTTGTTTGTACTCAAACGTCCTGTGTTAATTTGGACTTGTTTGTTTTCCAGATAGTTGATTTCAAACATTAAAGGTAAAGACCAGTTTTGAAAACACCCCCTCTTAAAAAATGAAATGGAAGCTCTTATTACCAATCATGTAAAAGAATATGTTTTGACTAATACGTGATCATACAAATTTTGCCGAGAAACCGCCTACTAATTGATATATTTGGTAAATTATTATATCTATTTGGACCTGATAGATATAACGCACGTGTGCGTAGTCCCATATACATCTTTCTGTGTACGGTGCTTGTAAATTTACCAAGACTGGGTCAAATTTCTTATCATTTTGATGATTCCAGAACCTTGCAGTATACACACCAATACTTATATGCTAGATGATCAACCTTTTCTGATCGACTCCACAACGTTTCTTTCACAATGCAATCGCATGACCATAACTGGTCTTTATCTTTAATTTGAAGAACTTTACATGCAATATTTCATAATTCTTTCAAGACTTATATTGAAAAACATCATAAATATAAATTTTATGATGGTAAGTTCTATTTGATGCATATATTTTTCATGTGACAGCATTACTTGTGTTACTCATCTGGACACACAACCCCCCATCAAATGATATTTTTCATAATATGTTATCAACTTTTTCATCTTTTGTTCAGCTTGAGAAAGTGGAAGCAGAGCTTCAGAAATACAAGGGATGTGAAGAGCGAGAAAGGGTGCTCAAGATTGAAGTAGAGAAACTCAAAACAAGCTTGTCAGAAAAAGATATGATTCTACATGACAGAGAGGCAAGGTAAGTCAGTGCATTTGGGAACTTTTATCTTTGTTTCAACCTTCAGCAGTTTAAGTGTTCTTTACAAGTGGTCCAAATTCATACATTTATGCCTTACCCACATGCTGGTGGTATAACTATCACGATCTTGGTATATTTCACACAAAATAGTTTCCATTAAAAAACACTTATGCAAAGAATGCTTGTTACAATCACAAATAATTGATCGGTCATACAATATAGTTGGTCTTGTGGTCAATGTACCTATTTTATTTTAATGCAGATTGGTGACTTTTCTCAAAGCAAATAGGAGAAATGCTCTGAAATGATTGTACTAATGACTCTGCATCAAGACAATAGTATCATGATTTTCAGCAATCAAACCTCATATTTCAGACATCTTTAACTTCAACTACATTTTGCTAAGCTAGATACATTCCTTCAATTTTACTGCATTATTGATGTTTGCTAGAGTTAAAGTGGGTGTAATCAGTAATATCCATTCAAAAGTGCTTAGAGATTTTAATTATGTCACATTGTCATTACTGATATTCAACATTGGAAAATTATCATCAATCATGTTGGGAGAAAAAAAATTATAGTTTGTATGATCTGCTGATTAGTTAACTCTTATCCTGCCACAGGGGTAATCCCCATCGTGCCAAGCCACAAATCCCCCAGTGTCAAGTTTATTTTGAGATAATCGGATGAACGCGATGGTACTATCAATAGCGCGTGCGAAACACTAGGCACAGTACAATGGGCATGAACAATAACTGCTATTACGAATGTTTGCAAACATGCAAGAAGTAGTAGCTTGCTCACGTGTACAAAGCACTATAACGGTAGCGTGCATGCAAGCTTATGGCAGGATATGAGTTAATCTATCATTGTATTTTATTGTATCTTTGTTTTGTATTTGTATCGTAGCATCGAGCATCTGAAATCAAACATCAAGGTCAAAGAGGATGAACTATGGAAAGCCATACAGCAAGCCGAGGCTGCTCAAAAGCAATTAGAAAGTGAAACGGCTGCAAGCAACAAACTCAGGTAATAATACATTCATATGAGTAACTCTGCCTTGAGGCTTGGAGAAATATATGTATAACAGGTGAATTGATGAAAATATAAAGATATGTGGTATAAGCTATAGAAGAGGATAGAAGATGAAAGCAAATTAGCAGTATATATGAGAAGGAATATATCAATGGGGAATAAAGAAGTAAGAACAACAAAATATTAGAAAATAAAGAATGGAAGTTATTATTACAGGGATTATATTTCATAATAAACAACAATAAACAACAATATCTTAGGAATGATCCCACTTTATACCTATTCAATTTCACCATTTATTCTAAACATTGTACATAATTGTTTAATTTCCTTCTGTGGTTTTTGTTACTAAGAAAGTATCTTCATTTAACAAATCATTGTTTTTGTCATCGTACAGGATATGGAGATAAAATGAAACAGTAAAGAAACAAAGATTTGATGTAATTTCTTAAAGATTTTTGTTTGGTTTTGTTTATTAATTCAGGGAATGGAGAAAGGATATGATGCAGAGACTGCCTCTGCTCAAAGCTTCTCTCTCAGATGAAAAACAGGCTCTAGGGAGTGTGAAGTCTGAATTCAAAGACTATCAAAACAAGATGGCTGCCATCAATAAGAAGATCACAGGGGTCATACAGAAAGTGTGCAAGAAAGAGAAACAAGGTGGGTGCCCCTTCAATTCCTCCATTTATAAGAATTGTGTCACATCTCAAAAGAAAGAAAAGCCAAGCTATTTGTTTGTGTGTACTTGTACAAAAGTGACCTTTCTTGTTGCGTCTATAGCTGTTCCTGTATTTCTCTTACCATACACAATAACAGTTAAACCTGTATACAAAGACCACTCAAGGTACTAAAAGTGGTCTGTATATAAACAGGTGGTAGTTATGTACGGGTTACTTCAGAACAGCTTTCCATGATCAATACAGTTCAGAGGAAACAAAAATGCAATCTTTACAGACAGTTGCATGGTCACTGAAGCAGGGTTGACTGGACCTTTGTATAAAGGCCACCTATTTAATGCATCCAGTGGCTTCTTCATATATTCTCTGAAAACAAATCAGAAAAATATGATGGCTGGGATCTTCATGGATGCAGTATGCATAGGCAGGTGGCCTTTGTGTACATATTTGTATACAGTTTAATTGAGAACTACTGCTCTGGCGAAAGAAAACATATTTTTTTGAACAGATATTTGGTAAAGAATATTTGACTGCTATATTCCATATACATGAACTGTACATAAAGCTTTGTACACCTCATGGTTTATGATATTTGTTTAATGTAGCTGAGTATTCAAGGCCCGGCCTCTTGTAAAGCAGTGTTTTCATTACCGATAAGGTCCAGCATAGCTGATACATTTTTTAATAAACAAATAAAAGTACTAACTCTCTTTCTTGCACACTTGCAGTGGTTGAAGGTATCTTATCAAGGGCCACTGAAGCAGAGAAACTTTCCTCCTCTCTCCAATCTCAACTCACTGATGCTCAGCAACAGATGGCATCAAATAGCACACACGGCCAAATGTTACAAGAAGCTGAAGATAGGATTAGGCAGATGACGAGTCGCTATGCTGAGCTCGAAGCAAGAGAACAGGGTAAGATCAATTAGTTCCTTTGGTCAAGCTGCGTCTGATATCTCGCCCCTTTCAGTATTAGCCAAGTACTTGCACTCAAACAGGATTAATGTATCGTCCGTTAATCAAGACACAGGAGAGCAGTACTACTGTGTAAAATGATATGAATTAATCCTTGTTTGGCTTTTAGCGGATGATATAACTCTGCTTGATTAAATGTAGGACAATATTTGTTAAACTATAACTTCTGGTTGATGACAAATCGTGATAGCTTGAATGGCAATTAGTTGTAGAAAGCATAATGTACATGCCTGTTAGGCCGTCTTTAGATTATCATGGCATAGATATTTAAATGTTTTAGGGGGTGTTTGACAAAGATCCTAAGTTGAACTTATCTCTAAGTTTGACTAAAAATTATGGAAAGCCATTAGCATCTTTGAAAATATATTGTAAAAGTTATTATAAAAGGCATAAAATGTTGATTCAATCATTTATATTTTCTACTGTATTATTATGGAGATTTCATGTTCTTGGTGTGGAATTGATAAAAAGTCTAAAATGCTTGATTTTTCGCTTTTGAATATATTCTATTTTAAGGCTACACATAGCTCTCCATAATTCTTAAGTCCAACCTTAGAGTTAAGTTTGACTTACCATCTTTGTGAACCCCCCCCCCCCCCAAGTGTTTGTGAGGTCAGGTTGTAAAATGATTTTTAGGTTTGTTTGTTTGTTTTTTTGTCTGTGCCTTTTCAATTTTTATGTTAAATGGAATAATATTTTTGTTTAAAAAAAACTTGACAGAATTGCAGGATAAGCTTCAGAAAGCTTCAACTGAGGTGAGATCTGCCAAGTCAGAAGCTATTCAGTTCAAAGAAATTTTAAGGTAAGGATACGTTATTGTATCATATGAACAAATCTGTGTAATGAAGCAAAACCTTCTGCAATAGTTAATGATACAGAAAACTGTAGAGGGAGAAGAATAAATATGGTTATTTTGGTTTAAAGGTGTTATAATTCATATGTAGGATTGGAATGTCCACAAAACCTAAAAGGAATAGAAATGTTTGACTTTACATCTCGCTACTCCCTCAAAACTGTTTATGGTAATCTCTCTCAGTAAAAAGGAAGAAACAAATTAATTGATTTAGTGTGATTTGATGATGTGCGATTTACTTGGCCTGTTTATGCTAAATGTATGTAAGTAGATATGAAAATGGAAATTGACTTAAATCATGTTTTAGGGATTGGGTAAGTATATATATTTGATGTCTTTCCCCAAGGGCACCCAGGTATTAAAATTGCATTGAGAACTTCTCTACCATGGTTATGAGGAGTATTATTATTATTATTATTATTTGTTTAGAGTATATAGATTTCAATGTTTGATCCTTATTAGCTTTCCTAACATTTTTTGAAATCCCCCCTCTCTCTTTCTCTCTCTCTCCCTCTCTCTCTCTCTCTCCCTCTCTCCTCTCTCTCTCTCTCTCTCTCTCTCTCGCTCTCACATTCTTTTTCTCTTTCTCTTTGACCACAGAAATAAAACCCAAGAAGTGGAGGATAGTCAACGGCAGAGAGCGAAACATGAACAGTTCCTTAGCAACAGCATCAACAAGCTACAGGAGGAGCTGCGTTGCCGGGCGGAGGAGGCTCAGGATTATCAGCGAGAGCTTGGAGAGCTGAAGGAGAGAGAGGCGGAGAGGAAGAGGAGAGTGGACAGTAATCTCAATACCAAGATGGAGGCATCGGCCAGAGAGTTGAGACAGCTTCAAGAGGCTTTAGATAATGCCAGGAAGGACTGCTCTGCACTCAGAGATGAAAGGTTTGTTTAATGATGATTGTTGTACCTGACTGATAAGAAAGCATGTATGTGCTTGTAAGTAAACAACTGGGGGACCGACGGCTTTAATTCCTCTCCATGGGACTTGGTAATGAGGAGTGCATTGACTTGGTTTTGAATAAACACAAGACTATATCATTGTTATAACTTCCGGAGCCTATGACCTACAAGCATTACTTTCTCTTTAGGCTCCATCATATTTCTCCCTTTATTTAACTTAGTCTTATGTATTATTCTTTTTGTTTGTATAAATGCATCCAAAAATGATTACAAAAATGTAACATGCCAAATGTAATGATGTATTATACAACATGTGAAATATGAAAATAAACTGAAACTGAAACTGAACTGAAACCATAGGTTTTGAACCCTTCACCACTGCTCTACCACTGAGCCATCGCACCTCAGGTAGGCCTACAGTCAGAGAGGAGATAGTGACCACTCAAAGTGAATTATGATAATAAAAGTCACCTGATCTTGTGTGTTCTGAACACAAACATCTATTAGAAAACACATCATCAATGTGTATGCACTTTCTTCATTAAAAAAAAAAAATCCATTAAGGTCACTTAAATTTTATTTAATAGTCTATGGAAAGCCCAAACATTTGAAGATCGTATGAGAATAAATGCATACCGGTGTGTATACATGTGCAACTGTCAATAAAGACCCTGCTCAAATGCTATATTGCTTTCTCCCTTGTACATGAGTGAGTTTCCTAATCTTACAATGGAAAATCGAAATGATATAAAAGTGAAAAGTAGGCTCTGAAAGCCTGAATTATTTTATTTTATTGTCATGCATGGATAGTGTTTTATGACCGGACTTTGCTATAACAAACCTTAGGAACAAGCTAGGGTATTACCACGTTATATTTTGATATCAGAGCTAAAAATTCACTAGAAAACAGAATTGCAATTGGGGTTGGCAGAATTAAATTATTATAATAAGAGTTTGTTGTAATATTGTTCTATATAATGAGGTTCAAGTGTACTTAAAATGGGCATGATCTTGAACCATGAAAGTAGGTACACTGAACTTCAAATTGTTTTATTTGTTGACACAGGGAAGCTATGGTGGCCTCTCATCAACATCGCATTGAACAACTCAAGCAGAGCTTTGCTCAGCGGATACAAGAAGCTGATGGCTGGCCTGAAAAGGTGAGATGTCAACCATTAATTTCACAATTTTTTTTCTTTAAAAAAATATTGGTGCATAATTGGTGTAAAATAAAATTAAGATGTACTGATGTACCATATCGATGTACATATTGTGTCGCTTAAAGGTAATTTGATTCGTAATTCATTTGAAAAGAAATACAAAGTGAAAGGTTATAGGCATGTAGGTTGTACAAGACTTAAGACATTTAGGTAAAATGGTTTGATTAAGAGAAGAGGCGCGGTTTTAATTACCCTTAATTATCCATACACTTTCATAGGAAAGAAAATAGTTTGAGAATTTAAATTATGATACATACTGATACAGGTACTAAAAAAAAGATAGCAACTGATCACAGTAATAGAAAGTTGTTTACATGGCATGGAAATAAGATAAAAAGGAAGACTTTGTATAGGATTCTTAGATAATATCATTGGAATGTGGAGTAGTAGGCTAGCAGTGAATTGAATCAGTCTACCCTTAATTATCCATGCACTTAAAAAAAAAATAGCTTGTGAATTTGCGTTTGAATATTACTCAGAGGATAGATCAGTTATGATAGATACTGAATTATACTGAAAACAAGATATCAACTGATGGGACATGATGGCTTAAAGATCACAGTAACAGAAGGTTGTCCACATGGAACACAAAAGGAAGACCTCACAAAGGGTTCTTATATGATATGATTGGAGCTATAGTAGGAGGCTACATTCGATTGAAGCAGTTTATTTAATTTTCTCTAAAATAAAAATAAAAGAATATAAAAGAAAATAAGCAGAAGGAAAGGGATGGAAAGAGGATGGAAAGAGAAAGAATCCTAAAAATAGTAATTTATGACACAAAATTGTACATATGTATATAAATAAATAATTCATGAAATAGTGTGTGGCAAAATTAGTCAACTGTGACTGATTACCAAACAAAATCAAATCAAAAAGAAGAAGAAGTTGGCTCAAAAACACAGAGAGACATCTGTTATAGAAATTGACAGGGGTCAGCAAACCTGTCATTTTGACAGAGCACTAATGATAATTATAATTGAAACATCACCAACACCAAACTTGCCATATTTACCGCTAATATGAATTGCAACTTATCGTTGTTTCACATCACCAATAACCTACCCTGATTTCTGATCTCTATTGATACAGATATGTTTTAACTCAGAAGTTTTACTTATATGTTTAATTGTTTTGTCCTTTTTTTTCTCAGTTGAATGAAAGCTTATCCAAGGAGAGAGAGAAACATGCCCAGGAGATAGCCAGCCTGGAAGAGAGACTACACAAGTCATTCCAAGTGGTGAGTGATCGACGACTGCATTATGATATACCTGTAGACTGAATACAGGGATATTTTGGTTCACAAAGGCAATGGATGAATTCGAAAAGAGTTGGATGCTCTCTCAGTCTTAAGGAACCATATGCGCATAATTCAATGTTATTTTGTTTTTATCATTGTAAAAGTTATTATAAAAGTTACTTAACATATTACCTGTGGTGATTTCTGTATTAAGCTTATACCCAGAGAGGTATAAGAAAGAGGACTATGTATTCAGCCAGTTAAAATGGGCAGTATTATTCTGTGTGCATAATAAACTACATATAAAAGACAATAATGAAAATAAAATATGCAGAAAGTTGGGTAACCCACTTTATAAGTTTCCCTTAATGTCCAGCTTAAATATGCAATACCTGAAGGCTGAATACCATGAGCATGTGACAAGGGAGGGTTATTTCCAAATTTGGCAAACTTTTGAGACATCCATCAAGTTCATTTCATCAGAAACCTACAAATGATGTATTCATTGAATGTGTTACCAATTACTGCTGTGATATGTGCTTTCTCATCATTTAGGACTTGGAGATTCAAAAGCAGAGGAACGATGAACTGATCTTGAAATACAAGCAAGAACTGAGCAGTGCTGAAACTAAGGTGAGACATCGTGAAGCAGGGATTGAATCTATGAAAGACAGGAGATGGCAGCTAGTCTCTTCACTGAAATTTGTTATTCTTATGCTTATTTATGCAATACCTGTAGTTTCATGTTTATGTAGTACCCTAGCTGGAATATCAACAAAAGACTACCGGTAGTAGCCAAGATTGTGATGGCCATTAATAAATATTAAATGCAAACTATGTAATGTAGCCACTTTTACATGTTGTGAACAAGTAGTTTGAAAAGAGGAAAGCAAATTCAAATCATGACATTTATCACTAAATGAAAAACAATATTTTAAAACATCATTAAGAAGGGACTTTAAAAAGTCAAATATACCTGCAAATTGTTTGAAGTGTATGATAATGTAGCAGATCATGGCCTATTTAAAACTTTTTGTGGCATGAAGCTTCAAAAAACTGTCATGAATTATAAGTCTATGCTGGGATAAATATGATGCAATAATTTATTTGGTATGGCACTTCCTCAAATGCCTTCCACTAATGTTTCACAAAATATTATGGGTTATCATTCTAATATATATCTATCTTCTGTATGTTTAGATGAAAAACAACATCCAACGTGAGCGAGACTCATTAAAGGCTCGACTAGACAGCCTGGAGAGGGAGCTCTTTGATTCTAAGAAGTTATCTAATGACCAGGAGAAGGGATTGAGGGAAGAGATTGAGAGTCTAAAGAGGATTACAGCTGAACTTAGGAAACATGTTGGTAAGAAGTGCTGGACTTCTTTAGTATATAGTGATTGATATATCAATAAAAAGGTTGACATGTGCATGAACAATACTTCTATTTGGGAGTTTAACAAATAAAAGAAAATTGTAACTTAGTGTGTTAACCCTTACTATATAGAGCTCAGTCCCCCCCCCCATCATTATCATCACCATCATTACCACAATCATCATCATCATCATTACCACCATCATCATCATCATCATCATCATCATCACCACCACCATCATCGATCATCACCACCATCATCGATCATCATCATTACCACCACCATCATCACCATCATTATTATCACCATCAATAACACCATCATCACCACCATGCATCACCAGCACCATCATCACCATCATCACTAGCACTATCATCATCATTATCACCACCATCATCACCATCACCATCATCACCACCATCATCATCACCATCACCATCATCGCCATCACCTTCACCATCACCCTCATCATATCACCATCGTCATCATTACCACCACCACCATCATCATTACCACCTACATCAACATCATCATCATCATCATCATCATCATCATCATCACCACCACCATCATCATCATTATGACCATCATCACCATCATTATCATCATCATCACCATCATCATCATCATCACCATCATTGATCTGCATCATCGATCATCATCATCACCATCATCATCACCATCGTTATCCTCATCATTACCATCACCATCATCACCATCATCACCATCAACATCAACATATTCACCATCATCATCATCATCATCATCATCATCATCATCATCATCATCATCATCATCATCACCACCACCACCATCATCATCATTATCCCCACCATCACCATCCTCATCATTATCCTCACCATCACCATCATCATCATCGCCATCACCAGCACCATCATCATTATCATCATCGTCACCATCATCTCCATCATCATCAAAGATCATGGGTTCGAGCCCCAGTAATGCATTAGCATACTTTTGTAAGACATTAATATGACTAACTAACTCTCGACCTAGGAGTTATAACTGGACATTTGGAATCAGTCTGCAGTGATGATATGGCCCAGTTAATGTTACTGAAACACTCATAGTGTTAATATATAAGCATGTGAAAGACATGTGCATTAAACAAGGTCTTGTTATTTTGTATTACTTTACCATTATTTTTCCTTGCTTTCAGCGGAAGGAGACAGTCGTAATACAGGTGAGTTCCAGGCCATGAGAGCAGAGTTACAGGAAGCAGAACAAGACCTGGCCTCAGTACAGAGAGATAAACTAGAGCTGCAGAAGAAACTTGATCAGAACAAGGAAGAGGTATGCATGCATGGTCCTACTCAAAAGTTCTTCCCCTAATGTTGAGACCAAAGGCTTGTTCAGATATGACGGGGTGAACCACTGGATAGATATGATGCGGTAGACCACCAGCGGTACGCTCGAAAAAGGAAGATCGGGCTAGAAATGATGAGTTTTCTGAGATTCTACCAGGCCCATGTAACTTTGAACACTTCAATTATATACTTTCATATGATATAATTTTGTGATGTGAATGGAAAACTAATCATTGATTTTGGTAGCAATAATTATTTTAGGTTTTATGTAAATTCATTCATACTTTCCTGTATTTTTAGGTATGAAATATTTGCATAGCAATCATATTGATGACTCTTTTTGTTGTTCCTGCAGGTTGCTTTCCTGCAAGAGACTGTCGGGAGGGAGTGTGAGGAGAGATTAGAGTTAACAGAAGCTCTGAGCAAAGCTAGAGAGCAGCTTCTAGTTCATCAACGAGGTACATCCATCGCTAACAGCACCAGCACTGGACGGTCATCACACTCTCAGCTTAGCCTGGGTGGTAGCTCATCACCACACCAACCAACGAGCCCCAAGGGGAATCCCCCTAGTGGGTTGAGGAGGGGTAGCGGTGGAGGGGGGCAGTCAGGAGGGAGTAAGGGTGCAAGGAATTCAGGCTCAGGTGGTGGTGGGAGTTTAAATGACAGTAGGAATAGGATAGCAACCGTGCTAGGGAAGAAAGAACTGAAGATTCAGATTAACGCAGGACAGTGAGGTGCAGGGGTGTAGACTGGTTCTACCAGGGGGCACTCAGGGTTGAGTAATAGCTTGAGGAGGGGTAGTGGTGGAGGGGGGCAGTCAGGAGGGAGTAAGGGTGCAAGGAATTCAGGCTCAGGTGGTGGTGGAGTTTGAATGACAGTAGGAATAGGAAAGCGACCGTACTAGGGAAGAAAGAACTGAAGATTCAGATTAATCCGGGACATTGAGGGGTAGCGGGAGAGCAAAGCAGAATGATCTTACAGTTTGAATGCTATTTGCTCTGTACACTCAGCCAGCTAAGAGAAAAACGTGGCTGTATGATGGAGGGGTGGGGGGGGGGGGGGGGGGGGGAGTGCCTACAAAATTAAAGACTCTTATTAGTAGAAAAATGATTTATTAGTCAACTAAGGTTGTTATCAATGTATCATAAACTTGTTTTCATGTTATATTGTTTGTGAAAGCTTTGGCTATGGTGGACTAAGTAGTGTATGGAAATGCTTCTTTGTGATGAAGATTAACAAGACAGACTTGTATTCTGTGCAGGCATACAGGCTTATACTTTCTATCAGCTCCTCAATATCATTGTGCTTTATAAGGAAAGAGCATGACCATATCACCTTTAACATGCTTTCCCATGTCTGAGGAACCACTTTTTATAAAATCTTTGTGTAAATGCCTGCCATAATTGGGTCGTTTACATTAGTTGAACTGTGTGTGAAAATTATATCGTTATTTTTCAAGCTCACAATGTTTGCATGAGCCTTCTTTCACAAACCAATGTTACATACCGGTAGCGAAGAATGAAATGCTCCCCAGGGAGTGGAAAATGTGCATACATTGTGTGCGGCTAAGCCTGAATTCGATGACCGGGGTAATAATATATCTGTAAAACGCTTAGGCACATAGTTGGATTGATGTATTGAGTGCTATATAAACATGGGCTATTATTATTAATAATGGAATGATACCAAAAAATACATGTGCTTCAAAACAAATTAACCAAATGATATTAATTTGAAGGTCACCTTGAATAGTTGTTGTTCGTTAAAATTACAAATGTGGTGCAGTTTAGATTTTGCTATTGATTGGTGCAAAAAATAATACATTATCATGAAAATCCGTCCAATACATATAATTGCCCACCAAATGTGTTATGAAAGTGTTATAAGCTGTTTAAAATGGATTTGTTATAATGATACTTTATTGATTATTCTGTACACCAGATAAAGAATTAGTATTTTGTATTTATGGAGCTAGTTATTCCTCCCAACAGGTGAACAATGTGTGAATGATCAATAATATGTGATTATATGTGATATTTTTATTTATGTACTATTCTTACCAGGAAGGTAATGATGAAATATTGAATTTTATATTAGAGTGGTATGATTGGAGATGTGTAAAAGAGACTATATATAAAGAAACTTTGTATTTGTAAATGTTGTATAAATATGTAGAAATGTATTCTTTTGAATCTGTTTTATGTGCATCAAGTCAATAAAACAGATATGAATGAATGAACCGAGCAACATAGATTCATATATTCCTGTACGTTATCCAAAATTTCATTATCACAATTTTATGACATAGTATTTTCTTTTAAGATATTCAGTGATTGCAAAGTCGGGAGAAGTCAAAGGGATTTATAACAAAAAGATAAATTAAAAAAAAAAATTGACCCATGTAGTTTGAATATTTTCTGGATGTGTTCATTAGTTTAACATCTCCTGGTTATTTTTAATCTTTTTTTTTTCTTTCTCCCTTGAACTCTCACCCTATTATTCTCTCTCGCTTGATCTCTTAAACCCTCTTTCTTTCATTTTCTCTTTCTTTCCCTCCAGCTACGTCTCTCTTGAACTATTTTTTGTTCTTTCCATTCTCTCCCTTGTTCCGACTATCGTGCCTCTCCCAGTATCTCTCTATTTCTCTGTTTGCATCTTCTGTCTCTCATTTCTCCATCTCTCTCAGCAGCTCTCATCAGCGCTTGTGAATTTTTCCTTTCATTCTCTCCATCTATCTTGTACCACTCTTCCTCAATATCAATAGTTGGAATTATATACCTCATACATAGATTGTCATTCACTGATTGGTCAAGACTATATCACATGTCAAGGAGCATTTCGATCTATCAAGTATCATTACGTCAGAGGGGTTGATAGCTACTATCAAACCCTGGGATAGGACCCCTAACCCCTCCCGCGACTTAGTTGCGCACACAAATTTTTTGAGTTGCTAGGCTACCGCAATCGCGCGGTTACGCGCAGCGTGTAGGAATTCAATACTCTTGCCTTGGACTTGATGTTGTATTTTTCTTATTTGGGTTAGTAAATTCCTCTTGATCTTTTTGGAGCTAGATCTAGACCTACAGCTAGACCTAATCATGAGTCAATAAAAAGGATGAGGTATATAAAACAAATATGGACTGCTCTGTAATCGGATGATGGTGGGAACTACCACTCCCTCGGTGGTGTTCACACCGGCCCTTCTATCACCCCCGAGGCGAAGCCGAGGGGGTGATAGAAGGGCCGGTGTAAACACCACCTTGGGAGTGATAGTTCCCACCATCATCCTCATGAGCAGTCAATATTTGTATAATGTTCATGTACCGGTAGGCTATGTTCTTACTAAAAAGCTGTGCCATAGTAGCTATATGTTGGTCAGAACACTGACAAAGGTTAGTGTGCACATCATCTGAATATCCTGTAGTCTGTATAGCTGTATTTTTCACAACATGCCTACACCTACCACCCCCCTCCATTCTCAAGATAAATCATTGAATACAAAAAGAAAAGAAAAAGAATGTTTCAGTTGACACATTATATTTGACAAATTTACTTGCAAAAACTGCTCTATCATATTGAAAACATGAGCACAAACTATTTACATTACAATACATTCACATTATAAATGATAAATTGATAGTCTAACACTAATTCTAATCTAACTTAGAATCTTAGTACTCTACAATCCTTTAACCCAAATCAAGACAGTTGAAAGATATAATTCTACAGGCAGATTCTGATATAGCTCAGTCACACCGAAGAGACCGACACCAGATTGATAACAGACCGAACAAAATCTTCCAGTATCCTGGATATGGCCAATAATTGGTCGGTTTAGAATCGGTTCAGAGTCAGTTTCACCATGTGACTGGGGTCTTTGTGCAGAACTACCATAGTTGCTAAGCCTGTATGAAGAGATATCACCAATACTTCACAGAGGTAGAAAATAACACATCTAGGTGCAGCAATGATTGGGATGCTTTCAGAGGAAATAATTTTGGAAAGAGCAAGAATAACAAAAAGATCTACAATGTCTAGTCGCAAATATCAAGCATATTTGATTGGAAGCTCATGTTTTTACCCCAATTCTATGTAAATGACTTCTTAAAGCCCCACCGCACTAGTTTTGCCAGGAGGGATTAGACCACCCTGCATGGTCACTAACAGGTGGTTATCTCATCAACTCAGCTCTCAATTGACATAAGTAAAAGGGGACCATGGGGGACCAACAGGCACCGATTAGGCATTGTTTGCTATATAGAGGGCGCAAGTAGCTACAAGTAGTGCAGTGGGGCTTTAAAACTTCAATATAACCCTCTCATACATCATAATATTGTAATGTACATTCACATTTCAGAATATTTGGTGTGTCCTGACCGCAAGTCAGGAACAAGACCTCTTCGACCTTAACAACAAACCATCGTTGAGGTAAAGCATGGGATACAAATTAAAAAATAGAGTACCACATTGAGGAAAACATAGAAAAGTGTTAAAGGCAAAGTCGGGCCAAGTCTGGAACGTTTATATCTTTTGCCCATGGATTTGTTTCCCCTTTCCAACCAGATTTTTCAATTGCATGGCAGGTTTTGATACAGAAAACCTTCATTGGGTTGGGGACTTGGGGTGATCATAACATGTAACTTAGACTTCTGCCACCCTTGAAATTCAGTAGGCAAGCTTTCAATCACTCCTGTAGACTTTTTCAAGCAAAGTGACTCTTCACAAAAGCTTTCATGTTATCTACAAAGTAGTAAAGTACACATAATGTGTACATATTTCTAGCTCTCTGAGGTATTCTACAACTTCTTTCTTCTTTTTTTCCCCCAACTTTTCCACATAACTACCTTCCATACTCCCAATGACTGTTTACCCCAATGAAGTACCTGAATTGAAACCCAGACATGTTATAACCGCACGTGTTCTGTTCAACACGAAGCCTGAATTGGGAAGGTATCGGGGCTACCAATCAGTGATCATTGGCTTCCCTGCAGGGTGAATTTGATTCTCCAGTACCGGTCTGAACAACTCTCCTTTGTAAGGAGACACTCTGTCACGTCTTTGGGTTCAAGTGTTGTTACTTTGTTCATCTAAGCCAATATCAAACATCCTCTATTCATCGTCATCTTCACTGTCGCTAATGCATCTGTTTTTCTTGAAACTCCTAGATGGTGCTGGTTTCTCTTCTTCTTCTTCGCTCTCTTCGTCTCCTTCCTCCTCCTCCTCCTCTTCCATCTTCTCTGGAGTTTGTTCTTGAGATGATGAACTTCCTCCAGCCTCTTCTTCTGTCCTGTAAATGTGATATAATAATAATAATATTTAGCTTTTATATAGCGCTTACTACAATGTCTCTAAGCGCTTTACAAATATTCTAATACCCCGGTCATTGGATCACTGAATCTCCACTCCTTAGGGAGCATTCCAGCCAGTCATTACTTGACACTCAAAAACTGTTTGACCAACAATGACGGTCGCATCCTACCGGGTACCCATTTAACACCTGGGTGGAGAGTAGCAAGTGTAGGTTAATATCTTGCCTAAGGACATGTAGTGCCGGACAACTTCCCCATTTATTCAAACACACAAAATGATCAAATGATCAATAATAATATGCTATCTATATTATAATTTTGAGTACTGCCCCAAGGGAGGAGGTTTTGAGGAGAAAAAAAAAAAATATATTAGTGATTTTTTTTTAACATGACAAACAGGAGAGTTGTCCTTGACTACGTCACTGTCACAGTGCACTGACCAAATAGCAAATTAGAAATTTACATAGATTTACTGATCTCATATTATGATATTTCAAGAATTCACAACTTTCTTATTTTTGGTCTGATATATTTCAACCTTTAGCAATTCTGTTTCTCTCTTATTTTTCTGCTTTTATGCAAATAAACTTCCTAGAATGGTTGGATTGCCCTTTAAAGATAAAGACCAGTTATGGTCATGCGATTGCATTGTGAAAGAAACGTGTATTAGTCAACACATGATTGGTAATAAGAGCTTCCATTTCATTTTTTGAAATCAGGCCATTTCCAATACTGGTCTTTACCTTTAATGGAATAAGTACATATGTCAAAAGAGTTGAGGACAAACCTGTCTACATCTTTGCTACTGCAAGGTTCCTCCACTGGGTCTTCGTTCTCCTTTCCTGACGTCGACGTCGATGACGATGATGACGATGATGACGATGATGGCATTACAAAGAACTTACTGATTGATTTCTGCCATTCTGGCGTGGGTTGAGGGTTGACTGGATTCCCACCACTGTACTTATCCCTCTTACCTCCTGTTTCAAATTGAACACAAAAATACAAATAGTCACACAGCAAATAGTCAATGATTATCATTAATTATTATTACCAGTCATTGAATTTAATTGCTAATCTGCACATGATACCATTCAGGTATCAACTAACAGATGTTAACAGTCACCAAGTGGTCTTCACTTATACATGTACATGTATATCATACGTCCAACTGGCCTCTGAACTTTCGACCTTTCACCCCATAAGGAAAAGTCACCCTCTTCAAAAATTTTCTTTACACAAAGACTCTCTGAAAGACTGGAGTATTTCTTGGTCTGACATCCAATTAAATGTGTGCGAGACCTGTACACCACTATGGTCTTCCAATCAGTCCAGTGTCGGGGAATTATGAGATACTGAACATGCAAACTGTCAACCAACCCTTTTAACATGTTTTCCTTCCTTACGTGACTCTTAGATTTTGAATTATACCCTAAGGCAGCATTTTTCTTGTAGATGGAATTATTAAATTGGATGAAATGCCAAATATTCAGTGTACAGGTATGCAGACCCTACCTACATGTAGATACTACAGATTAAAGTGGTTTTAAATTAATTTTTATAAATAAGTCTAAGTTGGCAAAGTTTTGTACATGACATGATGAAGTGTAGATCTCCATGTAAGTCTAAGCTGTGTAGGCCTATATACAGTGTGTCTCTAAAAAAAGTAAACCCAACTTCAACGGCAAATTTTCAGAAAACTATAAAATATTTACACATTATTTTTTATGGTTAGATAGTCCAATAAGTCCTCTGTCCAATGATACCACGTAGGTTATGTAACTCTCATGCATGACTGAGCATGATTCAACTTAGTGAATGGGTGTGAAATCATCACTGTGGCAAGTTAGAATTGCACTGGAAGTTCATCAATCAAATGACATAGGACATGTCTGATTTCTTACAAGCATAGCTTAGGGATGTGTACCCTCGACATGACCGCCATTCCTTTCCATGCAAAGCTCGCAACGCCTCCTCATGTCCCTGACAGCACGCCTGATCATTCCCTGATCTTGTCGTAATCGGTTCACTTCACCTGTTATCTGTTGCCTCAGCTCCTGAATTGTGGCCGGTGGGGTTTGGAACACTTTTCCTTTAAGATACCCCCAAAGAAAGAAATCGCATGGTGTCAGATCTGGTGAACGTGCAGGCCACTCAACTGGGAAATGAAGAGCAATGATGCGATTGCCAAAGAGTTCAGTCAAACGATTCCTCACAGCAATAAGTCTGTGGGCTGGGGCCCCATCCTGAGCCCACCAGGCCCTGCGGAATGCTCCACGTCGTTGTCGGGGGAAGATCTGTTCCATCTCAGGCACAATAAAATTGTTCAGCATGTCAAGGTACGCCCTGCCATTGATGTTGCCTTCAAAAAAGTAAGGTCCCACCAATGAACCATTGCCACAAAGACCAATCCAGACACTCACTTTCTCCCTGCTCATGTTCTTATTAAAAGCATATCCCGGTGGATGATGGAGTTCAGCATACTCGTGCTCATTGTGGGTGTTTACCATTCCATCCATGGAAAACGTTGCTTCATCCCCGATGGTAAAAAACTGGAGGAACTGTCGATCTCGGTTGCATCGGTTCACAAACCATTGTGAAAATTGAAGTCGTCTGGGAAAATCAGCTGGTAGAAGTTGGTGCTGAACATGAACATGATATGGATGGAGATGCAAATCCAGTCTTGCTATTCTGTTAAAAGTTGCGCGTGGTATTCCAGTATCATTTCTCCTGGTGCTTATGCGTGGGTTGGCTTGGATGGCCTCTCTTACCACTTGGATGTTTTCAGCAGACCTCCCAGTTCGTCTGTGGCCAGAGTGTCCTTTATTCCTGTTCAAACTGATTCCGTGATCAGCATACTTTCTCACATTGTACCAGATGGCTCTTTTTGTTGGAGGCTGCCTCTCGGGGAACTGCACCCGAAAAGCATCTTGAACTTCCACGAAACTTCTTGTTTCCTGGTATCGAGTTACCAGGAATACTCTCTGCTCAATTGTCAACTGTACCATGTTTGGAAAGCATGTGAAGTGTGCCTGTGTTAGGAACAACCTTTGCTGAAGTTGTTATGTAATCATAGGCCTAACATGTGACAAAGATTTAACTTCAAATAGGCCCTGAATGCATGACAATAGCAAGAAATAACTTGCCACAGTGATGATTTGACACCAGTTCACTAAGTTGAATCATGCTCAGTCATGCATGAGCGTCAGATAACCTAAGTGATATAATTGGACAGAGGACTTATTGGACTATCTAACCATGAAAAAATAATGTGTAAATATTTTATAGTTTTCTGAAAATTTGCCGTTGAAGTTGGGTTTACTTTTTTTAGAGACACACTGTACATGTACTTTATAGAATTAATTGCGACTGGATGCAACACTGTTTTAATCTTACCTGCTGAGGGAGACATCACAGATCCTGCCCTAGAGGGCGCTAGAGCTTTCCTTGGAGCTTTGGCCGCAACAGCTGGGAGGAGAGATGAAAATAATAAAGGAATTACAAATCTAGATATATGATAGGGCGCGTTCATGCTTGATTTTGACGGCCAGAATCAGGCATCTGTTACGCGTTTAGTTTAAAACACGATTGCGTTCATGCTCACTTTTGTAGAATCACCGAAAAACGGCGATCACGATCGCCGATCGTAAACTCACAAAAAAGATGCGTTTACAATTTGTAAACGCGTTTAAATGGGGTCAACGCACTGACCTCTAGTGGGTCTACGTAGCATGCGCACACAGGTTTGCGAATCCAGCTGAAGGCCACCCAAGGAGAATTGCTGGAGAAGTGAGCATGAACAGTGCACCGTGGAACTGCGATTACGATGAGCGTTTACGATGAGCGTTACAAATCGCTCATTCTGCCTTCAAAATCAAGCATGAACGCGCCCATATACAGATACCGGTACCCTGTTTCAAGCCTTTTGGTATCTTGCTCTTGATAGCAAGCTATGCTTTTTTAATAGACTCCTCCACTATATTTCACCACTGTGCCAATTAATTTAAACAATGGTATAATCATTTGTAAAATGTTTGGTTAATATTATGTTATTGAATTTTTCGTATTCATTTGATTATGCAATATCATGTGAAAAATAAAAGAAACCTTGAAACAATTAAAGTTTACAGGTAATTTTTGAATATTTTATTATAGCTGAATTTATTAACAGATACTGATAGGCTATGCCATGCTCATAGCAAGTTCTAAGTGGAGTGCAATACTATTTGGATAGATTTAATCAGTCTAGTTTCAGATCTTCTTTTAATATTTAAATGTTTTTTCTGTTTTAGGGTAGAGTAAACCTGTCATGTTCCTTTAACTTTATATTGGTTTAATACCGAGCAAAGAATACACATTTTCAATTTGTAATAAACGTTGCTTCATTACAATGATTGTAACTAATGTTTAGGATCCCACCATCAACATACTGCACAGTGCTTGCATTCACTTTATTTCTACTTTGTTTACTCCGTGATACCATACTACCACAGTACTACTATACTCCCGGCTTGCTGGATCAGTAATTTCAGTCGTTTGTTGATTTTGCACTGTTTTAACTATTATTATTAATATTGAGGAATTTGAGATTTCTTCTTTCTTCTTCAGGTTTGACAAGTTATATTTTACCTTTTAGTATATTAGCCAGGATCTACAACTGTAGATTAAGCAATTTCACAGCCTACAATATTGCTCCTTCTATATCTACTTTAAAAGTAGACCTAATGTTAAAAACCCATCAGTTCAAATCAATATCATGAATTTTGTCTTCTCTAAACATGTCAAATAAATAAATGATGTCGTACTAGACCTACTATTTGTTATGAAATAGAATCAAAGTCATCTTTATTCTTTAGCACAATCAAAGTTAGATTAAGTTGATTTATTCATTTACCCATCAGTTCAAATCCATATCATGAATTTGTCTTCTCTAAACATGTCAAATAAATAAATGTTGTCGTAGGTCTACTACTAGACCTACTATTTGTTACGATATTGAATCAAAGTCATCTTTATTCTTTAGCACAATCCAAGTTAGATATCATTAAGTTGATTTATTCATTTATCTGTAACAAACTGTACTTTTGTAACATAACATAATGTAACATACTGTAATTTTGTACTGAATAATATTGTGTAATCGTGGTGCTGTCATCCGGCTTTTATTTTGTGTAAGGACATTGCTTCACTTCATGGCTGCTGGGACAACAGCACCATCCACAGCACCTAGAAACAATGTATTAGGCGCGTTATAAATGTGATCTTTGTGGACAAAAAAGTGGTACACGTCAAGTTATAATTGTTGCTCAACAGCTGCACAGCACGATATGCAAAGCGTGGGGTAAGCTAGGCCACTAGGATATTTTCAAACTGTGTCTGTAACTGCTCGTGATCCTCTAGATCTAGAGAAAAAATAAGCACATGGATAATTCCTTACAGTTACAGCTTGCCCAACTTATCTGTCGGGGCCGGGGGCTCACTTCATGAAATTGGTAAATCTCTGAGTTACCATGGAAACAATGTTTAAACCCCTGTTTTGATCAAGATATTATTTGTAGATCTAGTCTAGATCTAGATCCTAGAGAGTAGAGTTATGAGTCGAGCCCCTTCCCTTGGCTTTGAAGAAATGGAGAAAACCCTGCTCTTCATATGATATCTCAACTTATTGAGTATCACCTTCAGGATCACGAGCAGTATTGCCTTGGTTTGATTTGAATCTAAATTTGGTATTAAAAACATTGACCAATTTTGCACATTTGTAATTGTACATGCCGTAAATTGCACATGGACTGCGTAGGGATGTGTGTGTGCAATCTAGAGTCTATGACTATGGCCATGGGCCATGGGAAGGATTTTAGCACACAAAACCGAGTGCGCGATCAGACACCTCCTAAATTGGCAGCTATTCACTTAGTTAGTCTAGATCTAGAATCTAGGCTAGGCCAATAGGCCCTAGATTCTACACTATTTTCTCCCATTTTGTAACCTTCATCATTTTGCCAGGAGGCATTAGCTAGAGGCAAGCGCCAGGAACAGGCGGGCTAGCGCTGGCGACAAGCTTAAGCGACAACGACTCTTACTACTAGCTCACTTGGCCTCAGTTCGATCAGCTCAGCTCAGTCTATCATCACTGCACTGTCACACTGCATGACTGTTCCACTGACTCTCGATCTCACTCTCAGATATTCGCAGACGCGCAGTCATCTCACTCTCAGTCACGATCATCATAAATTAAATTTGAGGAATATTCTCACCTTTCCTGCATGAGTTATCTGCCTTTGTCCTGACCATGGTGATAGCTTTAATCAAAATCTACAAAAACAGTTGACGAATTAGCAAAATTTCACCAAAATCAAACGAGAAAAGGTGCCAGTTTTGTTGGGTAATGACAATCGGGTAGGCCTATATATCTCGCGCGTTCTGTGTGTAGTACACACGTATTGAAATTTTCCCGCGTTTTGGGTCAAAGGTCAGTTCGGATGTATTTATGGATCGGCCCATATTAGAGAATCGGCCCAGCAAACAACTCGGACCCATTATTATAGCACTGGCAGATTTTTGGCCTAATCCCCCCCCCCCCCCCGTTTTAAAAACCAAGTGACATAGATTTAGTACCCAAGTAAAACATTGCACCTCTTCTTTTTCAGTTAGCTTGTCATTATTCTTTGGGTGAAAATGTACCACAAAATGAGGATTTGTTGTGTGGCTTGGCTTTCTTTTCATTATGTTTATACAAAAATAATAATGCTTAACAAAAAAAAAGGAGGGGGGTACTCGGGTATCACTGCCCTATAATTCTCTCCTCATAGTACCCGGCATCTGACCCTCTCTCTCTCTCTCTCTCCCTTGGTCTATATGGGCCTACCAACACACAGTCCCACAACTCTCTACCGTCCAACATAATTTAAGGCGTCATTGGACGGAAATTTGGATTGAAAAATTGAGTGATTAATTAAGTAGTCTTATCATTAGCAGGACAATTTCGTGTTATTTAAACGATTGTTCGTTATATTTCTCATAGATCGAAGTATTCTCTTTTTATCTATATTTCACTTAAGGCGTCATTGGACGGACATTTTGGAGTGAAAAATAAAGTAATTAAAATTTAAGTCATTAGTAGGACAATAAATTCTACATACTCATTTTAGTGTTAGGGTCTATAGGGTTAGGGTGTTTATGATGTCCGGTTAATTATGTACCGGGTCATATATATATATATATATATGTGTGTATGTGTGTGTGTGTAAAACGGGGATAATCATGTATACATAACTTCCAAGTGCATACACTGGCACTGTGGATATCCCCAGTTGATAACTTTCTTACTTAATTCTTGCTAATATTTGTAAAGTGACCCGAGAGGACCCATTGCCTGCATCCAAGACGTTCCAAAACATCCTCATTTTCATTTTCGAGTGCTACTTTGTGTATCATCTGAGATTTTAAAATTCTGATATTAAAATAAACAGCTTCTCAGTAAAATGTTACATAAAACAGGAGGCTAAATTCTTGTTATTCTTTGACAAAATGTAATTTTATTCATATTTCTGGCCGCTAGATAAATGAATGGAATTGCATTTTGTCAAAGATAAAGAATCTTTATAAAAACACCTCAAATTCCAATATTCCCAATGTCATAGTTAATAGTTAGAGATAAATATCCCCAGTTGGCACGTTTTACCTTTATGTGTGTTTGCGTGTATGTGTGTGTGTGTGTATATATCTCTTTTACTAATTTTTTTTCCGCTTCCACATTTCTTTCAATCTACTTTTTTTCTTCAGAAATTGCATAAATTATGCCCACGTCCCCCATTTTTCATATAAGACAGTCAGGTTTGCTCTCACAACCATATATGATGTAATACGATTTTATTTTATATCTCAAAGCATAACATGTTTAGGACTAGCATTAAATTAAATGTTTACATTGACACGCAGGAATGATATAATCAATAGTATATTTATCAAAATATAAACGTAAAGAAGTTAAAGATAAAGTTGAGTTCTGGTCATGCGATTTCATTGTGAACGAAACGATGTGGAATCGTAGAGTGTACAAGTATAACAAGAACTGTACGGTGTACAAATTATATGCAGAAAGATAGTACATTGGTTCTACACAAACATGTGGCATCAAAATTTGATCCTCATTTTAAGCTCTGTCATATTTAGAGTATGAAGTCATTTAAAGAGCCATACTTTTCAGGGAAATTTATTCTTTGATGTTCTTTCACACTGGCATGAAAGAAAAAAAAAACGCTCACAAATTATTTTCATGCACCCAGAACTCAACATTCTCTTTAAGGTTACTAATTCACACCAAGTTTTGCATATTCCGTGCATGAGCAGGGTGAGGGTTGTCTGTTTTCTTTTAGAAACATGCCTACTACTGATTAATAATCCCTATACCATCAGACATTGATTGATTTTAAATCAAATTTAATCTAATATTGATTAAATGCAAACATAAGAGACTTTCAATATAAAATTCACAAAATGTAACATATTACGAGCTACGCAGTCCAAACAAATATTCAGTTTACACATCGTGCTTTAATTAAAATATCAAAATCACAATATTTAACAAAAAAGTTACAGAATGCCACAGGTTTAGGGGGAATAAAATACACGAAATGAAAACACGTTGTATTTCTCATAATACTAAGACACAGTATTCAATTTCAGCGAAAGGTATATGATGGCTTTATAAACCATTAGATGAAAGAAAATAACAAAAGTAACTACCTATTGTAGTCCATTGGCTCGGTGTAAAAAATTCAGAGGAAAAGATGTCAGATGTAAAAATCTTAGAGGTTTATAGAAATGTCAGAGGTAAAATTGTGAGAGGTAAAAATGTCAGAGGTTAAAATGTTTGAGGTATGAATGTCAGAGACTCAGAGTTAAGAGCTCATCAGGTAGAAATATGGTGTTATTTTTGTCGCTGCCCGTAGTCCAATTTTGGATATTCTGATTAAGTAGAAGTATAGTAGTAGTAGAAGAAGAAGAATTAGTAGCTGTAGTAGCTGTAGTAGCATTAGTAGTAGTAGTAGGAGAAGTAGTAGTAGAAGTAGCAGAAGTAATAATAGTATCATTATCGTTATTTTGTATCATCATTATCACCAATAATATTATTGTTATCATTTATATTATTATCATTATCATTATCGTTATTATCGTTATCATCATTATGATAATTATTATCATTAAAATTAATCATCATCATATTTTATAAACTACCAAATTCGTACATATTAGGGTGCACTTCGTTTTATCGTGATGTATGAAATCATTTCAATAAAAGTTTTGCCGACATGCCGTTTCTCTCCAGATTGCTGCAAGACTGATCAGGCCTAGACCGGCATCCGTTCATACTGGATATTCCGTACAGAGAGGAGTGAGAGAGAGAGAGAGAGATAGGGAGAGAGAGAGAGAGAGAGGGAGAGAGAGAGAGAGAGAGAGGGAGAGAGAGATATTTTTAATCGCGATATTAAGTTATTAAACACATGATTTTCCGCTGTAAATAAATTGTCATTTAATATAAGTAAGACACGTTATATGATTATTACTAATGAAAAATGTGACACTGATTCTATTATTATTCGTTTGTGTAATACAGAATTAAGCAGGTCTCTTCACTTAAATTTGTTGGAATGACCATTGATAATAATTTGAAATGGACTGATCATGTAAATGCTGTTTTTAATTTATTATCGAAAAGATATTGATGTTATGTATAAATTAAAATCATTTGATAAATATATATTGAAGATGATATAATATAGCAGTTTAATATTACCATTGTTGTATTATGGAATACTTGCATGGTGGAATGCACAAGAAACCCATATTAGGAAAGTAATTCTTTTGCAAAACTTGCAATTCGTACTATTTGTCATACTTCTTATCTTGCCTAAGCCATACTCATCCACTCTCTAAAGAAATGAAAATATTGAACTTATTGATATTAATAATTATCAATGTGCAATATTTATGTTCCAGTGCTATTTACAAATCCTTCCCAAATCACTTTTAAAACTTTTTATACTAAATTGTAATATACACCACTATAGTACTAGAAATGCTGATAATTTTCTCTTGCCACTTGTACATTAATATACATTGGACATTGCTTTTAATATGGAGTACTGTACCTCGTGCAATTCGTGAATTGAAATTTGTTAACACTTTTAAACGTAAATACAAAAAATATTTGATGAACCTGTATTGATGTTAGCTAAAGATTTCAATGGTTGTTATGTTAGTTTGCATGTTATTGTTATTTGTTTTACTTGTTATTATAGCCTAAATTAAATCATAAGACTTTTTATATTTGATTATTTGGTCAGCCATCTTAAAATAAGGACCAGCTCCTTTCTGGCTGCTAACAGCCGAAGCATTTTCTTTTGTGTTTTTGACGATATTTATTCATGTTTGTAAATTGATTCTGTGTTTATCTACTTAGTAATAGGGATTGTGTGACACTTTGTATACTGCTTTTTTAATATTTTTTTTACCCTGTATGTTTTTGTTATTGCTTGGCAAAATAAATTGAATTGAATTGATATACTTCTGTCCCCAAATATTTTGTTGAAGCCTAAAAATCTGTCATAATTTTTCGTTCAGTAGAAAATAATCTTGCTCCCCTCTCTGTCTCTCTCCTCTCTTTTTCCCTTTTTGTCTTATAGCCAAGACTAACTTTAAACTGTTTTTCTGTGTGTGCGTGTGTTTGTGAATTGAGGGGGCAAAAAGAGAAAACTAAATTGTTTCACGCCTACCTTGTGCCCTCTTATCATTGATCTGGAAGACGTAGGGACAGCTGCTGCTCTGGCAACGGGAGTGGAAGGTGTCTGGGTTGCACATCTTCCTCTCACCACCGCTCTATATTATGATCCGTATGACAAATAGAAAATAATAACTGGGCAAATAAATCATATTTTCTCAAGTTACGTCATTTGTATGTAACACAGGCTGTGGAGCATAAAAATATCCGGAAGGGGGCGTATGCCTAAAGGCGTGCCGAGGTCTAAAGAGGGACGGGCAGACGCGGATCCAGAATTTCTTAGGGGAGGGGCCCAACTTAAGTTGTTGCTCCTGAAAATCTGAAAATCGCACCTGCCGAAAAGTCGCTCAGTGGGGTGGGGGGGGGGGGGGGGGGGGGTAGTGAGCACCCCCGGCCCCCCCCCCCCTGGATCCGCCGCTGGGGACGGGTGGGGTGTCAAATCTGCTCCCCGAATTTCTGACATGCCGGGGCCGTTGTGTTTTTATGTCCCATTTGCAGGCCAGAAAAATTGAAAAGGTTGACTTTCAACGGCATTTGAAAACTTCCCTCAGAACGAATGGGCTTTAAAAGGGCTTTTCGTGGGAAAAAAACGACCGTAAGTTGTCGAATGGAACTTTGTAACCGCGGTTGTTTACGAATGGTGTACGTTTTGTGC